GACTGGCTGGTCTGCGCTAGTAAACTTGCCAAGTTTAGGAGGGGCAGGCGCTAGAAATGGCAGCTACGAGCCAGTGCAGAGGCAGTTCTCGGAACACTCATCACTAAACCAACATCAAACTCCACCATTCGAGCGCAACAGACATAGCCAGGGCCGCTCTTTTGCCGCCCGCGCTGCTCATCTGAACCGACGACATGATGCGATTCCGGAAGAGGATGGCATCGATCTCGGCCTCATCCAGTCCGCCGCGCCCCTAGGCGGCAGCCCGGCTCCAGCTCCAGTCCCCTACCTACGCGTGGAGCCTGTCTTCGATGTCAGTGCAGCCTTGGGTCCGTCCACTGACGCGGACGACAAGTTCATCAGGTCACTACAAGAACAGGAAGCCCAGGGCAAACTCACTGGTGGCTTGGGTGCTGGAATTCGCACAGACGCCGTCGTGACCGAATCGGCTCTGCTGGCTACAAGTCCCATCTCTGACCGAGGCTCCTCTGTGCGACGCTCGTTCACGCGAGCTGCTGCACGTCTAAGCCGGCATGACACCGTCAAGCAGTTGGCGCAGCAGGAGGCGAACAAAAGAGGGAAAGTGATCGAGGTGGTGATGGACGACGATGTTGTTAGCAATTTGGGAAAGTTTGACTTGAGCGTCATGGCTGGACCAGACGGAGGATCAAAGAGTCCGTATGGGCAAATGCGGCAGACGACGTTTCCTACGATGAAGAGGACGGAAAAGCATGTGTTCTACCCAACGCCTGACTGGAAGCCCTTCTCCATGAGATGGCCATATCTGGTGTCCCTTATTATTGTTTCCATTGTGGCGGCCGGCGGCGTGGAAGTCCTTTACCAAAGATCAGCCAAGCAGCCATTGGTGGTCTTCAAGTCACCCACCGATATAACACCCACGGCGTATTTCTGCGTAAAATTCCTGCCGACGCTCATTGCCGTCACGTATGGTGTGCTCTGGCAGATCACCAACGTCCAAGTGATGCGCCTAGAGGCTTTCTACCAGCTCTCGAAGGAGGACGGTTCCCTCGCAGCAGAGTCCATCAACGTGGACTACTTTAGCTTCTTCAACCTCTTCCGACCTATTCGTGCCCTTCATTACAAACACTATGCGGTAGCGGTCTCTACCATAGCGAGTCTTCTCGCCAATGCGCTGGTTCCGACTCTCTGCTCCGCCTGCATCGTCCTCTCACCCGACCGCGACACTCGCCTCCGGAACCCAAACGACGAGAAGCGTATTTCCATCCACGCCGTCTGGCCACGCATCCTCACCCTCACACTCGTCACAATTGCCGTATTTGGCTGCGTTCTCTTCTACCAACTCCAAAGCCGTCGCTCCGGCCTCCTCGCCGACGTCAAGGGCATCGCCGGTCTCGCTTCCATGGCCACCGTCAGTCACATCCTCATGGACTTCAAAGACATGGACGTGGCTACGCACAAGGACATCCACAACAAGCTCAAGAACCACCGCTACGTTCTGCGCAACTCAGCCCTTGCGCCCGCCGACGAAGTCTACAACAAACCGCTGTCTAAAAAGGAACAAGACCGCGAGCGCTACACAGGCAGCCACCTCGACGAGAACCCGCACCCGCTCTCCCTGCGTGCTGCGGGCGCCGTCCCTTTCATCACCTTCATCACCCTCTTCTCCGTCCTGATCCCCTGCGTTCTCTTCACGCCCGCCAATGTCCTGGCCGACCGCGCGCCCTGGGTGATCACCGCCCTAGCCGTCTGCCTCAAGCTCAGCTGGGGCGCCATGGAAACGGACGTGCGCATGATGGAGCCGTACTACATCCTCTCTACAAAGCGGCACGCGCCTCCCAAGACACTGACGCTCGACTACAGGTCCATGCCCTTCGGCGGGTGGGTCGCGCTTAAGGGGGCCATGAACGGACACTGGCTAGTGAGCTTCGTCGGGTTTGGTAGCGTCATGGCGGAGTTTTTGACGGTGTTGGCTACGAGCTTGGCAAGCGTCGAGGGGAGGGTGTTTGTAAAGGCCACGAAGGAAGCGTTGTTGCTTAATGGGAGATCTGAGTTCATCGAGGCTGGGGACGACGAGAATGATACAAACTCAATCAACGCGTGGCAGGAAACGCCGCTTTCCTTTTGGATCTCACTGTGTTTGGCGGACTTTGTTCTGCTTTACATGGGAGTGATGGCAACTATCGTGTTCGTCCGGCGGCGCCGTGTGTTCTTGTCGCGGCAGCCGAATACCATTGCGAGTGTGTTGGCGTATATCCACCAAAGCAAGATGTTGTACGATTTTGTGGGGACAAATAAGCTGAGTAATGCCGAGATGGTGAAGAAGTTGGAGGACCAGGTGGGCAAGACTTATGGGTTGGGATGGTTCCAGGGACGAGATGGGCAGATTCATTGTGGTGTGGATGAAGAGGAGTTGTTGACGGGGTATAGGAGGGGAATGGATTATTCGAAGGCCACAAAGCCGTGGGCGGAGGGAGTGGAGTGGTTGTGATTGATTTTGGTGTTGGAGTTTTGGCCTTTCAGGGGCAAATGGGTAGGGAGGTTGTTATGATGATGACGGTGATGATGCGTGTTGGGTTGGCTGGATTTTATAAGGGGCTTTTTGGACATACATTCCTGATATAATAACATTGGGTATACTGACATTCCATCCTGCCCTCTATGAATCCCATCACGAGGCCAAAGTACTTCCCGCTCATGTCAAGACCCCTTGATCGAGGAGAGCTGATCCTTCTCATACCAAGTTGGTGGAGAATCTCCACATGTCATCTGTTTTTCGACCTTTTGATTTTCGACCTTTTGAGTTGAGGCATAGGTTCTCATGAGCCTTGAACAAAAAAGGGACGTCTTATTGTTGTCGTCCATCGACTATTGACTGTGAACCCTGGCGGTTCAGCAGATTCACTTCGTCGGATATTGTCTGCTGCTGGTGTTTTGCTTCTCTGAACATACGTTTGTAAAGCAACTAGTAGGCAAGGCTGTGCAATTGGAGGAGAGGAATGTGTTGGTGTGAAGTTGTCAGTCAGTAAAAACTAGAACACAGTTGGTGAGATGCCACCGGCCGGTGAACGATACGATATGAAGCCTACGACAATCACACATACCACTTCAGACCAGAATAACCATCTGATAAGTGATAAAAGAGACCTTTTTTCATCGCTCGTCGCCGACATCCGACACCTACTTCTACTCAAGGAACCAGCCGCTTGATTCCCACGCTGCTGCTATGTGTGCGCGTCTCTCTTGTCTGTAAAGGATGGAGGATGGAGGATGGGTTGCAATGACAACCCCTCAAGTTCCCAATCTCGGCTTTCAAAGGTCACTCGAATCGCAGCCCAAATCAGGCACAAGAGGGAAGTGAAGCAAGGGTCGGGGTTGGATTGAGGAATGAAGGAGTGACTTAAACCGAAGCCTTATATGGGAGTTGCCATGGACAGTGGCAATGGCCAATGAATCAAACACGCGGTGCATACTCCCCCTTTGATAGCCAGACGCCCTGCCATTGAACCAGCGGCCTTTGTTCAGGGCAGGAATCAGATTGTTGTTCGTTCATGACCAACGACTTCATTCAAACCCTTGGATATGGATCGTGCTGGGCTGCCGCTTAAACGGACTGTATTCCTCGGCTGAATCAAGATCATGAGACGTTAAGTCTCTCGTCGCAAATCAACAGATCGTAACAAGACACAAAAAGGATACGAACGCACCTTGCATGTGCATTTCCCCATCTTTTAGTTTCAATGTGATAAAGATGCATTAACAGTATCCGCGTCGCAATGGCAATGGATCAATACAAGACGCGATAGTAGAGGAAAAAAAGGAAAAGGAAACAAAAAATATCGCCAAGGGGGGTCCGATCTCCGGCAGCGCTATTCCAAGGCCAGTGCTTACTATGTAGTAGCGCCCTCGTTAACGAATCACGACGCGCATGAGGGAGCAAGCCTCAGGGACCCCCAGACGGAGCGGCTTTTCCAAACACGGAAGCTCCCTTTGGCTTCTTGCTTTCCCCATTTCATGGATTTTCATGCATGATTTGCCGAACCTTGAACAGCTGGGAAATTTGAATGTGTTCTTGGCCAGCGTCAGACCTCGCATTTTGCAATCTGAACCGCTCATATCTTCTTCGCCGAAGCACCGCGATGCCTGAACGGCCAAAATCTATAGCCTATCAGGGTGCAGTGTTCCCTCCTCGTGGGTTTTCAATGGCAACCGAAACGTCGTATTTGGGACAGATGATTTTTGAGGTCGTTTCCAGTACGTTATTTGCTTGCTGTTGTTGGTTCATCCAGATTGCGGGGAAGGTTCAAGTTGTTCAAAGGGATAAAACGTGCCTAGAGCCTCTGGAGGATATGAAAGGACTGACATAATTATCCAGTTACGATCAAGAGCTGGTCGTTCTACATATGATGTGTACCACTAAACTTGTGAACCCATCCACCATCACCACTTCTTGCAATGAAGCCAATTGATGCGGCGGAGTTCTTCCAGAAGATCTCCCGTGTATTTTCTTTCGCGGTGTATCTGATGGGCCCCAAGACTCCATATCCGCGTGGGTGACTACATACTGTGTATCGCTTATCGCCATGCTTTTTCACACCACATGAGGAGAGAGAGGAGACACACTTATCTCACCCTCTCACCATGTAACTGTAGTTCCCCATCACCCCCTTCTGATCTGCACATCAACCCGGCAGTCTCGCCCATTCATCCACCCACGACACCACACACATTCACACCCTCCGCTTACACGGCTGCTACCCACATTTCAAGATGCAGGAACCTTCCCTTTTGGGACATGCCAGCGATTGATCGACAAATTCACACACTTCATGGGCTGAACGCCCGTGAGGTTCACCAGGAGGCCTGAATTATAAAAGAAGTATAAAAGAAGCCAGGCCATCAAGGTCCATCTGGTGACCGAAACCCCTCGTCCTTCAGTTCCGTCGTGTGATACCCGTCTCGTTTTGTTTCGCTCCTCATCTCATCCCACCCCACCAAACCAACTCCAACAAGCCGTCATCATGGTCCAGCTCCTCTCCGCCTTCGTCTCCCTCCTCTCCGTCGTCGCCGTCTCCGGCGCCGCCATCCCGGCTCCTGCCCCCGAGGCTGTCGCTGATGTTGCCCCTGAAACTGCTACTATCGAGCCTACCGGCAACTTCACTGCCCAGGCGTGCATGTATACCTGCGGCTCAGTCTGCTACAGCTCTTCTGCCATCTCTGCTGCTCTGAACAAGGGCTATTCTTATTACGAGGACGGAGCCACCGCTGGAAGCAGTACGTTTCTTTTCTTTTCTAGTTTCCCTCCCCTCCTTTCTTGCTTTTTCCTTGCTTTACCCATGTCCAATATCTTCTTGTTCTTCTCCTTATTCTCTCTTCCTTCTTCGGTCCCTTCTCTTTCTTTCCAAAGCAGCGCTAACAGGTCCCAACAGGCACCTACCCCCACCGATACAACAACTACGAGGGCTTCAACTTCCCCACCGCCAAGCCCTGGTACGAGTTCCCGATCCTGTCGTCCGGCCGCGTCTACACTGGCGGCTCTCCCGGTGCTGATCGCGTCATCTTTGACTCCTACGGCAACCTGGACATGCTCATCACCCACAATGGTGCTAGCGGTAACAACTTTGTTGCTTGCAACTAAGCGATTGCCTTTGGGATTGGGATCGGAAATGGGAGAGGGAGACAATAACCTTATGAGTGGATGAGATGATGGGATGAAACGGAATGGACACAAAGGGGACCGAATCCTAGCGCCGGCATCGAGCTGGACTGGACTGGACTGGACCTTGACGGGGCGCGTGGTGTATATAGCCCAAGTGGTGTATGCGAATCTTGCTAGTCTGTACATATTGAACTTACCCTGCAGCGGAAGTTCGGTTGTTAGCATTTTCAAAAGAGGGGAAAAAAGAGATTCAATACCCTACACAGCGGATTATCATATGGATGTGGACACTGACTTGACTTACACCTGATGAAGCGGAGGTTCAGTCATCAGCAGTTACCCCGTACTGCCCATCTTCATACAAAGCACCGATAGACACCCCTTTGTTATCGGCAATGAGGCCAATGAGCTGCTGGCCGATGTCCTTCATATCGTTGTACTCTTTTAGTAACTCAATGTGCGTTTGTACTGTTTCCTCTGGTGGTTGACTACCGTTTCTCACATGTCAGCCAAGTTGCCTTGTCGGTGACGAGGGGTTTAGTTTTGAACCCCCTTTGATAGTGAAGTATTACGTACCTGAGGGCTACCCTTTCCTCCTCTATCTTTCTTGACATGTCGAAGAGTTGGATGAGATCCTTTTCGGCTTGTTCAAAGGCTTGGAATACCTTGGTGAGATAGCCGAAGTACTTGTCCTGACAGCCGCGAGATACAGGATCAGCATTCTATTCTTGGCGATATACGGCCCTGTTAATCTTCCCAACACATACCCTCATAACTGACTCCAGTTGATCTCGGGTTTTAAACTCGACCTCCACAGTCTGGTTATCCCCACCTGTCGTTATAATGAGCACAGGCTCGACAGATTTACTTTGGTGCACTTGCAGCTTCCAAACATTGTCGAGAATTGCGCTGTCTTGATTTTCATTTTTAGCTCGAAATGGCTCTCCATCGAAGTATTTCAGCTTCAAATCCTCGATTCGAATTTTATATTCGGCAACACAGGCTACAAGTTTGGCGTTGACCTCGCGCCACATTGAAGCAGTGCATCCGGTCGGGGTGTGGTTGTCGAGCCAACGCCGACACGAGGCGATGAGATCAATTTGAGTTTGCGCAGCTTGAGCGAGATGTTCAGGCAGATCAATGACGCTTGATTGCGACATTGGCCTTGGAGCTCGGGAAAATCTCGCGGGCATCGTGATTATGTTGTCGACCTGTGTCAGTTAAAGAGGATGTAGAAGGGAAGAAGAGAGGATGAACAAACGTCGAACAAACGTCGGACATTCGACATAGCTAAGGTACAAATAGTCCTATTGACAGCACAGTTAGGACAGACGCAGTTCACACAGTGTACGGCGAGATACGCAGTATATACTAGTAGTAGTACTGATCTCTTCAGAAACGTCGTAATGGTTTCTGGGCATGTTCTTTTCAATTACAGGGTAACTCGCTAGCATCTAAGCATAGCATGTAGACCAATATGGCATCGCTGTTGATGTTTGATTTTGTTGCTGTAAGAAATCAAGTTTTGTTAGACGCTGCTGGTTTGCTTCCTAACCTCCCCCATGCCTTTGACTGTTTTGAGCACCAAATAAGTCATTGATGTTCAGCTGCCTCCCCGCCAGTTGACTACCTTCACTATTGCCACCAAACGCTCCCAGAGATGCCCATGGTGCTGGCGCCTGTGCGTAATCTGCGACGGCAGCCCCATTGTTCGGCACGCCCTGCTCATACTGAGGAGCTCCGACAACCTGGTTATTAACCGCGCTCAAAGCTGCCCTTGCCTTCTCCCATTGGGCCTGAATAAGACTCCAGTCGGGATACTCCATAAGAAATTGACCCTGGGAGTCTCCGGTTCCCTTCTCCTCGTTGCTGTGTAAATGAAAGCCGAGTGCTCTCCCGGGTCCCGCTTCGTCGGCCTCCATTTTCAGACTTAGAAACTTCTCGTTTGTGGCCTCGTACATTTCGACTTTTGACAGATTGATGGTAAGATTCTCCATACTACGTCGATTCAGCACAAAGAGGTTGACCTGTGGTAGTTCGTGGCCGGTGGGGAGCACGATCGGGTCGCACTCGCAGAGGAACATGGGACCCTCGACATCGCGCAGTTCCCAGGAGTTTGTTGTTGAAGACCACTCGTAAAGACGAACGAAGGAGCAGGTCAGGAGGATGGCGCGTAGGCCAGAGACGTAGCGCTTCAGCACGGACATGTTGAGCTCGTAGTTGGTACGGGTGGTGGTGTGCACATAGGTAGCCGACTCGTCCTCTTCTGGCACGTAGTTTTTGGGATCGTACATGCGGTTCTCGGCATCTCTGGGCTGGGCCGCATAGCTGGTGTTGACGGCGTCACTATCGTAATCGGATTGCTGGGCGTAGCGGGGGCCGCTTTCTCGGGAGCCGCCGTTATTGTACGAGTGGTTGTTGCGGCTGCGCCCCTTGCGAGGGGTTGGTCTCCCGCTCATGGTGGCAGTCTTTGGTTATGGAGGAGATTCGGGATATCGACAAGAGCGATGACTTGGGTTGACGATGTCGGTGAAATGGACGGACTCGAGATACGCGGCTTCGATGACGGACGTCCGATGATAGAAGACGACTATAACGAGGACGATGGGTATCGCCTCAGCTGAATGCTTGTATCGGCGCGCGACACTCGGCTAGAGGCAAAGAGGTGATTGTCGATTGTGGACACCCGTATCACGAGGCATAGAGGTAACCTAATGGATATTGATGCAATTCGTGTTGTAGCGACAGAACTATGTACTGTGATGGAGACATCCAGGTAACGGACGAGATGATGTGTTGGGCGTCAAGCAGCGCCGAGGTGCCTGCCGCGCGAGCACTTGGTGGGGTGAATCTGGGGAGCTCCACGGACTGACCACTCAAAGGCGAGAGATAAGGGAATCGCTAGAACCTCAAGTGGGACAAAACCGATAACGACAGGGGCAATGGACAAGCTCGAAACAGCGTCATCGTCCACTGGACCAGCAACCCTGATCTCCCTGTGAACGGCAGGGCCAGGCGCCCGAGGCCACCCCCTTGCAACATCCACATCATACCTGGGCTAGAGGCAGCCAACATTTCCTCCGTGATCAACACCATGACTCGGCATGGGTCGAGACACTCTTCCTTGTTCTTTTGCCTCTTGTATATAACCACCAACCTCAACAGACAAAAGGCGTTATTATAACGGGTTTACATCATCTGTTATAACCACCACACGACATCCTTGCCCGCTATTCTAGTCCTGCCTAACCGCCTTGGTGACATCCAACCACCACGACCTTGTGCCAACTGACCAACTCTTGCGCCTGCCTTGCGCGCCGTCATATCTCTTTACTGGGCAGCCCTTACGGAATCATGAACACGACGAACAAGTCGTCTCGACATTTATAACACAGGCCGCCACCATGCCCTCCTCCGAAGGACCACCTCCCCTTAGTCGCACCCGCACCGGGTCCGCCACCACCGACCCCGCCGATCTGGGTACAGGCAACCCCCATTCGTTACACCAAGCTATTTACGCCCGGCGCGAAGAGTATACCCGCCCCCATCGGATACGCGTCAAGGTCGGAACGTGGAATGTGGCTGCCTGCCCTGGCACGGATAAAGACCTGGCCAGCTGGTTTGTCGACGGCAAGGGAATCGACACTGCGCTAGCCACTCTCGATCTTAACCGGAACGCGGCTATCGAGGGGGACACTGATGGGGAGGACGGGGTACACATTCTGGGCAGAGACAAGATCGGTCTCTATGTGCTGGGATTGCAAGAAGTGGTGGACCTAAACACGGCAAGCCAGTACGTCAGTCGCGTGTACTCTGGAGATGAGGGGGTTACCCAAAAGTGGAAGACTGCGCTCGACACCGCTCTACCTCCAGGCTACAAGCTCGTTGCCTCTGAGCATATGACTGGCCTCCTGCTCCTCATCTATGCCTCTCCAGAGGTTGCGCCGACCATCAGCAACGTGAGCACTGTCAGCGTTGGCACAGGCCTCCTCGGCTACATGGGCAACAAGGGCGCTGTCGTCACTCGCATTATCCTCGGCGAGTCCACCAGGCTGGTCTTTGTCAACTGCCACCTTGCCAGCGGTATCGAAGCAACGTATAACGAGAGGCGCATCTGGGACGTTGGCCAGATTCTTGGCCGCACCCGCTTCAAGCCCGTTAGCTTTGCTGGTGTATCAGAGGACTACGAAGAAAAGATCGGCGACGAGGACTTTACCTTCTGGTTTGGCGACCTCAACTTCCGTCTCGATGGTCTGCCTGGCGACGACATCCGACACCTCTTGATGTTGCACACAAAGGGAGAATACGGTGCTCCCAGGCCAAAGTTCAGGCGCGACAACTCTCTCGAGGGAGAACCGATCATTGTGCACGCTGACAAGTCATCCGACGCTGGCGACGAGACGAACGATGGCAACTCGACGACGACTCACTCTACGGGAGACACCAAAGCTACCGACTATGACAGTGATTCCGACTTGGATGCGCTTCCCGATCCTGATGACTTTTTGCCAGACCCCCATGATGATCCTACTTCACTGCAAGCCACGCTAGATTCGTTGCTTCCCCACGACCAACTCACCAGGCTGATAAAGCAGAAGAAGGTGTTTCATGACGGATGGCATGAGGGCACCATCTCCTTTCTCCCATCCTACAAATACGACGTTGGTACTGTCGGCCTGTTCGACTCGAGCGAGAAAAGGCGGGCACCGAGTTGGTGTGACCGAATCCTCTACCGCACCCGTAAGGATAAGGAGGCGTATGATAAGAAGATCAAGGAAGCCGAAGACGCACGAAAAAAGGATGAAGAGATGAAAGCTCGCGGTATCGATCAGGCCGGAGATGACGACGAGGTGCTTTTTGACTACGATCCGGATAACGACGGCGACGACGATCACTCGCCAGATGTGTCACGGCTGGAATACGATGAAAACGACGAGGGCGAGGAAGGCGATAACCAACACGACAGAGATGACTGGGTGGATAGGATACGCCAGGACATCTACACGTCTCACCAAAGGATCACATCTTCCGACCACAAGCCCATCATATCCATCTTTACCCTCAACTACGACGCTGTTGTGCCGGACCTAAAAGCAAAGGTCCACGCAGAGGTGGCCTGGGAACTGGACCGCGCCGAAAACGAGGGCCGCCCTTCTCTGACCGTGGTCAATGACTCGCGCGACGCCCGAGGACCGGGGCGTCCTGGTGGTTCTCAAGATTCCGCTGAAGAGCTCGTCGACTTTGGAGAAGTGCGCTTCCTACAAAAGCAAAGCGCCACCCTTACACTAGCAAACACGGGCCGAGTTGCATGTACCTTCTCTTTCGTCGAAAAGCCCTCTCCTGCTAAAGAGGATGGCCCGATCCCGCCCCCTTGGCTGAAAACGTCCTTCATCTCTTCAGAACCAGCCATCGATGATTCACATTTACCAGATCTCGGCAAGGAAGTTACTCTGGAGCCCGGTGAAACGGTCAGGGCGCGATTACAGGTCAGAATCAACAATGTAGAGCAGGCTAGGGTACTTAACAGTGGGCGGGACAGGTTAGAGGAAGTTCTTATCCTTCGAGTAACTGATGGGCGGGATCACTTCATTCCTGTGCGTGGTGTTTGGATGCCTACGTGCATCGGTCGCTCCATTGACGAGCTCATCCGGGTACCCGAGGGGGGTCTCCGCAAGTTTGTTCACTCCTTGACTGCGAAGAACAGCGGCAAGGTCATGTCCGTCCCAGAAGAAATGGATGTCCATTGCGCTGCGCCCAGGGAGTTGTTCAAACTCACCGAGGCCCTTGAGTCGGTAACAGAGCGCGTATTGGCAGACGAGCAGATGCTGGAAGAGTATAAGGTCCCTAGAGCATCAGGTTGGCCCTTTGAAGAAGATACTTGGCGAGTCACCGACAAGTCCCTCCGTGCCTCTCGCGCCGCCGACCTTATCGACGCCCTCGACGAAGGCATGACCCACATCGTGGATGCCTTTTCCGCCGAGGTCCCGGCTGTCGAGCGTATTGAGACTGTTGCCGAAGTTCTCAAGCTCTTCCTCCGCGGCCTCACGGACGGTATCGTCACCACGTCACTCTGGTCTCGGATCGAACAAGCTTCTCTCGTCTCCCTAGGTCAAGGGGCAGCTGCATCCTCCAAGATTCCACCTCAAGAAACAGCATATGAACAGGACAAGGGCACAGTCCTCGACATTCTCTCTACGGCGCCCAACCACAACATCTCCTTCGTCTTTTTAACAGCCACCCTAGCCAAGGTCACCACCGATCTTTCCCCCATCACCAAATCTGACCTGGAACTCCTCAAATCGGACACTCCTGTGCGGCTTAGTATGCTGAACAGGCGGTCACTCACCGCAGGACTAGTTAAACGAAATACCTCGTCCGGGTCTTCGGGGCAAGCAATGGCCGCAATGGCCGCGAGGCAGGCGAAGGAAAGGAGCTTTGCTGAGGTGTTTGGAGAGCTGGTATGTAGAGCGCCAGTGCAGAAGGGCATGAAGGATAAGGAGAGGAAGGCGGTGGAGGAGAAGCAGCAAGCTGTGCTGGAATTGTTTTTGAGGAGGAGAGGGGACTGAAATGTAAAGACAGGTTGACAGAACGGATTCTTTAGATGGACGTTTTGGAGTAGTACGGGACATATGGGAAGCATGCTTGGCGTACGGGAACACTGATGGCTTCTCACTGACAAGCGAGTTAAGCCTTGCGTTTGAGTTGTACTACAATGTTTGTTGGCATAGTGTAATGCTGTATTAGTCAGAGGGTAGCGTGATACCTTGTTGTTTGTCTAGCGGAGTTTTGGTTGCTTCGATTCATCTTCATCTGGGGTGGTGTTACCGATGGTGGTGATCAGTTTGCTCACCGGAGAAAGTTTGAGAAGGCGACGGAAGCTTGGCTGCGATCGGACCAACATGAGACTGAGGTGAAGTGTCATAGGATCAACTCACTGCACTCCATCCGAGCTGAGATAAATTAGGTACGCGGCTTCTCTGGGATCATTGCAAATATTGCATTTGAAGCTCTCCACATGGCCAAGGCCGTCAGACCGCCAAAGGGGAAAGAGCATGTGTACGATGTGGAAGGAGGGAATCCACTTTGTTTCTGTTTACTCAAAGTTGGGAAGCTGCCTTGCTATTACTCTGTTTCAGGAGTGGTAGCCTGGATACCTGATTCCACTCTTGATCCGGTCTTTGCTTCGCATGACACAACTCGAGCACAAGAACAGAATGGGAAAACCTTAGGCCAGTCTGTCTCAGTGGAGTCACAGCGTCTTCAATCCCATTCACCTGTCATCGCCAGGTGGCTCCAGCCTCTTCACTGTTTTTGTCCAAGGCAAGGTCAGCGGGCTTTCACTTGACACAAGTTGCCAGCTGCCATCCCCTCTATGCTATATAAGCTCAGGTTACGAATCCAATTCTTTTTTTTAACCAGACCACAGCCCCTCCTCTGATCCAGCGACTTTCATTACCTAACCTTCTGGCATTTTTACCCTTCCACGAGCTGAAGCCTCGGTGCAGTTCTTGTACATTCACACCAGACTCGAACAAGCGACCACTGCCAGCGACACAAACACCATGTCCTACGAACATCGATGTCTCATGCGCCGCCGGCTCGAGCTGTACCACGACCTCTTGACAGAGCAGCTGAGGCCTAGAATCGAGGCTGCCGCTGCCGCTACGACCGAGAACGAGAACCCAGATTCCGGTACCGATCAGTATATAGATGACGATACTGACAATTCTGACGACACTGACGACTCCGACGAGGATCTACGCGAGTGGGATCACGCTGAGAACAAGTCGTCTGAGGAATCATATGCCCGTGTCACTCAATGGCGTTGTGGGCTTGAGAGAAACAAAGTCTGTGAGACGGACGCTCTAAATCATTGTGGGCAGACTGAGGAGGGGTCGGGTCAAGTGGATTTGAGGCAGCAAGATAACAAGTACGAGGCTTGTCTTACGGCGGAAGTCCGTCATATCGAGCAGGCCCGTAGTGGCACTGCTGCGGACATGAGCATGCAAAATCTTGGAGGACCCCTAGCACCACTCTTGGCTACCTTGCCATTAAATCACATGGCCAAGAATGAAGAACAAGGACAGGCAGATGATGGCGAAACAGCATCGAGCAGCTTCGAAACCACAGAGCGGGAAGCGAGCAACATTCCATTACCCGATCAGGGGAATTCGAGCTCGGAAGCATCAAAAGATGACTTTTCAAACAAGTTCAATACACCACCCAGCTCCTCTTGCCGCGAGTCGTCCGTCACTGCGAGCCCAGTGCCCATTAACAAAGGCAACGATCCAACCTCCCTACTCCGACAATCCAACCTCATCAATCAATCTCAACCAATTCCCACAACCTTGAAGCTTTCGCAGTCACCTCGTCGTTCAAAATCGCTACCCCCGCTGAACTTCTTCCCTTCCCGTTGTCCACCCACGCCACCTCCAGACACTTCCTCCTCCACCTCTACCTACTCGCCACTGCGCTTTACTGTCACTCCAGCACAACTCGAGTTTTTCTACGAACACATCCACGAGGTCGAGTACATGATCAGAGGAATCGACTACCAGTTCCAAATGCATGAGTACCGGGATGAAGTCCGCCGACAGAATCGACGAAGGCGAATACGGACAGAGGTGGAGGAACGGATGAGAATCATTGAATGGAACAATGACATCCCGGGTGAGGACTGGGGCAGTGTGACAGGTATGGATGAGACCGAGCTGGTTGAGGAGTCAGCGGAAGAGATCGGACAGCAGAGCTGGGAGAATGATACTGTTGTTGCGGTGTGGGATACTGGTGGTTTGGAGGGCAATCAGCCCACAGACACCGAAGGGGAGGGTGATGATGATCCCAGCTCTTATGAGCCTGGTGGGGTGGGAGATGGCTGTGCAACAGATGGACATGGGGAAGAAGATGACTCTGTTTGGGTCGACGGAGCCGGAGATGAGAATGCGGCCGCTGCTGCAGATGGTAGCAGCAGCGATGAGACCGGATGGAATTGTGCTTGGTCGTCCACTTGCTTGGAGTCCGAGAAGAAGACCCAGCCTCATCAACCAACCAAAAGCAGCTCACTTCGAAAGGAATACACCCCTGATGATATGGTCTGGGAGGAGGCGGTGGCCGAGGCTGAATACCTAAAAAGCTTTGGGCATCATTTTAAGAAGGACAAGCGTGGACGAAGGTACTGGCGTTTGTAAAGGGGTAATGTATGCCAAGTCATCACACTGTCTGTCAAGGAAGCACGATCGTTGTTTGGGTTTCATCTTGAGCAATGATTATGCTTCCATGTAGCATGCATACCCAAGCTAACAAGCGGAGGCTTCATGTTCGACGAGGAACACTATTATCATTGCAATAAGTCCTTCGCTAACCCTGTATGGTGTGCTACCTAACACCCTACCCTCAAGAAAAGAAACTGACAAGCACCACTGCCATGATTGTGGTCACAGGTTCACAAAAACACAAAAGCCCCCCCACAAGAGCGCGATGCCGACTGCAGCAGTAATGGTATTTTTTGCCGCTCCCGACTTTGCCGTTCCAGACTTTGCCGCAGAGGGTGACGGTCCGCCCTCTGTTATTGTCGATGTGATCGTGACCACACCATCACCATTCCCGCCCAAGGAGGTACTCGGCGACTGTACGCCCGAAGTAAAAGGAACGCTATTCGTGGTCGTTGCGCCTTCCCAAGCAACAGGTTCTGTATTAGCCGTCGGAATCGGTGTTGCCGTTGAGTTATTCGGGTTTAGAACACTAAAGATCACCCACGTGGTCAGTCATAGCAACCTACCTAGGCTTGGAGGAAGGAAGAAGGAACTCACCCATCAACAACATGAACTACCCCATTCTCCACCAGCACATCACTTTTAACCACTCTCGCCCCATTCACAAACACCTGCTTGCCACTTCCACTGGTCTCCTCTTCATCATCCTCCTCAGCATTTGTCCCATCCTCCGTTGATGTCGACCCATCGACGACCCTTACTTTGAGTGTCCCCCCTTCCACGGTCTCATAGTCCTTCTCAAACTCCTCACCTCCCTCTGGCCCGCCAGCCTCCCCATCACTGTTATCATTCTGCACCAACAAATCACTATAGAACACCTTCCCCTTTTGGCCCTTCAGCACGTGATAGGCCATGATATCCGCCAGCTCGTCCTCATCCATGTCCGATACCACGCTTCCTACTGCATTCCAGGCGTCGTTGGAGGGGACAAATATGGTGATGTCTTGTTTGGTGTTGAAGACGTCTGTGAGGTTGGCTCTACTTAAAGCGCCGACAGAGGCAGTTAAGGAGAGGAGGGAAGAAGCGGAGGAGGATATTTCGTCGTCTTGGCTGGTTGATGAAGAAAAGGGGCCAAAAGAGGCGAGGGTGTCGTTAAGTCGTGAAGGGAGAGAGAGGACATGGTCGATTATGTGAATGGTGCCCCCGGAAAAGTTGAAGTTGGCTTGGGTTATTGTTGATTTGGTTATTTGCCGTGAACCACCAGACCCACTGATGCCGGAGTAGAAGGTAACTACCGGCTCACCACCGCCATCACTAGAGGAACTCGAACGAGCGATGACTCGTTGGCCACCAGACACATTAGCATAGGGCGTAATATCTGGCGCCAACAACGTTGGAATGAAAAGCGAGTTCCCATCTATCCCGCTCCCATCATCATCCACACTATCATCCCTCTTCTTCCTTCTTCTCTTTGCCGCCGCTGCAGCACTACTACCACCACCACCAGTACCAGCAGTCAAGTTGCTCGTCCACCACACCCCCCTCAAAACATGATAGTTCCAAAACGCCTCCACCAGCTGCGGATCAAAGTTATTCAAGTCATTCATAGTGACGGCTTCCCCACCGCCGCCGCTGCCACCGCCAAACAGTCCGGCCATCGCGTCGTTGCTGGGCGCTAGTATGGTGATGCCTGAGGTCCCGTTGATGGCGGCGAATAGGAATTGTTGGGTCTGGATGTAGCTGTTGAGTGTTGACAGGCTGTCGTTGAGGGCTTGGAGGGTCTCGGTTAGGGTTGGGGTGCGTTGGCCGCTTTCGGCGGTTTGAGCAGAGGCGGTAGGTAATGTGGTCGCTAGAGCTATCGTGGGAAGGGTGCGCTTGGGTTTCATCGTGGTGGTTTGGGGGTGGAATATGGTGTGTTGAGAGCGGATTTTGGAGGAGGAGGTGGTGGTGATGGAGTGACGGATGTCAAAGATGGTCACGATGTCGGGCGTTGACATGAGAGCTGGGCAAGTCGTGGGTGGGGGTATGATACAGTCGAACGAGGAGTCGGGCAACTAAGCATTCGAGATGAAGATGAAGTTCAACATCGTTATATTGCACCTATAAACTCTTCCAATATCTCCATCCATCACGACCACCATCATGATCAACCGACTTGGAATCACTCGCTCGTCATCCATTCCTCTGTGTTCCATCATCTCCAATGTTGGCGGAGGGCAAAGTTAAAACTTGGCTGCGCCCTCCTGACCGAAGCTAACTTCCCAATCAGTGATCCCGAGTGTAGTCATTCTGATGGCAATGTTGGAAAAGTTCGAAGTGCAAAGAACCGAGGGACAACCGACAAGCAAGCGCAGAATAAACAAAAGGTCGAAGAACATGGGCGATTTCTTCCAGATAAAGTCCAAGACCTCATCCTTTACAAGGAGCAGTTTGCCGTTGAGCTGGCTAACTGGCTGACTTGAAGGATATCAGGAGAGCGGAACTCGCATCTTTCACTGCACATGGTGATCGTGGTGGTCATGATGATACATCACAAACGGATGATTTGCCTCCTGAGCCGTGGCCTTGGGATTGAATCCTGCGTGTTGTTTGCATAAACTCGGCAGAACTTGGGGAAACCGTACCTTGAAATGCGCACAGTGGCTTGGTGCAAGCAGCTGTTGCTGCGAATATCTCCTGCTGGACTTCCACAACCTGCGTGCCTGCCTAGAATGGTTTGTTGACTGTTGCAGTTGGTAGGCAGGCAAGGTGCGAACTTTATCAAGCTCTGCAGGGCATGTGTATACCTCAATAACCCGATGACACATACCTGTACCTTAGCCAGTTTAGTATCGTTCTTTCCTCCTGTAACTCCCTGTTGTTGGCCTGGGGAAGTGCGAATCGAAATCACATTCCGAGGGAGCATCTAGCGATGAAAGGAAATTCCTACCCTCGTCAATTAAAACCGACTACTCTCATCACAATTCCGGGCCCTTTAGGTTCCACCAACACTCGTGTGAAGAATGGGGGATGTTATGCAACCTTCTTCATACAGATATTCGAAGTGTCCCCTTACTCCGCCTTCATCGCCCAGTTGAAGTGATGAGGATCGCTACTTGGTGGATCAAAATATCACAGCCTAATGCCACGCCCAGGACATTGTTCTCGCGTACCCTTCCATTGAAAGAATGATAATGTCTCCATAAGGCCTGAAATTCAATTGTGATAACCCAATTGGGGGTTGGGGACCGGAGTCCCGGGAGAGGCCCCTCGGAAATTATGCCTATCACAAGATCTGTTGTTTTCCAAGCCACAGCCAAGATGTCTGAATCAAGATTGACGATGCATTTCAACAGTGAAGGAGGTTTAAAACACGCGCCCAGAGCCTTGGCTCAACCGCTCTCGGGGATAACGGTAAGGCTACCGAGACAGATCCAAACTCGGGCCGGACTGTCATCCTCCGGGTGGGGGTTCCAAGAACGCGGGGGGGTGTCATTCTGACTGTCTTACACCAACCTGGAAAAGTTGCCCAGACGGCAAGACTTTAATGGGATCCGTTAATATTGGATTTCTTTGTGATGCTAACGTCTCAACATTTCTTGACAGCCATGTCAATGGCTTCAACAGAGCCGTAAACCGCTGATGTCGGTCTTATCAAAAGTATACCAAGAAATCCGGGGCGAAAATTGACAAGACCACAGGTGAAGAACTTGAGTATAAGTACGCCCACGATGACCTTAACCACCTCATGTTCTGGTGATCCACAACGAGCAAGTTTGAGCAAGTTCCAATCTCATTCTTCCCTCGTCCCGTCACCATGAAGGTCCTCGCCCCTCTCGTACTCGCAAGCGCGGCCAGCGCTCACACCATTTTCTCCTCCCTCGAGGTCAACGGCGTCAACCAAGGCTTGGGAGAGGGCGTCCGCGTGCCCACCTACAACGGTCCCATTGAGGACGTCACCTCGGCGTCCATCGCCTGCAACGGCTCGCCCAACACCGTCGCCTCCACCTCCAAGGTGATCACCGTGCAGGCGGGCACCAACGTGACGGCCATCTGGCGCTACATGCTCAGCACCACGGGCGACTCGCCGGCGGACGTTATGGACAGCTCGCACAAGGGTCCCACCATCGCCTACCTCAAAAAGGTCGACAACGCCGCCACCGCCAGCGGCGTTGGGAATGGCTGGTTCAAGATCCAGCAGGACGGCATGGACAGCAGCGGCGTCTGGGGTACCGAGCGCGTGATCAACGGAAAGGGCCGCCACAGCATCAAGATCCCTGAGTGTATCGCTCCGGGACAGTACTTACTCAGGGCTGAGATGATTGCGCTGCACGCAGCGAGCAACTATCCTGGTGCGCAATTCTACATGGAGTGTGCGCAGCTTAATGTCGTTGGTGGTACGGGTGCTAAGACCCCTTCGACTGTCAGCTTTCCTGGGGCTTACTCGGTATATACCACCATTTTTACGAAAAGTGTCGTTGGATATTGGGAGTAAGATGATTGCTAACATATGTTTTTCATAGGGCTCCGACCCCGGAGTCAAGATCAGCATCTACTGGCCTCCGGTTACGTCTTATACCGTCCCTGGTCCCAGTGTATTTACTTGCTAAATGGTTTAGCAGTATACGGCATGGTTGAAAGGTGGTAGTACATCCTTGAAACATGTGAGAGTCAATACAATTGGTTTAAAGACGGAACCTCCTCTTACTCCGCGTACTACCCCTATTCTTGTACATGGTTTCATCAACCCAACTTCGCACATACATACCTACTTGACGTATACATGATTAACGCATTTCCCTCTCATCTACCTCCAAAATAAGCTATCTCTACCGGCCTACGCCTCCGCCTTCCTAAAATTCGGTGCCTCCCTCCAATACTCCTCATCTCTCAACTGATGCTTCCTCGTCCAGTCCTGTATCCTTTCAAAGCTTCTACACTGATGTTCTACATCCCACAACAACGCAGTCCCATACGCCCTCTCCTTTTTATCCATCCGCAGATACTCCTCCGTGTACCTCTCCTCTTTTGTATCCTCATCAACATACGTATAAGTCTTGTTCCACCAGTACGTCATTTGCACATCCCCATTACACATTATCGCCTGTCTAAGAAAATCGAGACAGTGCGCCCGGTGGTCGTGGTATTCCGCGTCCGAGGTGTTGGGGAAGTAATGCCCTCGCCAAAAGGAGCGCCGGATGAGGTCGAGGCAGTGAAGCTGGTGGAACATGGAGCCGCCGTAGATGTAGGAACCCGGCGCGTAGTAGATCTCGGAGGAAGGGTAGCTTAGTTTTTGGGAGGTTACGAGGGGGAGGCGTACTCTGCCGTCGCTTGCTGGAGGTGGGTTGGGTTAGTGACGAGGAAAGAAGGGCAAGTCTGAATGTGACTGGAAGGAGGAAGGAGGAAGAGTGAAAGGGGCGGAAAGGGAAAGGAGTCTCACGACCGAGGATAGATTCCCACGCTTTGTCGACGGAGGGGGAGGGATCCTCTTGAAAAATGCGATCGGGATGGAAGCGCTCATTTTCATACTCTATGACGCCGTCTTCGAGGAGTGGCGCTGTTCGTTGCAGTCCTGTTAGCTTAATAGCCATAATGAATACATAGGTAAGGCTCGGTGTCTTGTCTTACAGTATGGAGGTCTCGGTGCTCGGTAGAACGGGGAAGAGTGTATCCTCCATAGAGCGTGGAGATACAGGCATAAAAGTAGGACGCTCAAGGCTACATTGATGGCGAGGACAATTCTCGCTGGCCTAGGCCACTCATCACGCATCAATCTCCAAGCTCTTGTATACTTTGGTTCTCGTCGAATGCATCGGCGCTGTTCGGAGCAGTCGGGTGTAGAGATGGAGTGTAAGAGAGATTCTGAAGAGCTCTCGACATTGGGGACCTTCTCGTATGGCATCGTGATCTAGTTATCGACACCGAACTTGCAAGGAGACGAAAAGAAGAGGAAGTACTGCAGAAGTTCTTTGAAGTGATGTGCCAATAAGAGGGTGTTGGATGCTTCTTTTATCATTTGGCAGTGAGAGATCTCTTGGGTCCGGGTGCTTCGGATATGGGCCCCGGGCGGCAGCTCAAAGTGGGCATATTCCATATAGTGTACTCCAAGCTCCTTTAGGTTGCGTGGAGGAAAATCATTCATCGTCGATGTGGCTGTTAAACTCCGTGGTGTATCGGAAAGTACGAATGGTGCACCTGCCCCTTCTGGTGCAACGGCTGCAGCTGACATCACATCTGACGACCCGCGCAACAACCCGACGAAAGCCGGTGCATCGGTGACGCGAGATCGTATACTCGGATTTGTCCGGCACGCAATGGACGACACAAGGTAAGCCTACTGAAAGTATGGTCCTGCCGTTGTTAGGTGCTCAGAACCAAAGCGCATCGTGAAGCCATCACCATCGGACTTAAACCAATCCTGTCCCGTTCTCAGAATGCTTGGATGGTTCTCACTCGACCGGCTGCGCAAGGCCAAGACGGAGTGTGTCCAAAACGACCCGTCAACCACAGAAACATTCGATCCCGAGTATCTAAGAAATCTGAGTGTTCAAGATGGCATCAGCTTGTGATCGTGGGTCGGTAACACCGTAACCGCCATTGCATCACGCAGTCAAGCACTTGGTTACCGTTCGCCAACATTGGCCCATATTCAATGTACCTGAAAGTTTCCCTCGCGTGCCAAAGTCTCCGATAGACTCTTGAGCAAGCAAGTATAAGGATCCGACTTCACCTTCACCAGAGTCTGGATCATTAGCGTCGGCATCAGCATGCGGTTCAATAGTAGCGTCACCAACTGCCACCACCACCTTTAACATCCCACGAACTCAAAAATGCGATTCATCATCCTGCTCTCCCTCCTTACGGCCCTCATCACCGCCTCTCTCATCCGCTCTCCTCGAAGCCCCAATACTGCACTCGCACCGATCAACAAGCGCTTCGAAGCCAGTGTCCCCTGGATCTGGCGCCCTAAGAAGGCGGACTTCGAGCAATTTGAAGAAGAGGGCGACGAGACCTCCACCGGGACCAATACCGACGCCAATGCCGTAATCAACAAGCGCAACAACGGCCCTTGGCACTGGCAGTCCTGAGAGGGGACCTCCGGCCAGTTCAAGGATGGCGCTGCTGATGCTGCTGCGGGTCATACCGTTGACAAGGCCCCTGGTGTGAAGGGTGGGCAGAGGTGAGCTGCTGCTTGGTACCTAGCTGAGCCTCACCGGTGAGTAACTTTGTCGATATCGATGACCTGCCGAGAAGTATCGTCTGCGTGCTAATGTTTGCGTTAGGTGCCATCGAGTGGAGCAGTTTTCTTTGGGTTCCATGATGGGCGTCCTGGGATAGTGTGTGAGACTAAGCGACGTGATGAATTGAAGCGATCGGTACCTTCGTTTGCTTTGGCGGTTGGAAGCTAGGTAGAATAGTCTGAGAAAACATATGGAAGAAAGGGCCATGACTATTTTTACTTACTTGGGAGGTCCTGGATGCTTGCCATTATTCAACATAAGACATACCGGCCTTTCTCTCTTTTTTTTTTTTTTTTTTTTTTTTTTTTTTTTTTTTTTTTCCTCTCCTTCTTGTTTTCTTTTATGTCGGACCCTATATAAGCCATTTTCCTCTTTCGAATTGCTTGCTCCTGTTAATCAGTGATACCATGTAAGGTGCTGAGTGAGACAGGTAGTGAAGCTATAGCCCACCCTAAGCTGGTGATGACGGAGGAGGCGAGGGAGCTGGCGAGGATACTATTGTGGGAAAGTGTGGTGTTTGTGGCGCGTTGGTGGCCGTCGAATTCGAGGAAGGGGTTTGGGTTGCCGCGTCAAAGGTGTGATGAGTGTCGAGGTGTTATGTGGTGCTGGTTTGGGTTGTTTCGTTGGTGGATTTGGTGACGCCGAAGATGTTGAATGATGCGGCGTTTGGGTGATATGGAGAGATATGGAGAGGGTGGTGAAGGAGATTCAGAGAATGGGCAGATGGTCGATGTAAGGATCTGTGCCGTCAGTCTGTTAGGTGCGGAGATTTCCACGAGGTTCAGTTCCAAAACAATTTATTGATTCTGGACACCCTACCTTTTCCATATCTAGGTATGCAGCTATCCCTTCGCTCATCCAAACATGCCTGCTCAATTGTTTATCCAGATCCTGAACATCGTTCTACCTATCTTGGTTCATAGCTTCAAACCATCTCCCGTCGATCTCTTCCTTGCCCGCTGGAAAAAAAAAATCTCACTTTTCCGAAACAAACATTGACCCCATCCATCCGTATGCCCGGCTCAGCCGTCTGCCGATTCGCCTTGCCATCATAAAGGTGAGCTTCCCTTTAGGATGCGGTTCATGGAATTGGATGGCCCGTTCAACATCCAGGCTGGTAGGACGAAACTGCCAGACAGATCCATACAGCTTCTCGGCCATGAATCCGGTAGAGGTCATGGCATGTAGGAAGTCGTTCCAGGGAATCTCGCCAGGGCTGGAGGTAATGTTGGGGTTGTAGAACAGCGTACGAAAAACCTTGATGGATCTAGCATCAACGGCAAAAGTAGGCTGTTTATCCCCAGTCACGTCCGGGGTGAGGGTTAGTTCCGGAGTGCTAGGCTCCGTTGAGGCATTCGTAGTTCCACGCGTCTTAACCTTGATCTTTGGAGACGGGGTAGGCTCGGATTTGGGAGCTGCGAGGCCGAAGAAGAAAGAAGAGAAGGGGACGATCAATTCATCCACATCTGCGACAGTTGTTTTCGCCCCTTTGTCGTCTGCACTTGGCGCGGGAGATTCAACCCACTCAGGTGTTCGCTGAAGACTTCGCGATTGAGTAAGGAGTCTCCGCACGAACGTGTTCTCAAGGTTGTTTGCGTCCTTGTACATGAATCGATCGACACCCTTCCAGAATTCGTCGAGGTTGCCTTCTGCACTTCTCAGAGCCTCCACATTCTCCTTGGTGCGGCGCTTGTCGACGGGGTAGAAAAATCTCCTAGATGCAGGCTTACCCAGCCGGACAAGTGAATGGAACCTGCCCTGCTTCTCACTGGTAGCCCTGACAATAGCTGCCCAAGGCTTGCTAGTTTCGGCAAACGCAGCCTTGATGTTATCCTCATGGTCGATATTGAGACTCTCAAAGCTGCGGGCCCACGGTTGGTAGCAGTCAAGCTGTCTCATACACTGGGTAATGATGGACAGCTGTCCGATTAAGCCAGCAACATAGGACGATATTATCCGACTAGCTTCCTTTTCAGTTTCCAGCAGGCGCTCCAACTCGTCCACAATTATGGGCTGTGAGGCGAGGAACAGGTCCATGCCGTCCTCCCACAGCGTCCTCAGAAGCCAGACCAACCGCTTCTCTACTGGAGTCAGCTTGTGGTTAGGGTTGAAGGCGACTGCGACGTCGTTCAGATCCCGCAGTGATCCCTGGGCTCGGATCGAGAGATATCTCATGGGCGGCGACGACATGACTGTCTGTTTCAGTTCGCCAAGGACACCCTTGGTGGCCTGGTAAAGGTAGAAACGGAATTTGAGTAACGCCTTCAGATACTCCTTGGGTAAGTCGTCCTTGACTGATATGGCCTTTGCATATTTTTCTTGGAGACATTGCAACTCTTGGGCTTGGCGATGAAGCTCGTTGTATACCTCAACGTCCATGTAAGCCGTTTTGACAAGAGTGGACAAGATACGTGACCATAAAACTTCCTCGTTGACGGGATAGGATTTACCCCAGCGGTCTTTGAGGGTCTCTGGGCGATGTTCTTGTAATTCCAGGGCTTTGTCGACGAAATAATTGGGATCCTCACGTAGGGACCACAGGTGATCTTCACTGGCTGCCGCTTGAGCGCCAAGAAGCGACTCGATGCGGCCAAAGTCAAGTTTGGCGGGTACTCTGTAAGGAGCTTCAGCAGCCAAGACAGCAAGAGAATCGAATCCGGTTGTCTCACTTTCTTCTTTCATGTGAGGCTCGGGCTGGACGGGATATGAGCTGCTCAAAAGCTTGTCTTCGGGGATCTCGTGAAGAATCTCGGTGCAGCATTTGATCAAGAAAGATAGTAGGCGATCCTGAACTTCCAACACAAGAAGTCCTTCACCGGGCAGGAACTGTCTCTGACTCATGGCCAACTCGAAGTTGCTGGGGTGCTCGTCCCAGGACAAAAGCTTGCCGTAATCGTCAGGGTGCTTTTCGTCGACGCCGTTGAGAATCATGGTGTGCTCGTTAAGGAAAATGGGTACAATGGCTTTCGTAACAAAGGCAAACTTTGTATTGGTGGCATCGATGGCGGCAAAGGTACAAGGGTGGTGGCGTCCGCGCGAGTTTAGCAGCAGTGGCAGTAAACGAGGACGAGAGAGATCCTCTTGGTTGATATAAGGCCACATGAACCAATCTTTGTATTTGGTGCCCGACATGCGCTGTTGTTCAGACTCCTTGAGGAAGGCCTCAAAGTCAGGACGATGATTGGGGGCCATGTTGGGCCACGCCTTGAGCAGGATCTGGAGACGCTGTGCCTTCTTCTTCTTGGCCCAGCGTTTTTGGATAGTGTCTTCATGTCGTTCAAGGATATCGTGCAACTTGGCGTAGGAAGCGAATATGCTGTCACGTCTTTCCTTGGCCGTGCGGCGGACGGAATCTGGGGATTGGCTTTCTGGGATGGGTAGCCCGCCTGGGCCGCCGCCGCCCAGGGCCTTGAAGATGCTCGCGGGGTCATTGAAGTCGATGTCGTCAAAGTTGATACCGGGACCGTCAAAACGTTCGGCATCGGCACTCCAAGGGTCAAATTGATGATTGGGACGGAGATCCATGACTACTGCCCGCCGCCTCTCAAAAAAGGGAAATGGTTGGACGAGGATGAAGGGGGATGGCGTGTAAGTGGTGAGGAGGTCCCAGTGAGGTTGTAGTCGAAATCGGAACCGGAAGCGGCTTGGTCACGTCGAAGCAGGCGTCTCCACCTAAAAAGCGGGTCTATGACAGCTGCGTGAGCTGGAGCTATCCCAACCTTGTCAAGCTTGGCAGGTGTCAGGCATCTGTCTTAGCCTGCGACGTCCTCTGCAATGTTAGACTGGAAAGGACTTGCCGTTTGCACATCGCTTTCGCTTGGCTCAACATTGTCTGCTTGCTAAACAAGAAGTGAACTCACGGTCTCAATGCATGTTGTTGCATTCAACTTGGCATCCTCGCAGACTTCAGTTTAGTCATGATCATAACGTCCATCCTTCTCAGAGTTGGTTCGCTCTGCAGGACCTTAGGTCCATCGCTGCAACACGCTGTCTTCTCGTTTGCAATCAGATCACCTATCCGCCTTGCCCATCACAACTCAGTGACTCCCAACACATCTCTTGATCTCCCTCTTCTTTCTTTCTCTGCTTCTCGTCATGAATATTCATTGTTTATTTTCCCAAAGCTGTACCAATTTATCATTGCATTAACCTCCAGCTCTTTCTCCCATTTCGCCATCAATGATTATCAACCTCCTCGTTTCTTCTGCTTCTTCCCTGCATCTGGTTCCCTCCCATCGCAAGCAACAATCAACAGCTTATCAACCCTGATGACCTCGGGTCCCTTTCCATCATCATCTTTCTTACCCTGTTCGATTCCGTTACCACCATCACCCCTGCTTCTCTTCTGGGCTCTCTCTTCACTGTCCCCATCTTCACATCCATCTCTCTTCCTCTTAGCACCCAACTCACCCTTTCCTCCACCTCTAACGCTTCCACCGTCTCGCAAATCTGCCTTGACGTTTCCAGGCCTTTGTCTCCTCCTCCGCCTTCTCTCCGAACCAACGGCAATCTCAACATCCTCCACCCACAACTTCCAAATATCGTCCACCAGTCTGTACTGCTTCAGTTTCCCCTTCATCTTGATCACCGGTATTTTGTTGATGACTTCATCATGTGTGGCGAGCGTTTGGGCGATTACGCGGTCGAAGGTTGTGAGGACGTGATCGGTTAGTTTGTGGGTCAGGGATGCGAGGGACTGCTGTCGCTGTTGCTGTGGCTGGGACTGGAGTTGTGGTCTTAGGTCTCTGGGCGTGGTGGTGGAGGAGGAGGAGGAGGAGGAAGCACGGGTGCTGGTGCTGGTGTTCATACTAATAATTGGAGACGAGGACTCGGTTGTAGTAGTGGTGCCAGCTAGATCAATAGGATTGCCTGCTTCACTACCAGTCGGCTCAGTCGTCAGGTTGATAGGGTGGTCCAGGGCGGCGCCGGGGATGATTGGAAAACGGCCGGCAAGGATGAGCTCGTCCATTGCTTCGATCAGGGCGCTACCGAGGCTGCCATCGCGGTAAAGTGTGAGGTACTCTTTGGGAGCGCTGCGATTTGAGGACATTTCTGGCTGTAGTGGGCTTGCATATGTGTACGTAATATATGCCTTTCCCGTCGTTGTCGGCCTGTTCAGTGGTCTAAGCTTTAGCGGTTGAAGTATGCACAACTTTGGCCTAGCTGGCGGAGCTTATATAGGTGAGATTATCACGCAAAGTGGAAATGGGCGTTTGAGAAGAATGTGAATAGAGCCGATGGGGAATTTGGAAATATATAAGAACCGTGATCCACAGAATCACTGACCATTGAGCCACTGCTATTGTCGGACCGCACTGTAATTCACGTGTTTAAGGTTTTGCGGGCCATCAACGGACCTTGATGGGTGCAAGGACTGGGCCAGAACTGAAGGTTCAGTGCTGTTGCCTGGGGCAAAAACGGAAAAAAGTGATATCTTTCATCTCTCGCTCGAAAACCTTCTTGCTACCCCAATAATTTTTCACTTAAAGAGCTACAGCAGTCACCAACGGCTTTCATAATATAAGGTCAGTGCCGCTGGAAGCAAACGGCGCAGTATCGTTGGGCTCTGACCGAGTGACGCGAATCCAGAAAGTCTCGTATCAAGCACCAATCCTGAAAGAGCTCATATTGGTAATCTACACCAGCCAAGCTCTGTTTCCGATGACCCATTTCGAAAGAACAGAAAGAGCAGGCACTCACCAGGTAATTGGCCCAATTTCAACTGGTTTGTCTGCCGGGAAGAATACCCATCGAAAGGGACGTATATAGAACTATCTAGTTAAGTTACCACTTCAAGAAACGTGATGGAATTGGAAGTTCTGTGGATCTTTATCTGTTTGGATTCAACATAGCCCTTGCCATCCGCGATCTTTCTCGGTACAGCTAGAGGTTTTACCAAAGACGAGTCCACTGATCACACCGAAAGTGAAGTATTGAGATTTGCTTGTGAGGTCCATCGGCCGGAATTTTGCTCCATTTGAGATGTACTTGTCTTCAATTAGCTTGATGAAGGCAACTACTCGGCTGTCTGATTCCGCTTCTATTGAGCGGGTTTCCTTGCCAAAGTACCTACTAGAGTGGATTGGTGGTTGGTATCATGCGGTATCCTTCACTCGGATCATCGTCAAGACATTGCTGGGCGCAATGCGTATATGTCGATGCGTTTTGGTTGCACAACTGATCAGAGATCCAGACAATACAAGAACTTGCCATACTTGTCGTAACACTCCATTGCAGCCTGGGGTTGCCGCCATTTCAAGGCCGCCGTAGGATATGCACGTCAGTAGCAGAAGACAGTCTAGTCCCTGGTGGCTGTATAATGCATTCAAAGCTCGTTGTAGTGTCAACAGCGATAGATAGCACTGCACTGGATGATAACCTTGGGGCCATGAAAGCAATTCAAAATGCGCCGGGAGTTAAGGAGGTCGTCTGCCGTTGCGAATATCGAGGACGCCCAAAACATCAGTGCAGACAATTTGGATACTATGCGGAACAGCGCGCAGTACTTGCACTTAATAAATCTTTTGCACGTATCGGTGCTTCATTCGCATACGAAGAAAATGCGAACCCCGGCTGTCAAAATGAAGTTTGCACTTTATGGGTCACTTTGTACATAGTATGTGTTTGCAGAAAGGGGGGGTTTGCATCTGCAGGGGACATTGCCATAATGACAGGGGGAAGATGTCCACCATGCTCCCAAGAGGCTCGGCATTCATTCTGGCCCATTGAAGCACGCACGTGGCGACATAGGTTACATGGAAGGCGTGCTTCAGGGTTGACAATGGACGCTATAAAGCTCTTTCTTTTATCGTGTCGTCCCCCTCTCCAACACTTGACGACCGCATTTGCCCAACATTATCATCTTTTTGGGGTCCGTAACAGCTCGGAACGGTGGATGTGGTAGGAGGACGCTGACACGATTAAAGATCAGCTACTGTAACACCAAGTGTCAGAACATACCTTACCGAGAGGATACAGAGCTCAACAGGGGCCAATACTATACGTACCGTTTATACAGCATATGGAGTGCAACCCCGCACCACTAAAACACAACACCACCACGAAAAGATCACCAAGCTTCGAGCGGGGATCTCACCACTACCTCTACTTGCCGGTACATTGAACGACGAGGGACGAAAGGGGGATTTCGTACGCTAGCAATGTCACCTCAACCTCCAGCACCTATCAACTTTACCGGTCGTGCGAGAGCACTGGCATCGCGAAGCTGGAAGGTCTTCCTTGTTAACTGGCACTTGGGCTTCACAGCTTTTGGTGGGCCACCGGTCCACTTCAGGATAGTGAGTGCGGCCTGTACTGAAACGACCTGAACTGCAACAACCTAATTAGTCTGCTTAATACTGGTAAACCTGCAAGTCCATGGGCTGACAAGGAGACGATAATAGTTCAATGACAAGTTCGTGCAAAAGACCAAATGGATCGATGAGCAGGTGTACCAAGAGCTCTTCAGTGTCTCGCAGGCCCTCAGCGGACCAGGCAGCACCAAGATGTTGTACTGTATCAACTTGATACAAGACGGATTCCTTGCCGCCGTGTTCAGCTTCCTGCTGTGGAGGTAAGTCACAGCATCCGAACATTCACACAAGATTACCTAGGTACCTACCGTGAACGACAGTCTAATAAGACGCAACCAGTTTACCGGGTGCCATAGGCATGTACGCGCTCGCTGTTGGCGTTTCAAAGATTGACGAAACCCTTCCGAGACCGGTATATGCTCTACTATCGGGTCTTAACGCCGGTACTGTCGGCGTCATTGCCCTTGCTGCCGTCGAACTATCCGAAAAGGCCATCACGGACCGGCTAACGAGAATCCTGGTCTTCCTCGGCGCTACTGCCGGCATGCTGTATAATGCCCTCTGGTACTTCCCGATCTTGATGCTAGCATCTGGCATCGCGACACTTGTACATGACTTGAGATGGATGCACCAACCAATTTCGGCCATCGTTGGTTTTGGTACGAGTCTGAAGGGCAAGCTCATCAGGGCATGGCCTTTTGGAAAGTGGCCCGGATCAACTTCAGATGCGAATAACGATAACAATGCCGCGGTGCAAGGGCGAAGGAACAGTGCAGATGACGAAGAAAACATCGAAATGTCGAGTGTGGCAAAGGCAACAGCGACGGCGTCAAGCAGCTCCGGTGCCCGACCAAGAGCCGGACAACAGTCGCAGCTGTCCGACCTTCCAGTCACCGAACAAGAAGCATCCACGTCGTCCTCCACGGCCGAGAGCGAGCCACGCATCATTCCAAGCGAGTTTCGACTCGACTTTTCCTGGAAAATTGGAACGGCAATCGTCGCTTGCTTCTTCGCCACCTTTGTTGCCGTCATGGTCACTCGCGGCGTCTTCCCGAATCCGCCTGGGCTTCCCCTTTTGTACCACTTGTTCGTCAACATGTATCTTGCCGGAACAATTATCTTTGGCGGCGGCCCTGTCGTTATTCCTCTGTTGCGGGAATACGTCGTTGCCGAGGGCTGGGTGAATCCCCGCGACTTTCTCATCGGACTTGCTCTGATCCAGGCCTTCCCAGGGCCCAACTTCAACTTTGCCGTGTTCCTGGGGGCCTTGACCGCCATCGGCAGCGGTAATAACCCGGTAGCAGGTGCGGTCCTCGCCTGGGTGGGCATTTTCAGCCCGGGTTTGATCTTGGTCCATGGTACAATGGGGATTTGGAGTGCGGTGAGGAGCAAAAGATGGGTAAAGGCTGTGCTCAGGGGCGTGAATGCTAGCGCAGTCGGGCTGATCTATACCGCCGTTTACCGGATTTGGTGTGTTGGCTACATCGATGAGGGCTTCCAGTATGGTAAGAGCTTGGGCGCTGACCCGTGGTGGGTCGTGGTCACGGCGACGAGCTACGTTGGTGGGCGCTGGTTCAAGCTCAAGGCACCTGTAGCAATTATTCTTGGTGCAATCATGGGGTTGATCAGGTACGGTGTTGTGTCCGCTTGAGCGATACTCTGATCCTTGAAATCTACGTATTAGCCTCAAGCCTGCAACGGCGAGCAATACAGCCGGGGATAATCGTGATGATCGGAGGGGCGCCGACGCGACACAAAACTCTAGAAATCTCCAACAGTCTCTTGCTAGGTCATCAGTCACTGGTGCTTTCGATGGCTTTGCGAGTTAGATAGAAAAGTCATCGCGCATAATATTAGAACTGTCAAAGCGAGGCCACACAGAACGTGGTCACTCGTAAGCTAACACATACACACTAGAGGTACGTATCAACCGCATCCCGTCACCCAACCGAAGCGTTGTTCAATCAGCGAGAACATAGCCCTCAGTTCCTACATCAGTTCTTTCGATCCGCTGCCGAATTTCATACCAGTCGACTCTCTCAAGTGTCCGCAAGTTCACGGGCTGCAACTTCAGCTTCCCCTCAGCAATCTTCTTCACCACCTTGTACCGCTCAGGATCTTGCTCCTCGATAATTTTCAGCCTTTCCGCGAGATCGGGAGGCCCATAAACTATCATGAAAACCATCACGCCGCAAGTGACACAGTGCCGAAGACCGTGCGCCCGCTGGTTATATAAGTACTCGAAGGTCTCGGTGTATGCTTCATCGGAAAAGATTACATAGTCCCTCATGGGATACATCCCGACAAAGGCATCCTGAGGTTGAATGAGCGCAACAATTAGTAACTGTCGATGGCCGCATACAGATACAGGTTTCTTCTTACTCTCACACAGGAACTGCAATTGTCCTCTCTCACTGGCCATGGCTCTTCCGGGTTTCGTCCGGTCCTCATCAGCTCGAACCGAACTGTCCCACAGTGGCACCTACCGTGGTACATGACATCTGGACTCCAAGGCAATAGTTCGCGAGGTACTTCGTCTTCGATATCGGCCGTCTTGACAAGCGACCTGGAAGACTGGTTAGTGAATCTTGACGTTTGTTGACGGCCCAATATATGAAGTAGTGTCTTTCTTACTCAAGGAAGAAAATACTGACACCCTGAAAAGCCCGCACATTGACCAACAGTAGTTCCTTCAGAGGTCCATGCCAATGCATGCCCACCAATCCTGTGCCACAGTTGCTACAGAACTTCAAAATGTCCAGTGTCAGCAACGCGCACTATGCTTCATGCATACCGCCTCTTGTGAATCATTGTGCACTCACCTGATCCGCTATCATAGGAGTTTCATACTTGACCAAAGGGCCATCATCTCGTGTCCATGTCAATTTGGCCCCGTCAGGCGTCGAAGGACAAGGAAGCCAAATGTAGCCCTTCATGGAACAGAGCGTGCAGGTGCATCTCACAGCTATGTCCACGAGCCTATAGTTTTTGAGGAGCGAATATTCAAAGCGATAGCGGCCGCAGTGACAGTTGCCCTTGAAGACTGCCCAATCGGTTGTGCGTGTGGTGGGCTGCGTCAGCGATGCAGTTGGTGATGCAGAGTTCGGGGCCTGTGATACAGCGCTCGTGTCCGTCAACGGTGGAGTGGACATGGTGGAAAGATTGATGATGGGAAGAAGAATGACTGATAATGTCGAATTCGAGTGGAAACCTATGGTTATTATGGAGTTGAAAGTGTCAGTTGGTTCCAACATGCATCAATAGTAACACAGCCCTGGAAACTAACGCACCATGGCAGGCCAAAAAGGGAAGGTGAAACCATCCCACTGCACCACAAAGGCAGTGCCAGCCCATACCAACAATCTTTCCATTCTCCCGAGCTTTACCCGGCCAGGCCATCTTTGCCAGCGACCCCCAGATTCTGAAGGAAGGCATCAGCTACAGTGACTATCTACAGCTATTTCGTCTATCGATAGGTAGGTACGAATAGTTTCCACTTGTGAAGGAGCATGACCAAGACTCGTAGCGCTTACCGTCCACGAGACGCTTATTGAGCTCTGCGGTAGGATGCTGACCCGGAGCAGATCTTACGAGATGCACCATGGTCACCTTGTTCACATCGAGAAAGCTTGTCTCAAATTGGGCTCGGGTGAGGGGAGTAGTTCATAAAAGACAACCTTCAAGTCTTGATGGCAATTGTGTCTGGAACCGTAGCTTCCACTCCGCCCTTTGGACTCAAGGAGCTTGCTTGAAAGGTGGAAGGTCCGAAGGAGAGACGGGCTGGAATCGAGGTCGGCTGCCACCCCGTCGCTCTTGCCTTGCAGTGTGCTTCGTCGCCGACTCGCAAGACCAACAAGAATCGCATTGTACAGGGGATTATGCGTCGCCGGGTATAGTAGGACATACCACAGGTACCGATGCCCAGCCACTGCGCTTTCCTTTGCACATCCTGAAACGAAAAATTCTTCCTTTTACTCGTTTGTGATTCTTTTCAGTTCCCATTACATCTTGTATCCTCCGCTCGTTCATCGCGAGTTAGATCACCGTGTCGCTCTTAAACCAGGGTCGCCATGTCTGGAAGCCGAAAAGCGTGTAAGACCATTGGCTGGCCGATCCCACAACGTGAGTAATGGCTCGTATCAGTTCCGTTAGTGAACGGGCATCGTCAAAGACATTACAGTGTATCTTGCAGGGCACTCCACTAACACAAGCAATCTGTACCACCTGAAGCTCACCAACCTACCTATATACGTGGACTGCACCCTTTTGACAGCCGCACATTGGCAGGCAACCTAGGGAACCGAATGCTCCGGGGAACATAGACGAAATATTGTTTGAGTATGTGCCGACTTCCCAGCTGCGAGACACCAATATTCGCAGTACGTACAACCCCCTCCGAGCGGTAAAGTCGGACGAGAAGCTGGACACTGAACAGCTCAACATCCCCAAGAGCGAAAAAGATATTAAAGGTACCTGGCGAGAGCAGCTTCGATGACTCGGGCTTGCAGTCATTCTCTTGTCAAGCTCACTGGTCCTGGTCACTCTTGGCTGGGTTGTTTGAGAGAATTGACATCTCAGACTATAAATGTAAAGTCACAGTTCACTGGTAACATCCCATCGAAGCTACCAAGACATGGCTATATTGAAGAGCCAAACGCTGAAGATCCATCTGGTTTGCAAACTACGTCATGAAAAACCCGCCAGAAGTCTTCTCGTCAGCCATCCAAGCAAAATAGTGGAGAAAGGATGTCTTCCACAACAACCTCGAATATGATATTCGCTGGCTGGGGCTGCCAAACGACGAGGTTGAGGATGCTTAGGGAGATCTGTACATCGACATTGGGATTATCAGGATCCCTCAAGAGAATGCTGTAAAGCTTCCAAACCAGACCCTCCCTATCCTGGGAGAAGAGGATGGGTACTTACATCATCGGGTTGGAGGTTTGTTAGGTATGTCATTTCACCCTGATGTAGCTCCTCTGATATGGGTATGAACAACCATTACTCGGGGCAGGACCTGATCAGAAAGCACATCTATTCCGACTGCTACGTCGGCGACAGAGTCATGCTGGAGCAGCAGCGCAGGAAGGACTGAATTCGTTTCGGAGAGTACATGCAGTACCAATCCCAACAATATGACCACTAAACTGACATCATCAACCAACAGAACACTGCATCGAGAACCTCCGCCAGACCATCATGTGCAAATCCAACATCAGCACCATCCCCTGGATATACACTGGACGAGTGCACGAAAACTTCCCCTCGGCCAAGACGACACACGTCTGCCGCGACTTTGACAAGCTCACGAAGTAGATGCTGCATCCGGATAGGCATTACCCACAGGAGGAATGTCAGTTTCGGCTCAAGGCGTTGCAGGCTGGTGCATTCGTTGAGAGCGGGAAGCATTCTTGATGTCCTGTCTGTTGATGATGCTAGGATGAATTCGGATGATAGCTCGTGAGAGGATGAGAATGAATGGGCAGTTCCCAGCGAAGATCAATGCATCACCAAGTATGATGCATTAGAAACTTAGTTGACGTACCTTTGGCAAGTTTACAATACATCCGTCCACGTACAAAAGCCCTTGGAAATCCACCGAAAAGGTGAAGCAAAATAATAGCAACAACCCTTTTGCCCTTCATACTACCATAACCGCCTACATCCAATCAGCCTCCACATAGCTATAGGAATATTCAAAATGTGTACCCACCATATTCTGCATCGGGTGTGTAGGACGTGCGAGAAGATAGTCTTCATCGCCACTAGAGAGGAGCCTTGCGAACTAGTCAAGAACGATTCTACCAAGTTCTGGGGCGACTGCGGAACTTCTGCCAACCAGGTGCAAACTAAGTTTGTACCCTTTTGTCCTTCGTGCAATTAAGAATTCATTGCACCAGCTTAGAAAGGGAACGTGGCAGATGTTGGTTTGATCAAGCAAGGGTCCGGGATGTTGGAAATTACAAACTAGGCTGAAGGAAGAGCATCTAGAATAGCCAAAATATACAAGACCTCACTGGCTATCCAACAATGCAGACAAAGGTCGTATGGTTTCTGTGATGGATAAGCCTGACTATGGGCATTACAAGAAGTACAGCAACATACAAGACATGGATCCAGCAGTGAAAAAAAAAATGAAAGCGTTAGTAACTCAATGCCATTTATGTTATATCGTGTTTTGTATCCCGGGATTCTATCTGTCTCTGACGTAGGTCTCCGACAAGGCTTCCTGCATTCTTTACAGGTATATCGGGCCCCGACCTAATTCTTTTCCAGTGGTTTTCCAACTAGTCATCGCCGTCCATATGTACAAAGAAGAAGGAAACAAATTGTTACATGAGGAAGAAGTAGAGTAAAAGGAAAGACATATCGAAACCAATGCTTCACTCGGCATCGAGAGGAGCCTTGGGAGGGGTGTTGTTCACCTGGATACCACCGCGCTTTTTCTCGTCGCTGTCAGGCATGGGAAGAGCCCAGCCGCCCTCGCTCTCGGGAGTGGCGAGCCAGAGACGGAGGAGGTGACGACGGGGAGCAGGAGGGGCGAAGTCTGTTTTTTTTTTTTGATAGTGTTAGTCAGTATTGATCAGAGCCATTGACCTAACAACTGTGAAAGACAAGAAAGAAGAGGACTCACCCTTGTAGGCCGTACGAGCATGCAACAAATGTGCATTGCTCAAGAACTGGATATCACCAACTTCAAGAATCATATGCAGCGCCAGCCTCTGGCACGTCTCCTCAAGAATCTGCATTGCCCTCAACTGTTCCTCGCTCAACGCAGGAATCAACCCTTTGTCGCTGAAGCGAGTCAGAGACTTGACATAGTAAGGATCCCACTTGCAGTAAAGCCTCCCCTTGCCGCCGTTCTCTAGATACACAACCGGCTGACGGACCCACTCCTGCTGACCCTCCGACACCTCGCCCTTGCGGTCAAAGTACCAGATGGGCTTGGTGAGGAGCTCGGCCACATCCGGGTGCTCCTGCTGCAACGTGTTCCAGACGTGATGGACAGAGACAATGTCGCTCTCGCCGCCCTCCTGCGCACGGTGCACGCACAAGAGGCCGACGATGTCGCCGTCGTCGGCGTGGAAGAACTGTCGCGCGGTGGTGCGGTAGATGCGCACCGTGTGGATCTGGGTCGGGTCATCGCCGACGTCCTTGACGTGGCCCAAGACGTGGCCGCGTCCGTTTTGCGAAAGGAAGTAGCCCAGGTAGGTGCCCAAGCCCATGTAGGCGACGGCGTTCTTCTCGGCACCCCAGACGTCAGCGGGGAACCGCTTGAACAAAATGAAGCCCTTGCCGTTGAGCAGGTCATCGCGGAGGTTGGTGAGGACTTTGCCGAGCTTGGGGAGAGGGAAGTTCTCCTGCGAGATGCCTGTAAGGGGAGTACCTGAGGCAATGAAGGCGTCCGCGGTGTCGGAGAGTTCTTTCACTTCTTCATCGGTGAAGGGGTGGACCCAGCGCTCGGGGTTGTTGACAAAGTCCTCACGCTTCCAAACGGTCGGGCCGGTGATCTCCTTGGGGAACTCGGAGTATGGCTTAAGGACGTCGTAAAGGGGAGGGTGCTGGCCCGATGTACGGATACCGTCGGGGAAGATGTCGCGGGGGGCGTCTTGGTTGCGGTAGGCGTTCTTGTGCTTGAACACGGAGGGAGAAGCATCCGCGGTGGACTGGGCCTCCTCGACTAGAATTCCGGGAGCCATTGTGTCTGAGGGTGTATGTGTGTGAGAATAGGAGATGTGGTTGGGTGAGTAAATGACCAATTCAAAAACAACAGGCCGGGAGTATCAAGATATCTTGAAGGTGTGGGTGACGGACGGCTGCAGATGACAGACCAATCTGGACAGAGGGGGGTTTGGGAAGATATATGAAAGTGTTAGGCCTGCTTCCAGACGCGATACGAACGTTGACATCCATCTGGACCACCATCATGTTTACCTACATTTAATAGCGGTTGTGCTGCTTGCTGGTGTCGATTGCGTGATCATTAGCCGGCGAGGTTGTGACAAAACAGAACCGAGCATCCCATTCTCATCACACCTTCGGTACCTAGGTTAAGCTACCCCAACCAAGTCGCCGGTTCCAGGGCAGCGACCCCAAGCCATTGCGATATCCCGAGAATCGATGGCGTGCTCAACTGATGAGACATGAAGCTTCAACCCCGCAATTCCCCCAAACATTTCGGGACCGTGATTGCCTTGTTCGTCATGAGGTTTCACTGAAAGAAGAAAGGAAATGCAGCTTCCAGACAGCAATCAGATGCCATTTCTTCGTCCGTCGCATTTCCACCCCCCACGGTAGAGGGATAACGAGTTGTTGTTTGGCAGACAAGGGTTAGGGTTCAGCATGTGCCTTGGCGGGCATTGCGCCATCGACCCGATCTACAGCCATGTCGTGTACTGGTTCCCTCGTGGGCGATGCCTTTTCCAGTCGGCCGTTGTTGCAGATTGGCCAACGGGATCACAGCCGAGGCGCGAAGTCTCTAAGCTTGGGCGGCTCAGATGCTCACCAATGCAAGACGGTCATGCTCTTGCCCACCGTCGTACCAGATATGTAATTTGAATGGGGACGAGAGCCAGAGAGGATTTATTGAAGGTCCGCCTTGAGCACGTCATATTGACAGCCTCCAAAACTGCTTTCCTGCGGATTTCATTGTCTACAAGTGATAGCACTAGGTACTGTGATTACAGTTGTGGTCACGGAGAATCACTTGATATGCTTGTGCCTTTAAATAAGATCTTTGCAACCTACATACCGAAGCACATTTTCCCTCTCAATCCCCCTTGTATCCCTTCTTTTGTTCTCCCATACATGCAAATCCTCGTCTCTGTTTCCATCTCTACTGTTTAACTATTTCAGCAGGCGATAACTATCAACCCTCCGTCGTAACTACCTCTAGAATCTGAGTTCTGACGTAAACTTCAACAGAGATGATAACGAATCCCTTTCAGAATGAGCCTCGTTACCAACTTCTGCTTCCTCACGCTTGCAGCTTTCCATGAGCCTCTGCACCTCCTCCGCGTGCTCTGGGGATAGCGAGAGTTCCAGAGCGCGCAATTTTAACCTTTCGAGAAGGGCCGGATCAGAAGTGACAAACTCGGGTATTTCACCGGTTGGATAGATGACTGCACCATCATCGGTGTAATGCATTTCCTCTCCGTGTTCGTCGCCCAAGCATCTCGAAATCTCCGGATGGCTAATCTGTCGGAAGTCAATTCCCTTTCCTTCTTGGACAAGCTTCTCCCAACGTCTCTCGAATTCCTCGCCATACGCGAGGTGCCCGTAGGCGCCCTGAACTCGATGAAGGATTCGGACATCCTCAGTCGTGACTAGAAAGTTAAAGTACGCCTGATATGGTATGCGACCAAAGCGGGTAGGTTCCAGATTTGCCCATTGAGCTTCTGGTGTCGTGTTGTCGTTGACGAATCCTAGTAGACCTTCAGGAGTGATGAATTCAAAGACTCTTGTCCAACGGCCCCCAAGAGATCTGTATGGTCCATCTCTAGTTCTCCTAATATCCTGGATCATCCACCTGACCGAGGTCACTTCGAACTTGTTGAGTTGCAAGCCCAGTGTGGCTAGACGCTTCACCGTGTCGAACTCCAGGCGACAGTCTGATAACTCGAGAACACGAAGAGTGTCGGCATGACGCGCGATGAATTTCTCAAGACTCGCCTGGCTGTACATGATGCTTTCAAGACTCAAAGAGCTGAGATGGGGTAGATAGATTTCACCGCTGTTGGGACCAGCCTCTTGTCCAACCAGCAGATCGAAGAAGTAATGGTCACCGGCCTTCTTGGCGCAGGACGATGCGGCTGGAAACCTTTGGTATGCTGTGAGTCGTAGGGTGCGCAAGTTCCGAGCATTTGCGAGACAAGCTAGCAGTTTGTACTGCATCTCGAGGTGACGTTGACGACGCCCCAGCTCCCCACCGGGAGGACAGTCAACCATTCCAATGCTGAATGTAAATTCGACTAGAGCTTCGGAGATTGGCGGTACATACGTTAGTTGGAGGGGGATTTGTGGAACCTTATGCTCGAAGTAAGTACTGTCGAGCCAGTGCAGCTGAAGCCACCTGTTGCCGACCGCGCTCCTCTGTGCCAGAGCTGGAAGAACGTAGAGTTCGGTCCCTTTCAAGAAGACATCGCTTGCTCGAGATTCTTCCCCAGGTACGATTGGCGGCCGACTGGCACACTTCCAGCGCTGGCTCTGTAGATCTCCGGAACGGGCCATAGTAATCTCTCTGCCACAGCGGAGATGGAATGGCTCAAAATCCATGGAAGTGGAGGTAAAAGTACGGAGTTTTGGCATCCGCGCAATAGCCTCGAGGAAAACGGGCAAAAGTCCGTCGTGTACACTGTACAGCCGCTCCTCGCCATTTCCACTTGGAACATCCAAAGGCGAGTATGAGTGCCAGAACAGACTGTTCTCGCGTGAAACCATCTGATCCCAGGGTGGTACTGAAATATGTGGAAAAGGCCACTGTTGAAGACTGTTCGCCTCAGCAGTAGGACAGTCCAGCTCGAGCCAGATCAGCTCCTGGACATGTCGACTTAGCCTAGGGCTATAGGCAACGCGCAGAAATGTTGCAAGATCATTTCCGACAGGAGAGACCGCCACTTGGCGAAAGAGGTATTGGGAAGCGACAGCCTCGAACGACCGGCAGGTCTGACGGAGAGAGAGGTAGTCAGCCTGATGAGTGACTTGACTAAAGATCAGAAGTAAAAGATGCTCGTCGCGAAGCAGAGCTTGATGCATGATGATTGTGGTTCAAAGGATATCGCTGTCGAGAAGGAGCGCGTGAGGAATGGCGATGCGTGATTTGACCAAGGACCAAAAGCAGGAGATCGTTATTGAGGAGTTCGTTTCGGAAAAGGGCGTGAGATATGGTAGTTGTGATTTGACCGAATTCTGATGTGAAAGGTTACTTGGCTAGCGATTGGAAGGAGAAGCGAGTTGTTGAGAAGCGAGGCTCTGATGTGCGTGATAACTTGACCAAATATTCAAGAAGAAAGGCTGTTGTCGAGAAGGAAGGCCTTGGAGATGGTGCTTGTTGTTTGACTGCGTTCTGATGTGTAAGTGAATGGGAGCGCGTTGACTAGGTGCGCTAGTTTCCGCGCTACGAAGGTTTTTCTTCCGAGTGTTAAGTGAATAGCAGTAACCAGTGAAGTGCGCGTTTGAGAGGCCGCCTCATCATAGATGCTCACATGTGCAGTAACCATTCAATTAGTTTAATTAGACATTAGTTGAATTGAAGAAGCATTACGAGTCCTCCAGCAGTGTTTGTAGGTATACCGAGCCGCTTCCGTGACGCAGGACCTGTGAATCTAGCGGCGTGGCACCCGCGAAGGTGTGAAGGGTTCCAGGTCACGGAATGAGGCGCTTGAATGGATGTGCCTCTGTGTTGAAGACGAATTCATCGAGGTTGATGACATCCGGCTCGCTGAACATGAGATAGAAGTACTTGAGTGTCTCTCCCAGCCAGAAGCTCTCCATGGAATGGATCATGGGTGGTTTGCCCCCCTTTACGGTAACGTCGAGCAGCGCCGAGTTGGCCAGTTCGGTCCTGGTGTTGGAGTCAATGGCCTGAAACATGGCCCAGGCTGAGTCTGGAAGGTCACGGCGACCCGTCATGCGGTAAAGGAGAAAGACGCTCTCGATGGCCTCAGGGCGAAGGATATAGCGCGCGTCTGGAATCGAGACGAAACCTTGGGGTAGCCTTTTGTGGTTAATGATTCTGTTCGCTTTATGCAAATCATTTTCTTTGTTCTCGGACAGCCCCCAGCCAGCCTCTTCAACGACGGCCAACTTCCATTTTTCCTCATCCCATGGACAGTGATCGATCGAGTCACAGGGTAGTACGTGGAAGACCTCGGGCATTATACCCAAGGGCATGGATTTGTACGCCCACACGCACCCGTCCATAAGCTGCTCTCCCTTGTGGATATGGGTGTCATTCTGAACAAGTTTGCCTCCAAGAGCAAGCATTCCGCCGGTAAAACAAGCGAGATGTTGGCCTTCTGGACGCAGCTGTGTCACTCTCTTTCCATTTTCTGACCCGACCAGGACCATGCCCGCCATCAGAATGTCTTTCTGATCAGGCACCATAGGACGGAACAGGTTGTAGCGAATGGCTGTATCCATGGCTGCATTGTACATGTCGGCGTACATGGGAAGCAAGCCGCCGACAAGGGCATGAGTCTTGGGGAGATATTCGTAGAGCGAGTCGGCCATTGCACCTAGCGTGTAATGGTTGTGTCTGCCAAAGTCCATCCGTCTTGCATCGACTACGACAGGCCACATGCCGGGAAGACGTGTTTTTTGCTGTTGTTTCTGGAGAGCCTCCATGATATTTTGCACAGCATCAAACCACTTGGGATCATCCGTCAACATGGAGAGACGAATGAACTCGAGAGAGAAGGACCCAATCTCGGCAAGGAGGACAGCATCATGGGCGACTTGTCGCTCTCCACGAGAAGCGTCATGGAAATTCCATCTCGTCTGGGGCATCCTGTTGGGCGTGTCGAAGGCCAGGTACAAGACCTCACCCACCTCCTTGGCCTTTTGCAGCAACCTCTTGTCTCCGCTGAGGTCGTATGCGGCGAGGAAGCCGCCTAGGTACCGGATATTTGTCTCGAAGACATTGATTTCGGCTCGGGAGGTGGTCTCGAAGCTGATGTTGGCTGCCGCAGCAACGGCCTCGTAGAACTGATCCTTCAAACCCATGATCCATAGCGTGTCAAGGCTATCAACTAGTGTTGCTCCCCATCCTCCAAAGGTATCCTTTCGGCCGCCGTTAACTGGCTCCAGCTCGTCACTCATCCATGCCTTGGTGCGATACGAGCTCCAGCAGCGAAGAAAGGCCTCTTTGACGGCAGCTTGTCTCTCGAGGCGTACCTTGCGGTCATTGTCAGACTCCGGGCCGAAGGTGGTCTGTACTGTGGGCAGTCTCGAAGGGGGCCCTGTCGGCAGCTGTCTCATCTTGGTGACGGGGTACTGGGGAGGTTTCTGCAGCCTCTCCCGTATAGATACCGGGGGTGATCCCCAGTCCGAGTCCGGCCCTGCATCAGCGGAGGAGGAGGAAGAGGAGGAGAAGTTGAGCCTGGCCAACTCGAGGTTGCGGTGCGAAGTAAAAAGCATGAAGCAAGTGACACAAGCAATGAGCAGTGCCGCTCCCCACCGCCGAGCAAGGGGCGGCATTGTGGAAGCTGAAAATGGAACTTTGGAACTCAACGAAGGCGTGATGATCGACAATCCGATGGGTTGGAGGTGCCAAAAGTTGACATATGTATTCTACAGAATATGAACACCAAAGTTGTTGCACCAAACGAAGTTGTCACCGTCTGCGTATTTATTTCAGGAGACTTTTGCCGTTCACGATAATCGTAACATACAGCAACTGGTGGGTATCGCTTGGTTATTCTACATACCAGCTGTCACACTTCTCATGCAAGTCGTGAGCGGACTGTAATGTAACCACCGTAAAGATACGTATTCTGACTGCTGGTAACAACCACTAATTGTGGGGATGTTCAGGGACCGACCGCCCGTGTCTTGGGCAGCCAAGCTGGAATAACGGCCCGAGATCTTAGCGTTGTCCCCGCCAGCGTAGCGCGCCCCGCCATTACCGTAACATTACCCCCTCTTACTGTGTGGAGCTTCAGTCACTGCACACTTCAAGTTATTTGAAGAGCACTGCAGCCCGCTTCTTCCATTGCCAAAAAAACACAACAACTTGCGAGGGCAATCCGCGATCGAGGACACTCGTCAAAACCTGGAATTCCATGCTCAAGTACCTCTATCGATTTTCACTGGATACTGTTGCAAGATGCTGATTGTCTATTACCCCTCGATCACTTCGACAACTCGACCATCGATGTGCGGAACCTATGAAGTATGTCCATGCTTTAAGTAGCTGAGATGCTAAAGTACCACCGCATCACCACGGCATTGGTCGAGAACAAGTTCAGCCCTACAGTCAACCTGTGTCTCGAATCCGCATACAACAGCTGACCGAGACCCCGACTTATCTACATATGCGAGGGCAGGCCTCTCACTTCGTCAACTGTTGGGGCTTCACCTATGACCGCCACACTCTTTTACCTTACGTCGACCTAGAGCGGTATCCCGACCCGACTGCCACATTGGTCCCAGGACAACCAGACAGACTGGACACATGAAGCATCGCAGACGGGAATGGTTTATGGACATGCCTTTGTAGTGATCTGTGGTCAACCCTCAGAAACCATTCCTAGACCCTAGTGAGCCAGAGTGGCTGCCAAAGCGATTCAACCTTCCCTGGTGCAATCGTTTTTGAGTGCAAGACGCATCGCCGCAGGCTCAAAACAACGAAGTATCTGGCTGGTTTATGACAAGAATGCCTTCAACTCGAACTGCTTCGGCAAGTCATGCCGCGAGCCACGCTCAAGGCACTCACTTACTCAGACGAACCTAGCCAAGTTATTCCCTCTTGGTCGAACCTCCTTTTCCGAGTTTGAGCCAATGTTCCGAGAGCATTAAAAGCTGGGTTGCTGAAGGGGGGTAAAAAAAATGGAGACGAATACTCTTAATGAGTCAAAACACCCAAGTCATTGTGCCCCAAACCTGTTGTAAACCTCAGTGTCCTACGTGGAAGGTTATGGGAAACGAGATGGACGGAAACTGAGGAACATTCAATTGTCCAAAATGTTCAAGACCAACCAAACAACATGAAGTAGATATTGGGATCAGTGCACGCAGTTGATGAATCCCTCCCTGATGAACCTCAAGTCTTGATACGCGGTGACATTGACCCCGAAAATCGCCGGCGATCAATGCACTACCCAATGCATGGAAGCTACCGAACGCTAACACATGCTATACATAGTAAAGTTGCCGGATCTTCGGGGCCGGGATTGTCCACATCCCGGCGCGATCCACATGCGATGAACCCGACAGATTAGCATGGCCGAGATCGCGCGACCATTTCGTAATTCGTAGGAACAACGTCATACATATGCGATGACGCACATGACACAATCATGGCTCATGGTTTTGAGATGACTTCGACTTACAATGAACGTGAACTCGAGAGGACTGATTGCCTGTGCTTCAACACAGACGCGATTGACATTTTTGCTTTCACCTTCATCCGCAATTCTTCCTGGTGAACTACACATTGTGTCGAGAACAACTCCATTCGCGCATCACGACCGCAAGGAAAACCATCAAGGAGTCCGAACCACACCAATCACTACCTCAAACCACCACACTCGACCACCACATCCAACACCCCAAAGCCCTCCACCACCTACCGTAACACAACAACCGCAATCATGTCTTCCCAAGATAAGAAACCCCTCCGCCAAGTCGCCGCCGATAAGGTCAACGGCCCCAATGCCAATCCCTCCCAACTAGGCGATCCCATCTCCCTCAAGGCCGAGACCAACCAGAATCCTCCCGACAATGTTGAATATGCCCCGGAAGGAGCAGAGGTCTCCCCTTCTCCTTCTACCCGTTCCCCTTCCAACAAATCACCATCCGCATCGAAAGCAAACCGAACAAAGGCGTACGGTGTTCCGAGGAATGACCCCACGGATGCCAGTTCAGGCGGGGCAAGGACCGCTTCAGGAAAGAGAATTCCTCTAGAGGGGGACCCGACGAGTTTAGAGCGGGAGCAGGTGGTTGATGATACGAAGGGGAAGGGAAGGGGGAGAAGGGGAAGTAAACTTTGAGTGAGCATCGAGCGGAGATTGCGAGGAGTGATGAGGATATGAGATGCAGTGGCGATGGTTAGGTATGATGCGCATAGGACGCAGTGAATACAGAGAGTCAGCGAGCATTGCTGTTTAGTAGGGAATTGGGACAACGCAGGCACTTGCAGATAACTGGAGGAGTTAATAGGTAAACTATCCATACAATCCAAATATCAAATCATCAAGCCCGCATGGCTCAGTGGTAGAGCGCATCACTAGTAATGATGAGGTCGTCAGTTCGATTCTGGCTGTGGGCAATTCGCCTTTCTTTTTCCATTTCTGGTCATTTTTGTTCTTCCTGGCATAGTTGCTATTCCTCATCGGCTTTTTTCTTTTCCTTTTGGATTTTCCTGTTTTCAGCCAAGTTTGTTCTGATTTTATCACTATCACTCGGGTTCATTTTTTCCAGGGTGTGCATGTATCGGTTTATCAGGGAAAGTAACTCGCAAACGGTTTTCAAGTCACCATTCTCTTCATCATCATTGTTGAACAATCCAAGATCACCTAGCAGTCAAGAACAGCAACCAAGGTACTGGAACCGCACATGGTGGCTCAACCATCGCCAGCCTATAGTCAACCAGCTATTCGACTGTTGTTGATATCTCCTAACTCCCTCCGGACTTAACGCATGTCTTGATCGCGAAATCTCCGGGATCTTAAGCACAGAGTGACATTTCGGGACCGAAAAAGGCTAACGGATCCACCAAACCTGACGGAACCATAAGTCAACACACCGAATAGCCTCTTAAATAACGGCCGACAGATGGTAGCTTGACCTTGATGAAGAGGAAGAAGCATATGGTGTCTAGTACAAGAGACGTATGAATCCCGCGTTTATGACCTTGAGTTAAGAAGCAAGTTCAAATCAGTCATCTCTCAATAAAGATTGTACTCAACTTACCTTGACCCCAACCCCTGAAAATCTCCCCATCCCACATCATACTTACTAGCCCCTCTACATCACCGAAAAAAACACCATCAGCCATGTCCTCCCCCTCTTCCTCCGCGCAGCCTGAACTGCCCTCCGGCATCAGCCGCTGCTGCCTCACCGGCTTCCGCTGGTCCGGCACGCCCACAGGCACCGCCCTCCCTGCAGGTTCCATCCCAGGTACCACCAACGCCGTCTACAAAACGGGCACGAACCCGCGCGTCGCCATCCTGATCATCCACGACATCTTCGGCTGGACCTTCCCCAATGTCCGCCTGCTGGCTGACCACTACGCCGCCGAAGCGAACGCCACCGTCTTCGTCCCGGACTTCTTTGGCGGCTTCGTCTGTCCGCCCGAGCTAGTGCTGGAGGAGCGCTGGGCGGAGATCGACATTGCGCGCTTCATGAAAGAGAATGCGCGCGAGGTGCGCGAGCCCGAAATCTTTGCGTTTGCGAAGGCGTTGAAGAGTGCGGAGGGGGGCGGGTTTGAGAAGGTCGGGGCCGTGGGGTACTGTTATGGTGGGTGGGCGATTTTCAGGTTGGCTGCTGCTGAGCATGAGGAGGGTTCTGGAGATTCCGAGGGGAACGGCAAGAAGTTGGTGGACGCGGTGACGACTGGTCATCCTACCCTTGTGACGAAGGAGGACATTGACAGGGTTTCAAAGAACGTGCCGGTGCAGGTGTTGGCTCCGGAGTTTGATCGAAGGTATACGGAGGAGTTGAAGACGCACACATTTGTGACGCTGCAGAAGCTGGGAGTGCCGTTTGAGTATTCACATTTTTCGGGGGTGCATCACGGTTGTTTCATCAGGGGCGATGAGAGGAAGGAGGGTGAGAGGGAGGCAATGGTTAGGGGGAAGAATGCAGCGGTTGCGTGGATGAAGCAGTGGTTGCATGGTAACTGAGTCTTCAACGAGGCTGGATCGTATAGGGAAGATTTGAATGGGAATAGTGTCGGCTGTAAGCATTCTGAGGCCTCAAGCCTCAAGCTGAGTTGTTAAGATCTGGATTCGGACATTGCCGTCGTTTCTTCAATCCAGTTGTGGTGGGACGAGCGGCGTTTGTTTGTGAGTGTTGTTGCTGAGTCTCTTCTTCTGGCTTTCAATCTCGTCGATGAGCAACACTATTTGGTCATCCATGTGTGTGATACGACACTAATTCCGACGCTTATCACCACGGAATAATTGGCGATGACGAGGGCGAGTAACTGGCCCTGTGAAAGCGAGTAATAAGTGAGCGTCGGCTGGAGGTCCCTAAATGAGCAGACTGGAATAATGTCGCCCGCTTTCTATTTTCAACCACCAGCATCTTCGTTGAGAATCGAATCGCCCAAGTCCTGCCAGGACATTACCCGGTCAGGAATTTTAGCAATAGATTGAGCGGTTAATCTCATGGTGGCGATGGTCCGCTCAGGTGCGAACCTACCAAAATGTGAAAGAAAAAAAAAAAAAAAAAAAAAAAAAAGAGAAAGAAGGGATGTGCACAATCGAACCCATGCGTGATATGTGTAAACAATGGCGAGTGTCTTTTGGAGCCAAAACCGGGATAGAGTCCTCTCAACACGGAAGAAATAAGTCGATGCATGGCGGAATGGTTGATCTAGCGCAGACAGACCGTCCAGGTTGAACCAACAACAGCATCTCGAAATCCAGCGTACAGAATGACGGGCCGATTGACTGATCTCAGGGCATATCATACGTGCTATACTTCCCGCCTGATCGGTGACATTAATCTCGGAGTCAATCAAGACTTAAAACCGGGTAAGAGGATGTTGATATCTCCCGGCTTCGGGTTGCATTCTCCAATCGGAGCATAACCATCACTCGATGACAACTGAACTTCCCCTTCGCTCGATAAGGGGGTTATCTTCTTGATTTGGGCGGAAGAATTGTCGAGAACAAGGTTGAGCAGAGCGCCTAGAAGTCAGAGCAAATTGCACAGAAATTATGTTTACAGCCGGCAGTTGATGCCAAAACGCCGCCCCTCTTCAACGATGCATCATTGCCATCACCCGTAGTATAGTAGCCGCCTTTAACGGGCTTGGCAATTATAGCAGAACGACAACGGGGCGTGAGGATGTGAAAGATCGTCGTCTTATCTGCTAGAATCCATTTTAGTGACCCGGCACATGGTACGGATGCGGCTCGTAAGGAGTTAATGACAAGAACCGTAGGAAGAAAAATGGAAACGAATGAGCCCGGCTGGATCTCGTAGGATAAAGTATCATGCTTCCCTTTGAATCATAGGCGTCACCCGGCTTTCCTGCTGTGTTCTCCTTACACATGAATTTTCGAGTGTCTGCTGGCCATCATCTTCCGTCCCAGGAGACACCCCACGCCAGAGCAGATCCTTTCAACAGACAGTCCTCTCTTCAGCACCACATAAGCAACGCCTTGGTTGATTCAGTTGAAAGGGGAGACAAGATGTACTGGAGTTTACTTACCGCGCTCGCGCTTGTGGCGCCTTCGACGGCGTTGATACGGTTCGGCTGCTCGCAGCTTACTGTCCAGCGGGTAGATCCGCTCGTCAACCCCGGAATCTCTCCCTCTCCACATCTTCACCAAATCATCGGTGGCGTAAGGCTTCTTCCCCTTTTCCTTGACGACACTTGGTCCGGTGGCTAACATTCCATCAAGAATGCCTTCAACATCTCCATGGATCCACGAGAAGATATCGGAGAGAAAGCCACATGCACAACCTGCCAGTTTTCTGAGGACTTCTCCAACTACTGGACTGCTGTGCTCTTCTTTCGTGCCCGCAACGGCTCCTATCACCGGGTCCCACAGGTCCCCAACATCGGATTTGAAGGCTCCAATGGGGGCATGACTGTATACTACATGCAGGACGGGCTGGCCAACTACCAGCAGACGTCCAAGGTAACGGCCTTCAAGCAAGGATTTCGCATGCTCATCGGCGAAGCTTCGTACCGGAGTAAGCAGCAAGCCACGCGGTTCCGGCAGATCACGTATACATGTCTTCAGGACCTTGGCACCCGGTTCCCAGAGTCCATGAACTTCCCAACCAAGCCGTGTCCGGCCGGGATCATGGCCAATGTGAGATTCCCAACCTGCTGGGATGGTAAGAACCTCGATGCGCCGGATCACATGAGTCACATGGCGTATCCGGAGTCCGGAACCTTTGAGAGCGGTGGACCTTGCCCGGCTAGTCATCCAGTGCGGGTGCCCCAGTTGATGTATGAGACCATCTGGGACACAAGCAAATTTAACGAACAGGAGCTTTGGCCTGAGGATGGAAGCCAACCATTTGTTTGGTCTACGGGCGATCAGTATGCTACCATCTTAAGATAAGATAGGAATTGGGAAAAGAAGTGATTACTAAAGATGACAAACAGCACCGGCTTCGGATCCCATGGCGACTATATCTTTGGTTGGAAGGGCGACTCTCTGCAGCGGGCCATGGACTCGGCGTGCTATGTCAATTGCCCGACCCTGAAGACGCAGAGCGTGTCGGCGATGAACAAGTGCAAGTACAACAAGGTACTCGTGGATGAACCAATCGACGGATGTAAGTCTGCGATAAAAGATCTTTTGGTTGTTAGGGAGTGATCCCGCTAATATGACTGACCTACCCCAGGGCTCGATTCCATTCCGGGAAACCCGATGGAGGAGATGGGAAAAAAGTAAACAGAGGCAACAAGAGATACGATGAAGAGAATAGTAAAGGCAGACTCGGTGGACCAGGGGGGAATTGGTTGACGTGTCGATGCTCATGACGATAAGATTGATGCTGTTGTGTTGCTGTACTAACATAAGAGGTCATGGATGAGATGTATGATGCACTTTTTGCTGGTCATTGTATATGGTGAATGGCGATCATGTTGATGAATGATTCTGCCATTTCTGCATTGACAGTCGCGATCCGGACAACAAAGTGAATTTGGGGAAGATGACATCGGATGGGTTGCAGTGCCGAGCTAGCTGTCAGGTACGGATTTGGGGCATCGTCGCCAAAGGGGAATCCAAAAAGACCGACATACGGTCTAAAGTGTAGACGGTTCTGTCGTCATTGTCTCTTGCTCACCTCCATTTTCGCGACCGTCTTCCCGTTGTCTCTCCACGTCGTACTTGGTGTGTAGGTCTGTGTATCATGGCGGCCGGTATCGTGGCTGGCCAGTTCACCAGCCGCGGCCAGCAGGGTCGTACACGCGAGAAAGGCGTCCATGCATTCTATTCAGGTTCCACGATGCTTCGATGCTTGATGTGGCACCGCCGCCCTGGATCGTCGGCTGCTGCACGTAATGGTCTGGGCACGGAATGGATGAGTGGCAGGTCGTTTATCCCGGAAGGCCGACGGGAGGTTCGGGAACGGCCCAATGGCTGCTGCCGAGTGGTTGGGTACATAATTATGGTAGAGGTGAGTACGGTTACCTCCGAGAAGGATGGACAAAAATAGATGGGACTGGTGACGGCAATGCTGATGGCTCCGGATCTTTGCATGGACACTTGGCGAAGCCGACGGATAGACCGGCAGCTCAGCCGTCTATCATGACGGCGGATGGAGGTTGTGGTTGAAGAAATGGGAAGCCCTGCCTGGCACAGGGTGGCAGCGACGTAAGTACGCGTAGATCTTCTTGGACTGGGCAGCCTACAGAATAACATCATCAGTGGTGAGAAGCCGTAGAGAATCTATCTATTTTCTGTAGACCAACTGCTTGTTACCCCGCCTACCCCTAAGTAGAGCAACCGCTAAAAATGCAGAGGCTATGGCGTAAGAAACTCCGGCACCGTCTGTGTCTTGCAGGTCTCACATGGCCTACAAATCTTAATTTGACAAAACCTCAGACAACACGACCAACAGATCGAGGCTGAGAGGGTGACATTGCACCTTCATCCATGCAGAATATACAAGCTATATTTTTCACACTAACCTGACGAGCCTGGGAATACGAGCCCCCAGGGACGCATAACTTGACCACTAAAGGGGCGGAAAGGTACGTATCGTTCTATATTCCGGAATCTCGATACCCATCCTAAGGTAAAAAGGGAGACTGGATAGACACCGCATCTTTTTGGTGGCAGCTGCGTCACCATCCCTTCACCTTTTTATGCTTGGACACAGCACGAACAACAACACCGTTAGGTAGCGATACTTTTGCTTGTACAAGCTCAACCCATGGTATACTATGCATAGCATGGTTACCGAATCTACCTCTACACCGACTTCTGGCACGCACATGAGGAGGGGTCTCGGAGATCTGCAGCCCTAAGTACCGTCGGGGATCGTGGGATCGGACGATGGGACTTGGCCACCACCACAAAAGAAGTGTAAGGAGACCACAAACGGCAGCACCGACGGCCGACCGCCTTTCCGGGTCTTTTCACTTCGTTTAACTCGTCCCATAACGTTGCAACTGCATATTGGAACACGAGACGCAAGACGGCTTGGGTTCAGCTATCAAGAGGTATCATTTGTTGACCATTGGCAAAACTGGTGATAGTATTTCAAATTCACGTTGCTCCTGCCTATACTAACTACACTACACCTCTGCGAGCATCAAATTTGTTAGCGCGGTGATTTGCAAAGTGGCAAGAGCTCCACTTTTTCTACAAAAGATGACTGGGTTGACCACTTCCAAACCCTTGAATACTGTAAGGTGGCGGTACCGCGCTAACAGGTTTAATGCCGGCAGAGGTGTCACTGGCTGCTACAACAAGAAGCTATAAAGCGGCAGCTAAGGAACCTTACGACTCACTTCATGGACTAGCATGACTGAATAAGAAATAACGATCTGCGCCACAAGAACCTGATCTCAGACTCCCTCTTCTCCCAGCCTTCTAAAGAGATAAACATTCAGGACCCCTATTATCCATCTTTTTGATACTGATACATCCTCAACCTCATCTCAACCGGAACTACCACGGTCACATCCACCACCATCACCATCAACCTCCACCTCACCACCAAACTCGGCTTCACCACCCAACATCAACTACTAAAAGATGCTCACGACAACACTCACCACCGCCCTTGCGGCCCTCCTCCTCCCATTCTCCTCAGCTTCCCCCATCGCCGCCCGCCAGGATAATACAACTACCTCAACTCCACCAACAAACCAAACCTCCTGCGGCGCCACCTCCTTCGGGAACTTCTCCTGGGCCCTCTCCGCCTTTGACTACCATGCCTCCTATATCTACACCAACCCCGCCCACCAAAACTCCTGGGGCTACGTCAACTTCAATTTGACCAACCCAGCCATCGGGCCCTCGGTGACCACCGTCTGCAGCGCTTCAAGCAACCAGCTCAACGACTTCTTCTACGGGACCGTACAGTACACGTGCACCAACACGCCCGCGGGCGTCAAGAGTGACGTGGGCAAGACGAAGTTTGATTTCAACCGGCCGACGGGGGAGTTGAGGTTCAACCAGAGCTGGACTTGCCGGGATGGGGATCCCAACTATCCGTGAGTACCTCTAATTATCACTTGTGCACATCTTGCACTAGACCACCTTGAATGAAATTGCGTTAAGATGACTAATAGAATGATGATGTTAACGTAGTACCACGTTCACTGGATATGCGGCTGTCAAACTCCATTTGAACTGCACCGAGGCGAGGTGGCAGAACCGGAGCTGGAAGCAGGGCCAGATTTACTCGACGAGGGATGTGAGGTGCTCGCCTGTTAATTTGAGTGTTGACCCCAAGGAGATGACTGCTATGGCCTAGTCATCTGTCGGACCAAAGGCAGATGTGTGGTTTCGGTATTTTCTGTGAGTGTACCGGTTGTGAGAGTGGCCGGTGAATGTGATGAACGGGCGTCTTTTACAGCATTCATATGGTTTATGACAGGTTATGAGAATCATAAGATGGCGGGGTTATAGGTAGAATACATAGAGGTAGTGCTTAATGGTAACGCTAGGGAGGGGGGATTCAAAATTTCCAAATTTTCACGCAATTCTCATGTGGTCTTCATCATTTTCCAACCCTTTTACGGTCTGAGGCGTTTCTAGCCCAGACGAGTAGTGACCCTGTGTATTCCGGTACCCAAAGATAACGCGGATTGGTATCCAGCGTAAAAAGACACAACCGCTCTTCATGCCTCTCATCCATGAACTCAAAACTGCGCTGGATTGGCGATGAGATTTTCTCCATGGTGACTGTGGATGCGGAAACTCGCAAGACCCATTTCTTTGCCTTATTTGGGGACCACGGGGTTGACTCGATTGCATAACCGTTTCGATGATCTTTCTGTGCCGCATCAGCTGTTGATCTCGTGGCGTTTCTCGTCCAGGAAATTTCGGCTCTGCCATTTTCATTATCTTTTGAATTTCCTGTTTTAACATGGAATGGTAAGAAAGCAGATTCCAGTATCAAGTCAAAAACTCTTCCTGGCCACAGCAGGTACAGACAGGTGAACGATTTCAATAAGTGACTCTCCAATCTACCCGCGACTAGCTTGGGAGAAGATGTCGCCTAACGGCTCCGGCATACCTCTAGGATTCCTCCGCGTCTGGTAAAATTCCAGAGGCCGACGGTGCCGAGTAGCCGAACATCGAGAACCAGCATAATTCCCCGGCATGTCTCTCCAGTACAGGAGATTCTGTTGAGAGAATGGGAACTCCCCAAAGATAGTACACAGCCATCTATTCATGGCCAAGTTTTTGAGAATATCCAGGAAAGCATTCATAGCATCGGTTTGAAATTCCAGTTCGTTTTCTTTTTGCTATACGCATCAATGAGGGCCGTGAGATCTTTCGCATCAATTCCCACCCCTTGCCCAGGGACAGGTAGAGGATTGAGATCAAATGCCGTGTATATCAAGGTGATTGCCTGAACCAGATATCAATGTCATCAGCAGGGATGGAGATACTTTCGATGCACCGCATAGAGTTGCAAAGAAAGTAGACCTGGTCTGCTAGAAAGCATAGGCGGCGACGGGAAAGGACACCTTAGACCCCGTCGTTTGAAAGGTCCAAGCCCTGGCTTCCCATAGTGTATGGGAGAGCTGATGGTCAATATCCGTTCGAAGTAGGACCAAGCTACGTGATGGATAAATTGTTGTTGTGGAATTTGATGCGTCGAGGCAACCCCAGGTAATCGCTGAGAAGGACGTCACCGGCGGCGGAAGTAGTGGTAGCGGTAACACACCCATAGACGATGTCCATACTTCTGATTTGGCAATGCTTGGATTGGGGATTGTCTCGTGGAATAAAATGTTTGTCGATCCAAAAGTGTCTAAACCCCATGGACTGGGTTGCGATGATGGCGTCATCGACAACTCTGGGAGTTTGCCCTAGGGAGACAATCATCAAAGGGATGATCTTGTGTTGTTAGCGGGCCCCATACATAGCTCAAGGCAATGCATTTTTATCGCATCTCGTTGACTTCCGGTATCATACTCGCTAAGGCGATCCTTCGACTGAAGCAATCTATCAGTCGAAATCCAGTGACAAGCGCGACTTGACTTATCTGATGGGCAAGTTGCTCGACGATGCATCGAGTAATTTCGAGGAATGATGCGATCATTGATTGATTACATCGAATTCGACTTGCTGCTCAAGACGCCGAAGAGCCCAGTTCGTCCGTAGAAATATTCAGGTCTTGTAGAAACATCATCAGTAGGTGACGTAGAGGTACCTTTCAGCTTCGAACCATCCCTTTGGCTCGAAAGTGGGTGAGCCAGAAAATCAGAACACCCTTCTCTTCGACACCAACTGCACAAGTCGCATTTGACTGGACTCTCTTCGTCTGGACTCTTTTGGTTCGAAGTGTGATGATATAGAGTTCTTCGGGACGAGGTCTGCTGGTATGGGACCTCGTGGTCTGGAAGGCCTGGAATCTTCGAATTTATATTAGTAAAGCCTATGACTCTTCCGGGCAGCGAGCCATACCCTAATGTAACAATCCAACGATGAATATGAAGTTGCTAGATCTGGTACCTGATGGACAAGAAAATTTGATATCCTCGATTGTGGTGTCGGCGTCACGTTATTGTGTCGCATTCCGCAGAAGCCTGAACCTTCCATAACGCATTTTCCACGCCAAAAGGAAGCGACACCCTTACCTGCCCAGCTTATTCATCACGCATTTCTCGGAATACATCATGATGTTGAGCGCTTCCGAGTGGCCGGTCTTTCATGCCTCATCACTTGCAGCGCCTTGGTATATCGATGTGGCGGTTCGGACTGCCAGAATGAGCTGCGATCTGTGAGATTGGAGTTGTTGTTTCCGTTGCTGAGACTTCTTGATGGGTTTTGATCGGTACAACATTAGAGGTAGATAAGGTATTTCTACCCCTGATGAATCACCAAGCTGGCATGGGAAATTTGACAGGCCCCAAATCGGTATCGAGTATTCGGAATATAAAACGTATTGCCCACAAATGCGTTTGTTGTACCCACCTGGGCTGGGTCGTCCATCCACATGGGTCTGCCTTTTTTTGTTTTGACTTCAACTTTATAAAACCTTTGTCATTTCATGGTACCTCCATCATCTCATGTCAAGAACTCCCTGCTACAATAGACCTCATATCGCGCCCCAGCAAAGGTTCAACCAGCAGCAGCCCGACTTCCATACAACTCCTCCGCGGCACTCTTACTAACAGGGTTGTTCCTCAACGACTCCTGCGTCCCGCTCCCACCCAGCTCTTCAATCACCTTTTCACTGTGTTTTTTGGATTCCTCGCTTGTGTCTGAAGTGAATGCCAATGCCAATTCTCTGTCAGTTCCTTCCTTATTACACCACCCAAAAAAAAAAAAAAAAGACGTTACGAAATAATGTCGTTAAGAAGTGGAAAGGAGGGCGGGTATGAAGAACAAAATGGAAGGAGGGAGGGGGAGGAAAGAGAGAAGTGGAAAGGAGATCAGGAGGGAAAGAACATACTCGGATTGGCAAGATTGGCTTTATGCCCCCTAATCACGTTGGATGTGTGTTCCTTCCCTTCGTTGAGCTCTTTCATGTCGTTGGACATGGCGGATTTGGCGCCTTGCGAGGAAAGTTGGCCGGTGGGTTCTGCCATTTTGGCTGTGAGGCACTCAAGACGCGTGGAGTGCAGATATGATGCGAAGATTATTTTTCGTTTTAGTATGGTAGGTAGTAAGTCAGATCGTTGATGGTGTTGATCAGAAGCCCATTATCCAAGTCGGTATTTTCCGATGAAGTGATTGAGGGATCCTATGTCGTCGTTCGTTGAAGGATTATCGCGACTTGATATACATAGTATGCACTGCCTTCCCTTTTCAGTCCTGGCAATCGGATGACGTCTCTCCAAGCTTTTCGTCCCCCCGCTTTCGGCTTGTGAGAGGATTGCATTCCTGTTTATTATTGTCCCCAAGGTGCGAATCTAATAGTTGACGTCATTCGTGGCCCGTCTTGGCGCTCAAGAGCTCACGGATTTGGCTGATGAAAACTACCAAGCTTGAGCCAAGAATACTTCTGCTCTTGGCAAGGTAATCAGTGAAGAGCGTTTCAAGTATGGTCCAACGCTTGAGGAACCAAGGGTACGGAGATCGGATTGTGAGACCAAAGGGACTGCCGATCAAATGAGCAAACACCAAACGCCCGTCACAGACAAGCAAAAGACAGGTCCAATGACGGTGACAAAAAGATAGACAGGTCGATTAAGACGAACCTCAAACTGGTATCAACAAGAAAGCTACATGGTATCATTGGTGTAAACATCCATCCCCCGTAAACAAACCCCCTTCATCCGCTCAAATGTCATTATCCACATATCCACATTACAACGCCCAGACAAGCCGACCGTCCAGGTCCAGTCTATATATGCATTCACATCATCACATCCACTGCCTCGCACTCCTACTGCAACAGTTTAGACCTGCTTCTCAGGGTCCCTCCCGCTGATGCTACCAGCTGTGCTGTTGGGGGCAGTCAATCCAGGAATAACATCCAAGCTGCGAGTGACCTCCACATAATCGTACGCGAACTCGCCAAGCTGGTCGTCGTCGAGGCCAATCTCCTCCTGGTGGTGGTCGACACGGAGCGAGAGGCCGGGAACGAGGTTGAGGAGGAAGAGGATGACGCAGGTCATGACGAAGGAGTAAGAAAAGCCGGCGACGCTGTCGGCGAGCTGGTAGGCGAGCTGGATGTAGTGGTGGTTGACCCAGCCGCCGGCGATGGCTGAGTCGCCGATGGAGACACCGTCGAGAGCGGCAATGTAGTCACTATAGCCGAGAAAAGTTAGTCATGATCTCTTTGAAGAGGGGAAAAGGGGATATGGGAGGAGGGTAAAGACATACGCAGCAAAGATACCAGTCAACAAGTTGCCGACAATACCTCCAACACCGTGCTCAGCAAACACATCGAGCGCCTCATCAATACCCAGAAGGAACTTGAGCTTAGTAGCAAAGTTGCAGCTGATACCGCCGACAACACCAAAGATGAAAGCCGACCAGGGAGGGACGTAACCCGCAGCAGGGGTGATGGCGACAAGACCAGCAATGGCACCGGAGCAGAAGCCGACGGTGCTCCACTTCCTCTCCAGCCGGTAATCGAGCAAGACCCAAGTCAAGCCACCGACGCAGGCAGCAATGTGAGTGACGATGCAGGCCATGACGGCGCGCAGGTTGGCGGCCAGGGCGCTACCGCCGTTAAAACCGAACCAGCCGACCCAGAGGAACACGGTGCCTAGAACGACGTGGGTGACATTGTGGGGGCGATAGGGCAGGCCGTTGACCTTGTTGTAGCCGTTGCGCTTGCCGAGCATGAGCGAGTAGGCGAGGGCGGCGGCACCGGAGCTGATGTGCACGGGGGTGCCGCCCGCAAAGTCAAGTCCGCCCATCTTGAAGGACCAGCCATTGCCATTCCAGGTCCAGTAGGCGATGGGGTCGTAGACAATGGTGGTCCAGATGAACATGAAGACCAGGGCGGGAAGCATACGGCCGCGATCAGCGCACGCGCCAATAGCAAGAGCGGGACTAGAGGGGTTAGGTGTTAGTTTAAGGCCGTGAGGAAGAAGATGGAAATAGGAAATGGAAAGAAAATACGTACGTGATGGCAGCGAACATGCCCTGATAGAGGCAGAAAAGAAGGTCGGGGATCTTGCCGCTGCCAACGCTTGGCTGGGCGAGGGTCTTCATGAGACCAAAATTGGAGAGGTTGCCGATGTAGGCGCTTCCGGTGTGGGAGAAGGCGAGTGAGTAACCCCAGAAGAACCATTGAAACCCTACGATGGCTATCGACATAAGGGAAAGCCAAATGAGGGCCAAGGCTGACTTTCTTCGTGCAAGACCGCTGTAGAAGAAACCGACACCGGGAACCATGAGCAGCACGAGGGCTGTACATGTCATGATCCATCCGAAATCTCCGGCCTGGTGTAAGTCACAGGTTAGCCACTGATGTTCCTCCCGATCAGTCTTTCAGGAGATAGCGTGGTGATGCCGTACAGAATAATATCGGTTGAGGTCTTCGAGAAGGGGGTTGCCTCCATTGTTGGCGACACCGGCAACCCCCTCGTACGTTTCAACGGGGCCGGACGACATGTTGGAGGTTGATTCGATTTCAACACCAATTCGGTACAAATTATGTCGAGGTCAAGTGAATACGTTCGGTGGTGTTGTGGGCTGACCAGAGCACTTGTTATTGAAACCGTACACGAACCAAGCCCTCGGTGCCGTGTAGTGTCGATGAGATAGATGACTTGAGGTTGCAGAGAAGATGAGTTTAGAAGAGAGGGATCTGCAGGGTAAATAAAGGAACAGACCCAGAACCAAGGGCGAGGAGCCGTGAAACATGTCAGCGATGTGTGGCATTCATGTCGGCCCTATGCAATCCAAGCTGCAGTTATCAGTGTTGGTGCTCCTTGATCCCCTGTTGATGGTGTCGAGGTAGGGCTCCATTCCGTTCTGGGAAACCCTCCCATTGCCGCCAAGACATCAGCTTTGATGGATGGGTGGGCCACAGAGATAAGAAACCCGAGGGGAACGCCGCGCCGTGAGCGGACGGTGGGGGTCTAACCTGTGGGATTCCGATCCATTTTTGGCCATTGTAAGCGGTCGTGCTGGGCGTGTTGCCCAAAGAGTGTCGAAGGAAAGAAAGCCTCGTTCAGGTGGAGAAACAGAAGAGATACCCCTGGTAATACCTACACAGCTGTCGCTGACGAGCGCTTTCCAAACCATGAATAGCATCCAATCCGAATAACCTCGGAAGTGCTCGAATCGATAGCCGGCAAGGGGTGTACAAAGAAGGACCGTCGAATCTTACATTATCGTACCCAAGGACCACTTATGGCCTGTCGGGAAAAAGAGAAATTCGGAGCAGTGTGACCTAAAATTTGTCCCAGGTATCAAGCGGTTACACCGTTCCAGCTTGATGAGGTGAGAACAAACTTTTTGCGAACGCCTTGTCGTACCAGACGAAGTCATGGAATCGTCGAAACCGTCAAAACTGTGATCATTCCCTTTTCATCCTCCACTTGATCGATCTGGCCTAGAGATGCAGGCAACCTTTTGGGTTACATGATCACCCTGCAGTTTACCTGGGAGCCCTTTCCCTCGTGGAGAAACATGGAGTAGATACCTCTAGTCATCGATAGACAGCCTTCTATATTGTGGCTCAATCAAGGAACACAGTAATCCGGGGTACGTTGGGTGTAGCACCACATGGAAAATGTGCCTCGGCGGCAGCGGGAGAATTAGCTGCGGTCAGCAATCTCCGGCATTCCACAACATTGGTCTGGATGAAGAAACTGCCGCCTGGCGATGTCGTGAGTGGCTTCAACGTCACTGATCTGACGAGTCTCTGGTGTCAAGAGACGGAGGGACCCAAAGGGGACGGACGGGATATCGAACGGCAAACTCCTGTCGTAGGATTCTCCTGTCCGTAGGATTCCGATGCCAAGACTGTTGGCATTTGGTTGGCACCCAATCGGTTTGTATTGCGGCCGGTTTGGACTGATTCGAATCGAGCAGCAAAGAAAGGCGATAAAGATGGAAAACGTTTGTTGAAGTGTGTCGTCCGACGGGGCTTACGAGAATGCATCGCTCCGTAGTCCTTATCAGTTTGGTCAACGCCCGGGCCGTCTCCACTTCAGCCTACTGTGGAGTGTAACCCGGGGAAGGGTCAGGGTTTGGGCAGGGCCCGGGTGCACCTAGACCTCCCACTGTGTAGGGTAGACTTGGGGGATCCACCTGATGATTATCTCGCCCGCGAGTCCACTTCAACCACTTCAACCACTGAGAACATGTGCATCCGATATTGATGCTGAATACAGAGGTTCTTCACCTAAACAAAGCCACAAGTGGTCGGATTGAGCACTCATGACTGTACCAATACCGGCCGGTAAGAGATGAGGCGTTCTTGCCGGGCATTGGCGCCGTCCGTTTCTCTCTTATCTCTCGGCAGAGTGGGCCCCGTCTTGGCTCTCTTGGCGTTGGCTCGTTGCCTGGCGAGCCTGGTTGACTTGAACTGTTGAATCGATGATGGGAAAATGCGAAGGTTCAAGGATAGACATCGAAGAGGGAAGCGATTCACAGAGAGTCAAAGGCAATGGATATAGATATGAATGTTTATAAGACCTCGGTATCACTCAGTCGTCTCAGGCCTCATGATGCACGACGTCCTCAGCCTCACGGTTTAAGCACTGATGCACAACAGACACGGATGTCTCTCGCACTTTCCGCAACACTCGATCACAGCATAAGCCTGTATCGAGTTCTTCACAGTTCAATGAGAATGGCAGTAACAAGCAGATTTATCAATGACAGCAGGAAACAACTTGACGAAACATCCAAAGAGGGATGCCGATATTCGGAACGAACGATAGGTCTTTCATCTTCTTTGTGTTCTACCAACCTTTCTTATCAACCAGATAAACCCGTCACCGGAATGCAATCTGGTTCTGGAAATCTCTCCTAGCCGAAAGGGAGCCTCCAAGTGGAAAGAATGGACGATTGCTGTCAATGATAAAAGATAAGAAGGGAAGCTGAGGTGACAGGCAGGTGGTGACCCCATCCCGTCACACCGAACCCGGATCAGTGCCTGATTGCCCGCGCTCCACTGCACTCTCAGCGAACCGACGCTACAGTAATGACCCCTGAAAGTGCAACTAATCCGGGCGGAGGAAATCCTTTGCACTTTCTGGGTGTTTGCACTTGGGGGATCTGGTGCACAGACTATAAAGCCCCCTCCGGCTACTTAAAGACGCTCGGCTATATTAAAAAGTGGGACCTTAGAGCCTCGGTAAATAGGTATAAGTGTTCTCTCCTACCAAGATTGGACCCCTGTAGGTGCAAATCCGGGCTAGAGTCTTTGCACTTTGCAGTTTGCAGGTTTAGTATGGGAAATCAATTCCGGCCACCCAATTCTTTTGCACTTTAGGGGGTTTTTGCACTTGGGGGTGGTTGCACTTGCAGGGGTCTTTACTGTAATGCTTCTCCATTGTGTCCACTGCATCCGCTGCCCGTTGTCCCCGTCATCTTGGCGTGGGCTTAGCTGACGCTTATTTTGTGGGTTCAATGTTTCCATGTTGGAGCTGGGCATGTGGGGTTATTGTTTTTTCTGTGTCAACACCATCGTCGCCATCATTCAACATCGCCCGTGAAAACGATATCGCCAACATGGTCGAAACCATGAGATTTACTGCATGTTTCTACACTTTCCACTCACCATGTCCGAACATGGACACACACACAACACGTGGCGATCTTCAAGGAGGAACAAGTGACCGTCTGCCCTCCGCTTTTGACACAAGCATCTCGCATTATCATTAACCTGAGTATGCCTCATCACGCATAAGAAGATTTCCACTTTGCTGTAATTCGTCCTTCACGGCAACGAGATCACATCATGGCAAGCACGCGCGGGAGTTGTTCAGCAAGTCACATTCGACAAAGGCCAATCCAGGGCAAACGTTAAGACAGTCGTCTCATTACTGAACTCATAAACATTATATCTCATCATCAAGAGTCGTCAAGTCCTTCTCCTGGTCTCAAGTTTGCCCAAAGAGGTCGGTATCCAACCCATCTTCTACAACCCCCTTTCTTTCTTTCTTTTATCACATCAAATGGAAATCAAACATCGATCCACCTAGCCATCCACTTATCCACCGTCGCCTTTGCCTCATCCACCAACCCCAACTCCAACAACAACTGGACACTGCCTCTAATCCCGCTCTCCAACGCCGATGCAATCCACGCATGCGTATAGCTCGTATGCTCGCCCACAAACACCAGATTGTTCCTCGTCTGGAAGTACTCCGGTAGATACAGTTCATGCTGTCCAACCGTCGGACTCGCCCACGACGCGCTCTCCAGGGGGTCCAGCGCCCAGCAGCGCCTGTTGAACTTGCCCGTGTACTGCTCCTTGACCAGCTCTTCGCCATGGATCTCCGCCATGGCGTTGAGCACGTACTGCACGTGTTCTTCTTCCGGAGTCGACACCCAGCGGTCGCCCCAGTCTGCTCCCGAGATGTACGAGGCGAGGATGGAGGCGGGGCCATCGGTGCCGTTGATGTTGTAAGAGGGGTAGCAGATGGATCCGATGCCGGGAATGTCGGAAGAGGTGGAGCACGACCCGTAGATGGGTTGAGGCAAGTGTTCCCAGAAACGGGTGCGGAACTCGAGCGCGACCTTGCAGGCGGAGGTGTACTCGAGGTTTTGGATGGCGTTGGCCAAGGTGGGCGCTGTCAGGTCCAAGGCGGGCGAGAAACGCCATTTCTTGACGATGGAAAATGGGGCGGCGATGACGGCGTAGTCATGCTCTGAAGACTCGAACGAGTCTTTGTAGCTGTTGCGGCTGTGGAGCGTGACTTTTTGGGTTTCGGCATCAAATGCGACGCGCTCCACGCGGCGGTTCAAGGTGGTGGCGTTGTCGACGAGCGGGTGGAAGGAGAGAGGCAACCGGTTGAGACCGCCGTCGATGGTCTTCCAGGTCGACGCGGAGAAGTACATCCCTTCGTACAGCGCGTCCCAGTACGAGTGAGCGCTGGCGCTTAGAAAGGCCGTGTCGTTGAGCGACCCGCGCAGGTAGTTCACCATGAAGCCGAACTCGCTCCATTGGTCGCCGGGCAAACCGGCTAGGCCGCCACTCAACCAGTCGGCGTGCGCTTTGAACATGTTCTGTGCCATCTCGGCGAAGAACTTGTCGGTGTCGGGGAGGAATGCGTCAACCTTCTGGCTGAGGGACTTGGTGGAGTTGTTTGAGACACGGGTGAGCGCCAGCGACGAGTTGGCGGCGAGCTCGGCGAGGGTGGGCGGTAGACCGGTCTCGGGGTTCTTGATGCCGTCGTAGTAGTAGAGGCCGTTAGAGTTGGATTGGTACCAGGGGATGAAGTCAACGCTCAGGTTCTTGGAGTGGCCGTTGAGGCTGTTCATCTCCTCGGCCAGCTGGAAGACGAGCTGGTGGTCGCTGACGTTGTACGTCTCATTGCCGAGCGTGATGGTGTTGGGGAAACGCATGGGCCCCATCTCCTGGTAGCTGTAGTCGAAAGGCCCGCCGGAAAGGTACTCGGTGTGCACACGGCCACCGAGCCGGTTGCCGCCCTCGATGATGCTGACATTGCTCATGCCGGCTTGTGTCAGGCAGAGGTAGGTCATGAGACCGGACATGCCGGCGCCAACGATGGCGATGTTTTTGCTCTTGGCCTTCTCAACATCAACGGCGGAAATTTCCTTGTCCTCAAGTAGCTTGACACCGTCGAACCAAGGTCCCCATGGATTGATGCCGTTGTCCATAGTCATATGAATGGCGACGGAGTCTGATGGCTTTGTAGCGCGGGCCTTGAGGTCACGGCGCATCTTGATAGACTTGAAGTCAAAGGACTGGGGTCTGCTGCGACCGACAAGACGGCCGTTGGCGCGGCTCCAGGCTGAGATACAGCCACCGGACTGCACATTTTCGGGAATTACCCAGACGAGACGGTCGTGGTGAGCGTCAGTGGGCTGGCTGATGGAGTGATGAGCTTCTTCTTCATGCTTGGCTTGGCATGAACCGTAGGTGTAGCTGACGGCGCCATCCACTGATGCTGAACGCTCAACATGGATGTTGGAAAGACGGGAGTTGAGTGACGACCGAGTCTCGAGCTTGAGAGGAAGGGATGCGGTGACTGCAGAGTTGGCCGGTAAGGCGAGCAGTGCCGCACCCGCGGCAGCAGACCACTTCATCTTGTATGAAAGCAAGGAGACGGACGGATGAGGATCTCTTGTAGGGCTGAGGTGCTCAAGAGATTTGAAAATGAGGAGGGGGATGGATGGATGAGTAGTCAACGACACAACTCATTGTTGCCTTTTCATGAGAGCGAGGGAAGATAGCTCTTATATAGACCACCATCCAAGCATCCAGGAGTGTATTTCCAACGAGACCTGACATTATCCAGGCCCGGCCCTAGTCCGTTCCTCCTAGTGAAGCTCCATGCCGAGAGAAGGCCGGTTGTACGTAACTGATCATCCCAGTCAGTCAGTCAGCCAGGCTCTCCGCACTGCCTAGGGCGGCTCAAGGGGAATGAGGGGGCGGAGGGGAGGTACAGTATCGGCGTTACCCTCAACCCTGACGTTCCATTTAAGAACCCTTGCAGTCCATGTTAAAGAAACTGATAACCAGCTGATGGCCGGGTCCCGAGTACCTAGTGTGCCGTATCTTTGAATCCCGGCTCTCGGATTCGAGGAGTGGAGGTGGGTTGGATCGGATATCGAACTGCAACTACATCCGTGCAACCTATTATGGTTAAGGCTGAACGGTTGGGATACAAGCTGACAACCATGCACACGTGGAGATTCATCCCTACGCTTTAATGCTACCTCATTCGGTAGATAGCCAAGATACCCTAGTCCGATATCAGTCCGATTTCACGAGGTGTGTATTTCGTTCCGGAAATCAAAGTCTATGGTATGCGTCGGTGTCGGAAGAAGATTTATTACGGACTTCTTGCTTTGTTTCTAAGCCGTGTTGCCAAGCTGTGACCGTGAGAAACTCGTCATCTGTACGCCCTTTGCTTCACCTCAAGGCTGACACCGAGTCTTTGTCAGACTCGCAGCCAACTGAGCAAGAACGTCATGGAGATGTATCTCGGCCCTGACAAAATTGTTGAGACCCAGTTGACCCAGATCGCACGCCAAGAACGCGTCCAAAGGTCTCAACAATTTGTTCAGGAACGAGGACGCACATCATAAGTAGCCACTGCCTGTAAATATCAGCGTATGTCAGACTTATACCAGAACTCAGAATGACACAAGTCAAGTTTTGCTTCGCCTCAACTTTGCACAAGGCCACCACTCACAGCCGTCACTGACCGAGAAAACAGAGGGCATAAGCTGATAACTCCCAAGAGTTGAATCCTCCCTGCGGCGCTGTGAGTCAACAACAAACCGGCTCAATAATCCGTGCGGTGCAAAGAGTGAGCTTTTACATAATTGTCAATAGCAACGATGGGACCACGGGACCTCGAAGACGAACGAAGGGTCAAGATGCAGATGATAGTGCTAGCAACGGAATGCGAGAAACCTTTGCGAGTTGCGGCGCTACTGCAAACCCCTGTAACTCCCCAATGCGTGCCAAGACATGGTCGAAATCCAAAGACGCTAGAAGGAAGGAAGGAAGACCTTGCTATTGTTGTTGTTGTTGTCAACCGGAAGGGCGTGTCTTCATGTTCCCGGGAGTCATCGAGGTGTCCCGGACTCGGGTGTGGAGCAATCAATAGACGGGTCTTTGGAAGGCGCGGGTGGGATTCGGTCGGAAGGGGTTGGGGTTTGATGGAGCTTTGTGCCCGGGGTCCAACCCCAACCGATGTCGGCCCGGGACGCTTATCTTCATTCGAGTTGGCTCTCCGAGATACCTTCCACTTCAGACTTGGATATCAGTCGAGAGATAGGATATGTATCCGTATTCAACCGAGGATGCTGACAACAAAACAACAAACTATGCCACCAACAGCACAGCAATTACCGGCGAGGAACTAAATCACAGGGTAATTCTGTCTTCTTCAAGTGCAAGATCCACTAATCTCAACGTTAAAGATACTTCCCACCGAGACACGCTGATGGACACTTGACTGCCTACGTAACAACAAGCCAAGATAACAACCGCAGAAATGAGAAGAGGAGTGGTGAAAGTGGGGGCACACAATATGATAGGATAAAAACCAGGATAGTTTCCCGCAAGGAGACAAGACCATTTTGACAAGCTTGGCATGACCGAGAAGACGGCCCCGGGATAAGCGATTGTACAACATCTGGTCTTGGCTCTTTGCCGACTCGAACCTCCTCCTTTTCTGCTCGGAAGGGGGTTGCTTGAAACTTTCGAGCTCCTCAAGTGCCCAAGTCGCCGGCTTGGGTACGGTTGGGAAGGTGCACTTTGGTGTGGAAGTCCTCAGAAAAACACCGGGAGTGAGCAAGATGCTGTGCTTCAACTTCCGTCAGCGCAGTAGTTAGGGAGCAACCGGGAAGATTCTTTGAAGAAGCGAAAGAAAGAGTTCGGAGAATATGGTTGTCGACCGATTTTCACAGCCGAATATCATAGGCAACATCCACAAAGCAAAGAGGTCTGATGAGCATCCAAAGGGGTTAGGAATATGTGAATCGCTTCATGTACTGTCTATACGTACCCCCAAAAAGCCACAAAAACAACGCCAACCGATCTGAACCGAGTCTCTATCGGTATATGCAAGTCCAAAGAATCATGTAGCCGACCATGTAGGTGTATTCTCACACCTAGCTACCGCTAGGTGGTTTCGTCAAACCCCGTCCTCAAAGAGGGCCGCCAAAAGGATCTTCCAGCCCATTCCCATCAACCTTCCTCCTCTTCTTCTCCGGCGCATCGGCTGACAGATCGCCGCCAAAGATAGCAGCATCCTTGGCCCCGTTGCTGGCTGCAGGGCGCTCCTCTGAATCGGCACGTCTGACTCCTGCCTCTCGGCGTTGGCGCTGGAGCTCAGACAAATTCCAGCGATCGGGGTCGCGACACTTGGTCAACTTCTTGCGGACGGGCCGGATTTGGGATTTGAAGATTGATTCCTGCGAGGTGGGATGATGCGTTAGCTGGTACTGCGATGGCGGTCTAGCGAAGACAAAGGGAGCAAAGCCACTTACACTAGTCCAATGCGACTTCCTCTCCGGCAGTTCGGTGGACAGCATGTTCCTGCATGCCTCGATAGTGCCCATAACCTTATCTCGGATCCCTGGGCCGACTATGGCTGCGCGCTCATCGTTGGTCGTTATCCCCTTGCTCCCACCCTCCTTTCGGCCTATCCCCGGATTCTCCAAACCAGGTAGTGGTGTCACGGCAGGGGTGTTATCGTTGTTGGTAGTGGGCGGGACAAAGTGGAAAGTCTCCTGAATCAGGCGCTCAGCCAGTCCGCGATCGGCAAGGGATAGTGCTGCGAACATGATCTGCGATGGTGTGTAGTGAAAGTAGGCATCGGTCATGAGAGGACTGAAGAGCAGGATCTCGTGAGCACGCTTTTCGGCTGCTATGATGCGTTGTTCCTGTATTAGAGAGAAGATGTTAGCGACAGCCAGTTGGGTAAAGTGATGTCAGCATATCTTACGTCGATGTCCCCGTAACTCCTCAACTCCATCGTCGCTCCCATCAACGCCCTAAACGGGTGTCTGACCTCAAAGTTGAACCTGTTGCCCTGGCAAAGCAAAAACTCGCCAGCGAGGATATCCTGCTTCGTATTGAACTTTTGCTGAAACTCAATAATCCGAGGAAACCTTCCCTCCGCCTTACTTCCCACAAACAACGCCACGAGTATCATCTCCTGTGGTGGGTACGTCATGATGCTATTCGTCAGGAAGAACCTCCTGAAAAAGACCGTTGCTGTCGCCCTGACTTCGTCTGGAACTCCAAGATGGTCCGCCGCGCGCAATAATTCGGATACGTAAAAGGACACAAGTAAGGCCTCTTCTTCAGGTTTGAGGAAGTCGGGTAAGGTCGGTGTGCTGTTCTCGGTGGGGTTGGGAGTCCCATGTCCAGACGGGTCTGGCGTGTTCGCATGGGATGTGTTATTCGAAGTCGGCGGATTCGAGGCTGATGCTAGCATGCGCTCGGCTATTCTTTGACGGGCGATGGCGTTGGTCTTCTCGCGCATGGCAGCAAGCTGGGCGGGCGAGAAGGACCATGCTTGGAACTGCGAGGTTTCGCGGTATCGCGCGTCTTCGGACGCCATGCTGGGCGGCTTGTAAGCTCCCACGGAAGTTTATTTCACAAAGAGTATCGACAATCGAGGTTCGAAGTTGTCGTGGCTTAGCTGGATGTCGTAGGACCGCCTTGGGAGGGCAGATAGCAAGGAGCGGCGTGCAAGTGCTGCTTGGCGGGTGGCAGTTTACGGATTCCGTAGAGATATTTTTTTCCTAGGGGGTTGACGAAATGGTGTCAAGAAATGGGGTGTCTTTGAGCTCAGAATATCTCCAGTTTCCAGCGACAAGAATGAAGGTGATGTGTTGGAAGTTCGAGGGATGGAAGGGCAAGACGATGACGGGAGTGGGACCCGGCCGACCCTCGACGTAGCACCGAGTGGATCCAGCAAGGTACCGGCAGGCAATGAGGCGTCCGTACGTTACGACGTGTTTGTTCATCACAGGTAGCTAGGCTCTTCTTTTTCTCCTCACCATCGTCAAACAAATCATCATTGCTTTTGATATCAGATACCTCGACTTTTTAATTTCTACTGTTTTTGCATCCCACAGGACGGTACTAGGTTCAAACCCCCACGTTTACTCGTTCGATAACCGCTGCACGAAATCGTGGCTCCTGTCCACAAAAATGAAAATGCTAACCATTCATGGCATTACAGCCCAACCCTATTGTATACTTTACGCCAAACGCCTGCCAGTTGCAATGTCAATATTTATGCCTGCCTATACACCCGGACTGATAGTTGGCTCTGCCGTGACGTCTCAACCCAACTTTAAGAATGACTGATGCCATTCATGCCCGGTCCTGGTACATCTAGTATGTGGATCCGAGATCCCGCCTAGCAGGGACCGGCGGGGGAGGCTTTTTGGAACGGCAAGGAGGCGGTGGAGGAGGAGCCTTACGAACTCCCAAGCCGTTGTTGACCACCGTATTGCTGGTTGTCCTTGTCAAGCTCCCGATACTTGTAGCCGGGCTCGCGCTGCGGGTACACCAGTTGTCTGGACTTCCCGTGTCGCTGGTGTTGTCATCGTCCCGGTCTGCAAATACATTGTCATTCGTTACAATCCGGCTGACGGGGCGCAGCTGGCCACGTAGGCTGCTCACGTTGGGTACGTTTTGGTTAACTCCATAGGTTGAACCGGACGGGGTGGTCCCGGATCCAGTACCAGAGATACGACCTCCGATGCGCTCGCGCTCCAAGTTCGTCCCGCCGAGGAAGGAGGCAACAGTATTGGACCTGCCAATGACGGGACGCGGTCCAGCATCGACCTGCTGGTTCTGCGACTGCACAGATAGGGGAGCCCGAGAAACTGCGCTGCGGATAGGCATACGCACGGGCGGTGCCTCGGTCTCAACCTCTTGCTCCTCGTAAACGTTGCGGCTGTTGGTACGGGACAAGCGATCGGTAAAGCTTTGTGCGGTGCTCGGCCTGCTTCTACCGTCACCGCTGGAAGCAGTTGGTCGCCGTTGGAGGCCAGCACCATAGCCGCTCATACCGTTGGAGGAGGAGATAGCACCACCGGCCCAGCTTTGGCGCACCCTTCGCAACTCATCGGCACATCTTTCGTGATATTCGAGCTCGGCGTCAAGGAATTGGGTCAAATCGCGGACGCTATCAACCTCGCTGTCGCGGATATCCTGCATTCTGCGGCTGACATCTTCAGAGGCTTCTTCGTACTTGGCCTTAGCCCCCCGAAGCTCTTCCTCGATACGGAAGTCATCACGACGTGCTTTTTGGATCTTGGTCGCCGTTGCATCGTAGGCCAGACGCCGGCTCTCGAGCTTCTTACGAGCAGCCTAGATTATCTGTTAGCCGTAAGCCAAACTTGACAATGAGCCGTGTGTGCTGACCTGGTACTCCTTCATCATGGCTAGAGACCTCTCGAGAGACTCAAGCCACGTAGTTGTCGCCTCACTGACAAAGGTCTCCTGGATTTGCCCAATCCTCTCATTGGCACGGCCCATCGAGATAAGGCAGCTTCCGAATTCGGAGTCGGGCGCAAAGTCTTCGCCATGTCCGATCATGGTCTTTCCGAGATAATTGGTGGGAATGGACTTGTCCTTGTCTTCGTACGAGTCGCAGCGACGGCCAAGCCACTTGACATAGAGGTTCATAGACTTTTGCAGTCGGTCCATGCCTAGCAGTAAAAGTGTGTCAGATTGTGCCCACGGTCAAAGTATTGGGGTAGAAAGCAAGGGCATACCTTCAAAGCGAAGTGCCATCTCCATCTCCAGCTGCTTAAAGTCCTCAGACATAGTCGTCTTTTGCTCGGCACCCATCTTTTCGCCGGCCCATTGAAAGGCGCGGTCGAACTTTTTGGTGATATTCATGTTGTTTGTGTTGTCGACAAATGCAAGTGAAGCGTTGGGTTAAGTCAATGGACGATTCCTGACAAGAAGGTCGTGGAATTCGTCGGCTTCTGTGAGATTGCAGTTATGTACGTTCTGTTAGTGCCAGGGACAGTCTGGCAGTAAGAACAGAAAATGGCGGCCGTAGCTCGTAACGAATGACAGCTCCCAAAGAGTGAAGGTCGAGAGATGGATAACTGAGAACAAACGAGCAAAGCAGACGAGATCGGGAGGGGAGGTTAATGATGCGGACGAAGGTGCCAGATATGTATGCAGCAGCCGGTTTGATGGCGAGTGTGAAAAGGAAGGTGGTCTAGTGCCGTGTGTGGGAATCTCGTGTGGCAAGAATGTGGATGTTGTCTCAAAGGTAAGGTAGTGTGCTCGTCGAATGGAGGTTGATGGATCCGCAGTCGCAAACGTGGTTTTAGACTCGTCTGGGAGGAGTTGCCCCGTTCGTACCTAAGCCCCGTCGTATCACGAACAGAAACAAGGGGAAAGGTTGAAAATAGATGGTAGGATGGAGAGAAAGCATGGATGTCGAGGCACGCCAGTGTCCAATCGAGCAGGAAACCTTGACGGCTCAATGCGTCCTTGCAGCGCGCTAAAGCAGGAGGCGAAACACAGGCAGGCCCATCAGATGGTGTAAAAAGGTCCGGACTTTGGCTGGGTCTACTTTGGTATAAGCGTATCCGGACTTCTTTCCAGTTTCCACACCACCTGCTCGTCCATGGCTTCTGCGGGGGAAGCCCAGATTCAATCCAGGCAGTGCAGATGCTCAACAGGGGCATCCTAGGAGCTTGGAACGCGGGGGAAGTGACTTCTTCCCAAGCCTACCAAGGAACGTCAACTGAACACGAACGAAAGTGGAGGTAACCGGGCGTTTCTAGATGGAGCTTCCCAACAAGTCAACACGAGAGTGATTGCCCCTGCTCGTCTCAAATTCGTATATCATGTAGAGCTAGGTAGGTAGGTACATAGTACCAACCCCGAACCACAGAAAAACCAGGGGCATCCTTAGGGCCGGCCTGTCTGAAGACCTGGATATCATATCTGGCTTGGACATCTTCCAGGCCATTGTTTTCCAAATGCTGTTTGACGACAACATGGAAGCCTCTCACGCGGAAATTCCCCATTTCTAAGACCTGGAAATCATTTTCTCCACAACTGCCCGACATACCAATCGGATCCTCGCAATCACACCTGAAATCCCGAGACGGGAGTACCAAGCTTCCGGACCTCTGGACCTCTGGAATCTGACCTGGAACAGAGCAATTCCAAGTGGTCTGTACTCGGTGATCGAAATCCATTTCCAAACCAGTATTTCCAGGTCGCCTTTCCAAGCCATCGGACACGCCCTCAAGTCCGAGCTGGCTTGTCAAGTGTCAAACTGTCACAAAGCTGCGAAGTGACGTTTACAGCGATGTGAAGTTCGTCAGCTTTAGAGGATGCTTCGTCGTAAAATTGACGCACGTCCAACGAGACAGGAAGGAGGCTAGTTCTAGCTACTTTGCGTTCCCAAATCACGATAACAATTCGTCATTCTCTTTTCGTATCCAGTGTATGACTACTAGGTAGAATATGCACCAAAGACTCGATTTCTCTGCCTTGTCTTGTTGTTCGGATGGGATTATATCCTCTCGAGCTGAGTCTACTCCTTGAACTCGTTAGCCAAGCTCACACGAAGCTCAGGTAATGTATGTCAAACAGGTCCAATCTTCATCCGAACAGTCGAACATTATCACGAACGCTTTGGCTCTGAGCAAGCAATGTTGTCAACCGCCAGCTCATCCGCCGCAGTGGCAACCAACCCGATTCCGATCCAGTAAGTGCGCCCACTGCACATATGCACAGGGCATGCATGCAGGCAGTCGGATAACACTATGCCAACAACGAAACCCTTTCCTTTTACCAGAGAACTGAACCAGATAGCAAAGGACCAACATCATCACGGTGTTCTAGCCGCCATGACTGCAAGCCACCCACCACACCACACTGGCCTGAGAAAACGGTATAGCCTGAATGTAGCGAATTCCGTTGAGGAGATCATTGGGGATTACAGACCAATAAGTTTGATCTACTACAGAAGTCGACATAAAAATTCCGCAATCGCCGTCGCCGAGACACGCCAAAAGCATCTGGACTTGATACTAGAAGCCACTGGTTGCAAGGATCAACCTCCCATTTACACAATTCTCTCTTTTTGCGCCGGCGGCAATGTATGTCAATGTTGTGGAACACGACCGAGGAGCCAGATCCGCCTCCATGGAGTTGTACACATCCGAGACCACCCGTCATTGAATTGTTATTGAAAAGACTGACGATAACTTAACCGCTGCAGACCAAATCGCCAAAACCAAATGTACACAGTAAGCAGGCTTGGGGGCAGTTTTAACCTTTCCAGCAAAAGAGAAGAAGCCGGCGACGAATAAACCCCTGTAGGTTAGAGTTTAGTTGGTGGAGACCTCTCTTTGAGGTTGTTTCAGCCCTAAGATCGGGGTCGCCAATCGCGGTCGCTCAGGGGTTAAAGCTCGCTCTCAGGAGGGGCCGCGGCGCATGGTTGATGGGCGAGTGATGACCATGATCCATTTATCGACCGACGACCACAAATTGCCAGTGGTAGATGGAAGAAGGCAAAGACACCTCAGTATTGGAGTCCAGATATTGGGTTGGACATTTCCAACCGTCATCTTGCTTCCACCACAGCAAATGCGCGCGTCTAAAGATGACCATTTGTCAACTGCTATAAGTCTTCGACGGGATCAAGGTAAATCTTAATGCTGTTATCTTATTGATCCCAAGCGAGATTCACCAGTCGCTCGTCAGAACCTCTCGCCTTCCTCTTCGACAGCGTATCAGTTCAATGGTAACCCCTTCGGTACACCGGCAACTTTCACCTCTTTCCTGTACATCTTGCAAGCACAGCCCATAACTCCGGGTCCCTCCCGTTTCAGACATCAGGGGGAACTTTCTGCACACCACCAGGCCTTGCAAGCTTTCCCTCAAGGTTCGTTGTCCTTCCAATCTTCCATTGCATGAGCATTGCGGAGCCGCGCGTCCGTTCCACTGGGATACTATTCTGGACCCCGGACCCAGTATCTGGAAGCAGTACGCACGAGGCGAATCGTGTCCTCCGTATCGACAAGCTAAGCTTACTCACGGACCTCGTTTCAACACCTCGAAATGTTTACATTCGTTGGACTATGCAAACTAGACTAGATTCCGTCATTGCCGTTCATCCTTTCTTTTTCCACCGGTCGTACACCAGTCTAGGTCGCCTTGTAGACCTGAACCACCTGCCGAGCTAGAGGTTTTCCGAGCCAACCGGACCGACAGGACCAACGAATGAGACTTACACCGGCTTTACACCGCTCTTGCCATGACTGGGATCCCAACAGCGTCTTGCACGATCCCTATCTTGGGATTTTGGATGCTCTCGTATGCAATCAATTCTTTGCTGTATACATCGCATAAAGAACTTCTCTGGAAAACACGATTTCGCTCAGTGAGACAAGATCCAACGCTCAGTGACCGCATAAAGTTTGGGCTGTGGTGGATGTTGTATTGCGGGGCACAACAGAACCGTTGAAGCAACGTGATGTTCTTCAAAGTATGTGTGGTGCCTGTAACCTTTCTTTCTCTTCTCATTCGTGTTAAACAAGGTCTAAACCCATGTCCCTCATACCTTTTACGCCGTATCAAGCAATGACGAAGAAAATAAGATAAAAAAGAGGAGCTTGACTTGCCGCACCGTCCCCAATGTCCTCATGCACCCTTTTTGACTTCGCGCACCCTATGTCAGCTGTCATAAATACAAGTCGTTTTCACGTACAAATTCCCGTATTTTCAATAATTCTAAATATTTCAGTATACTAACGTAGGAGGGTATAGAAAGAATTAAATACGATGGATTATAAAGTATAACCATTCTCTTATTAAATAAGTAATTAATTTGGGGGGGTATAGATGTAGTTGGGTTAGGGATTTATAATTATAAAGAAGTAGAGATATACCTTTAATTGTGCGGGAAAGAATTGTATTCTGAAATTGTTAAAGTTTCATCGATATATAAGTAGATATTACATAACGTTTTAAAAGTGGGTTTTACTATACAAAACGCGGGACTTTACATGTCAGCTGTCATCGGTTGGCATGTGGGGAAAAAGGGGGGCGCGAAGTCAAAATAGGGTGCATGAGGACATTGGGGACGGTGCGGCAAGTTAAGCTCAAAAAGAGAGGAGTAACGAGGTATATGTCGTCATGAGTGGTTGATGGTGATATTCTTCCCTCTGTTCCTCAGTTCTCCCTAATTCCCCAATTCCAACCTATTACACTTGAGAACCAATCCGCGCGACACATATCATTATGTCGTGCCGTCCCTTTTCGCGTCTTCACTGCGCCCTGTTATTTAAACAGTTCCGCTGATACTCAGTTCCCTGATCTCCTGCAACACCTGTTCGACCCTGGTATCTAGCTGACCCTGGGCGTACTGTTCCCGCGTGTCTGGATCGAGGTATTGCTGTACTTGAGCCATGCGGCTGTAGGCTTCGGCGCAGAATCGGAGCTGAATCTTGACGAGAGCCTCGAACGATGGGTCGAGGTAAGGGACGCGGAGGTCGATAAGCTGCGGTAGCTCGGTGCACAACTGCTCGTTGAGCTGCTCGTAGGCTGCTTTGGCCATCTCCATTTCCTTCTCGGCGCGTGGGAGCTTCGTCACATCCTTGTCGGGCTTCTCGACCAGTTTCTTGACTTTGGCGCGGAGGGCGTCGTAGTCGAGGAGTTTGTGGCCGCGCTTCTTGATGCCTGTTTTTTTTTTTTGAGTTTATGGAGGTCAGTTTATATACGGACAGCAGGGGCGTTGTCGAGAAAGAAAAGGGAAGGAATATGTTGCGGGAGCGGAAGAGCAATCAATGGATTGCCAGGGAGATGAAGAGGTGGAGACGGCCGAGACATACATTCGTTAACGTCGGGGAAATAGGCACAAAATCTGGTAATGGGATCTAGGACTGTTGTCCGATATGGTCCGTCCAAGGCCTTGATCGTTTCGGCGTCCAAGTCTTCCACTGCTTGCTTGTAACTCCGGCTGACTCCATCTTTAGCACCAGCTTCACCGTAGAAAGCGTCAATAGTTTCGGCGATGCGCATCTGTGAGGCCGTCATTGCTGTCCCGGGACATTGACGTTAGCTTACAAGAGTCGTCTGCCAAAGCGACGGGTGGGTGTCTATCATACCTCGTAGTGAATCAAGATAACCCTTGGCCTCTTTTTGTAGTCGTAGGGATGCCGCCTCCATAGTCTTGAATCGTCTGCATGTCAAAGACGCTTAGCCCAAGTCCCTCTCTTTCCCATGTTGTATCTAAACCGAAAACAATCATACCTCTCCTCAACCTCATAGTCGCGATCGTTGGTCTTCTCGACATGACCCGTCTTCATCATCACCTGGGTCGTTGCCCGGTTGACATTCTTCTTGAAGCCTGTAAGACACAAACGGAAGTGGCGGAACCCGTTAGCATTGTCGCATTAGGGGATATAGGCTATGGCGGGATTTGTGCGTACCGGCCCACGACATGATGGCTGAGTTATTCTCGTCGCTTGGTGTCTGACGTCGGTGACTCGTGTATGTATATGCGGGGGATCGACTGATTAATAGTTCCGTTCAATCGCCATAAATATTGGGAAGGTGATCGCCTGGTTGATGATTTGTCGCAGATTAATTCGTCGCTCGATAGGATTAGGATATTATTAAGTCAGTTCGTATGTTGGCCGGATAGGTGGCTCGGAGAATAAGTCGATGTCGGTGTTGTTGACGTTTAGAGCAGATTGGCGATGTTTGGCAAGCTTGGAGAGCAGTTGTTGCGGGATCCTTGCCAGTTGCGATGCCCGGACATAGACGAACGAAAGGGGTGACGACGTGGGATGTGGCTGTGCTTACCGCTGCCTGCCAGGAAGACACAATTCTTGGAATGTGATTGGGCACAATCTTGGACGACGTCAGCGGGGTCAACCTGCCAAGCCACAAATGCCTTGGCTACAAAATCCCACCGGGCCGCGAGCAGACCGTGACAGGTGCAAAAACGAAGTTCGACGGCTTCCATTTTCCCAGAATGATCTCCATCGATCGGATTTGTCTCCATGCCCGTCCTGGAGGCCTGGGCCATTAGTGTAGACATCGGATCGTCAACTCACGTCAGGTTTCTCACAGCAGCTTGTCGAGACACATTGCTGCTGCTAAGAAAGGACAGTGCTGAAGCTGTGATACCGGACATCGCGGCAGGTAATCTTTGCCGTTGACTCATCCCGGCGTAGGTTCAGTGTAGGTATGTAAAGCTTCGCATGAAAGAGAGTAAAAGGGTGTACGTCCCGGGTTGAGCTTCTGTCTCTCATTCATTGTCCTTCCTTCCCGAGCTTGCAAGTCTTGCAATTATCAATCTTCTCCATACACTCGGTCAGAACGAAACCCTGTTTCTGAACAGCCAACTGGCATCACCGATTGATACAAAACAAATCAGTTACCAAGCGCGGCACTAAGACGGTGAAATGGCCCAGAAGAAACCCATCCGACAGCAACCCTCAGACACAGCCTCACAAGAAAAATCCGCCCACCCCGAAATTTACGCTGAGAACATGGCATCTCTCAGACGTTTTCTCGTCGTCAGTCTCGGCAACCCGGGAGAGTATCGCGATACTTTTCACTCAGCCGGCCATCTGGTGCTCGAATCCTTTCAGAAAAAGCTTCCTGAAGACCTCGGACAGCCGTCTTTCACCTCGGAACGCTATGGAAAAAAAGCCGTCCGTGCTTCCGCCGGATCAAAGTACACTCTTTTACAGAGTCCTACGCTCATGAACATCACCGGGCCGTGGCTCGCTCGGGCGTACAAAGATTACCTGGTCGACCATGGCCTAAGCCCCGAAGAAGTTGGACTGGTGCTGGTCCACGATGACTTGGAGGAAGAGTTGGGTGTCGTCAAAGTTCGACAGTGGAAGGCTAGCCATAGAGGCCACAACGGCATCAAGAGCGTGTTGGCCAGTTTGCCGCCGATACCCGATGCTAAATGGGCGCGCGTATCAATAGGCATTGGTCGGCCGGATGATAGGGACAGGACCACTGTGTCCGACTTTGTCCTCAGCAAGATCCCAAGGCACGCCAAGGGGATATTGCAAGATAAGGGGGGAAGCGGGCTGTGGGAGGCACTCGGCAAGTTGGAGACAAAATGGAACAAATGAGGTCGTGAACAGTGGAGAGCAAGTACGAGAGAGCTGGGCCGGTGTTGCGCCAGTGAGTTAAGATAAACTATGATACCCCATTTTCAACCATTATCTTTTCCACTGATAGATAAATGCTGACTTCCGTCAAATTAAAAGAATCTGCCGCGTAATGCACACCGTGAACAATTTGCCCAATGAGACGACACATCCTATCTGTCTCACCAGATCTACTAACATCCACACTCTCTAGTAACAAGAAAAAACATGCGAACCCTCTTCAGCTCAAAGCCAGTCAAGCCCAATGCTGTTGTTCCTGATACCGACAGTATCTTCATCACCATTTAACCTCGCCTCAGACACCCTACTCGTCCTTCCCGTAAATCGCCCCGGGCAAGAAAAGCGGCACCTCCATCGGCAAGTCCTCATGCGGCCTAAACGAATCAATGTTTTCGGATATATGTCCCCCATCCCCCTTCTTCACCGGCCGTCTCGTAAAGAAAATCAGCATGTCCCTCGTCGCCTCCTTCGTCTTATCAACCGGCAACACGGGACTCAACGAGTGTTTATTTTCCGTATCCACCAACAAGAGCGTATCCAAAAAGTGTCTATGCTGCACTCTACTCCTCAAGTTCTGCGGCTTAATCTCCGTATACTTGGCCCCCGTCTCCTCGTTCATATCATGCATGAACGTCACCGCGCTGTTAGCCGCCAGATCCATGTTCTTCGATCCAAGGTACGTAGTCATGGTGTGATCCACCCCATCGGTATGCACGCCCTCCAGCGCCGGCTCGCCCAGGATGGAGGGGGTGGTGACGGTGCGCAAGTTAAAGAGCGTGCACACCCACTTATCAGACAAGTAATCCAGTCTCGGCCGATGGGTGGTCTGTACTCCATGGCAGATCATTCCCTTGAAGACTAGCAAGGCCTGGAAAGCAGTGTTGAGCTGCAGTTCGTCTTGGACTTCATCGAAAACGCGGATCTGCCCCGAATCATGCCGCTTGAAGTCCTCTTCAACCGACAACGCAAAGGGTTGGAACTCGAGCCGTCGGACGGAACGAGTGGAGAAGTCGAAGCAGAAACGTCCGTTGCGCGAGCGCCGGAAGGGTAAGGTCGGGTCAGAGTAGAGGTTGTTAGAGACGCGCTGGAGGGCGTCCAAGTCGGCGCGGGTTGCGCCGAGGCCAAGGAGAAGGGGGACCATGTCGAAACCTTCGACAAAGATGGAGCGGTTGGTGATGTACTTGGAGCGGAGCTTCATGATTTCGGCAACCGCGGTGTAGTAGGAGGGATTGAAGACACGTTTGGTCACGTCCAGCTGGGGACGGATGCCATTGGTGGTGGGTGGCCCCGACCAGGCTGGAGGAAGGTTGGCGAAGGGGTCGGTTGGGTTGAGGGATCGAGCGGTTTCGACAGAGGCTCGAGAGTGGGGAGTTTCATGGTAGAGTCTATGGGGTTGGAGGCGGGTGCTGGCGGCTGGGATGGGGCGAAGAGATCTGGTGCTGGCTCGTGGGAGCTGTTTCACGACTTTTGAGGTCAACATCGTGAGTAACTGAAATGTTCCGACGCTGGCTGGAAAAGATGGAGAAGACTGCCGGCTTGATTTGGAAAACTCGAGGTAGCGTGTTGGGTAGATATGTACATAGCTCATTCCCCGATGACTTGACGACGTTGGCGACAAATCTTTTCACCTCAGCGACAGCCGGAGACCGGAATACCTCTACCTCTCTATGGATTACTGTGACGGATCTCATAGTGCGTCAACTACTCAACGTCATTATACGGTTACAAGCTGAACTCTTGCTCAGGCTTAAGTCTTACTGTGCAAGTCACCCCTGATAATGATGCCATATGAACTATTTTCTGAGTGTCCGAGCACGTTGTCGAGGCATGAGAAAGGATATTCATAGCGGGGGGTACTCAAAGTAGACAGGAAAGCGAAGCTATCCTCGGGTCTACTCAGCGTATCTCACAATAGCCTCATCTTAGGGCCCGGTGTTGGTTGGGCCTCACCACGTGCCGGATCGGAGTGCTCAGACTTGTAGTCTCATGCAGCCATACCCCTGACCTATTTCCTTCTTTGACCTTTCATGTGGTGTATTCGGTAAATGAGACACCACTACTCCTGAATAATCCTTTTTGAGTATTCCTCCCTGCGAGTAGTAAGACGACCAGGGGTTCAAGTCATACAGCTAGTATGTCGGGGCGGTGCACGAAGGACGGAACTTGTGCTGCATATAATGGCAAGGATTCGACTCCTGAGTCCGAACAGTCACGAATGCTACGACTTTAGGATTTCTACCGGTGGTTGATGAGTTCGACGCCAATATACCTGATTCATGAATTTAGGTCCGTCCAGGGGCTAGCAGCCTCAGCCCGATGGCTTACTGTCGAGTATCGTCAGATTCTATGGGCCGAGCGCCGATGACGGATCACCACGCAAGGTATGAAGTCAAATCACTCTCAAGGCAAATAATTCACAGTAAATTTACTGTTGCTATTCCATTCCCATTGAAGAAAAACTACACTCGTGTCAGACAGTTCGCCGTGGCTCGGATAAGTCGCCGTTCCTGCTTCTTTTCTCTTCGATGTCTGCTTAGGGGAAACAGGAAAGAGAAATTGGTTCAGAAAGGTGATGGGTTGGATCAACTTCATTAGTAAGTTATCCTTGTTTGTCAGTCGACTTTCTCCTCGACAGTAAAGTAACTTCGGAGAAACAGCGACTCCCTTGAACCGATGTGGGGGGCTGTTAGTGATGGGGCGCTAACTTTAGGGCTCTTATTCTGCACGCGTAGCTGTTAGTGTGGTAATAGCACATGCTCGTCGGCTCCGCACACATCCCGAACATCCAACTTCCGAACATTCGACGCCATGTTTACATCGCAGGAACCTGAATAGTCCATATCCGAATCATCAGTGTAGAGCCATAACTCGCCCATAAATTGACTGAAGTCCGCACCCAGCTTGCCTCTTCATTTCTGATCGACCTTCATCTTTCCCAACCCTTGCTTGATCTTCTCGCCCGCCATGTCAATTTCATACTCGATATCCGGCTGCGCCTCCGCATAAAGCCAATTCTTCTCCCCCGCCATGCGAAAGTTGAACGAGGCCATCTCGTCCGGAACAAACTTCTTCTTCAGCTCAGGATTCCCCGCACAAGCAGCCTCCACGCGAAGCTGGATCTCACAGCTCCTATCGAGCAATCCAAACAGGAAACTAGCCTCATCGACCGTTGATCCGACGGTCAACAGCCCGTGGTTCAACAATATAGCGGCCTTGGAGTGTTTGCCCAAGACGGAGGCGATGCGCTGCCCCTCCTCGGCTGCGGTGACGATGCCGCCGTAGGAAGAGTCAACGGCGATGGAGTTGTACAGGTCACAGATATCCTGGTGCAGCATGTCAAGAGGCTTGCCAAAGGCGGACCATGCGCGGCCGGCGATGGTGTGGGCGTGACAGATGGAGTGGACGTCTGGGCGGGCTTTGTGGATTTGCGAGTGGATGTGATAGCCGGGTGCGTTTACGGGGCGGGTCTGGCAAAGAAGTTAGACAGCGATGGATAGGGCAGACTCGCAAACAACTTGTCTCAGCGGCGTACCCGATTCCCTCCAACAATCTTCCCGGTATCAATCTCCAAGCAAACCATATCGCTGGCATTCATCAGCCCGAAATGTTTCCCGATCGGATTCATCCAGATGCAATCGGGATACTCCGGGTCACGGACGCTGATGTGACCGGAGATGCCCTCGGTGTATCCCATGTGCGCCCAATTGCGGAACACGGCGGCCATGTGCAGGAGGATGTGTTCACGGTGTTCTTGCAGGGTGGGGAAGGTCGGGATACCCGTCAACGGGTTGGGACCCATGCTGAGTTCATGGAGCTGGCACTCCAGTGCCGCTGGCTCGTCCGGCTCGGAACGGGGTGCCGTCACCTGAGATGGATGGGGGATGAAGTTCCCGGCGGCCTTGACGGCGGCCGGCTGCGGAGGGAGAATGGGACTTTTCACCTCTTCGAGCATAGTATATGAAGATGCCATTTCGTAAGCAAGAGGCTGATTTGTGATACGCTGTATTTGCGAGAGGCAGGATTGGAATGGAAACGAAGTCCAAGGTAACGTATAAAGCAGCAACAAAACTGATGGCTTAGGTGGTCCTTACAAAGGACCCTGTTATCGTCGCTTGCACACTTCCTTTGCTGCCATACATGCGTACATGTGTCACCTGCAGGGTTCACCAGCTTACACAGTAATCTACACGACCTACGGTACTCAGATTGGCGAACAATGTGCCTCCGTGGGGGTGACCTGTCTGTTATCCTTCAGCAAACCACATTTGCAGTGCAGGACTGACACTCTGCCACACCGGATCCATACGATATTCGTCAACCAAGAGGAAGCTGAGGGGGGTTGAGTGCTGAAGTCTAGGGACCTTTGGGGCGAGAACCCTGCTGGCTGGTGCGCAGTGAGTGTTACGTAATTGAAATACACTGTCGGTTCGGGCCGCTTAGGTAGGAAGGCGCCTAGGGCTAACGAGAACTCTGCAGGCCAACGAAGCGCGTCTACCTATCTCTTCCTCGCGATTGAAGCCTAATTCATCTTCCATCAACGAAATCCTTCTCTGTCAGGATTCTACGAATTACCACGTCCCCAGCATCTACGGCGAATACCTGTTATTGGCTCATCGAAATCGATCGGAGTGACTATTTCGACCTTGCTTACGGTTGTCACTATGCGCCCTACATCGCCAGCTCGTTTCGCTCCCCCTTTACGGGCTCCTACCGTCTGCCCTCGACCACTGTTCCTCCGCGCCGCAACAGCAGTGAGGACAAGTACGACAAAAGCGCAGCATGCTTCTCGATTGTTTTCCTGTCAGACCGCACGCTCGGGTCTCGTACAAAACTCGGGAGCGAAGCCAAAGATGCCCTACGTCGCCTTCAGTTTCGAGCATCTTGGAATCAGCAACAAATGGAACAAGTACATTATGGTCTTCTTCATCACCATGGGCACTATCGAGACCTATCTTTGGTACAAATACCTTCCTGCTTGGTGGGAGGCTCACAGCAACACTGCCACTGAATTTGAGAAGCAACGTGACGGTCCTCAGTCCCACACCGCCAACTGATGCAACACAACGTACCGAGATCACCACGTTCATTTCGAGCCTCATGCAGACGCGCTACAGCGATGTTCCGCCCCATATGGGTACCACAACCTTGTATTGGTCCTTCTAAACTCGGCTTGCTGCCCCAAGAAGGCAATCGAAACGAAGCGCTAAGATCAAGCGCATCTCGAACGCATTGTCATCTCAACTGCATCATCTACCGCCGCTCAAACTTCACCACTTCGCCGCTATCACCTTTATTTTTCAAGAAGACGGTTCAAGGGCGTGGAGCAACGTCGCAGTCATAACCATCAGTAGCGCCATCACAGACTTACCTGTCATTAGCGTCATTACGCATGGACTTTGTTACCTCTCGTTCGTCCTCCCCAGCTTGAAGCCCGACATCTTGCGTTTGACGAGCAACAATGAGGCAGTTATGCCATGGCTTTTGCCCACATATCCAACAGAGGTTTGTCTTCTTTTACCACAAAGACTCAAGTTGGATGTATACCCCACATTGTGCTGCCAATCATACCTGGTGAAGGATCTGTCTGCTGACGCCTCAACAGGGCATGCAGCCCAGCGAACCAAGTAACTGGCCAAAATAGCAAAAAGATCAATCCAACTTGAATGAGACTTGGCAGAACTCTACCGATTTACACGGGGCGTGAACAAAGTCTTTGCGTTCAGATCAGCTTATACCAAGAATGGACTAGAATCTCGCACGCGCCCAAGAGTCTCTCTGGCACAAGGTTGGAAAGGGTTCTCTGTTCCATTTACACTGTTTCTTGGTCGAAAAGCTGCCACGGCCCCATGACCATCTCTTACTCCCGCCGTCGCTTAAACTTCCGATTATGGACCGAGTTATTCCGGAATTCTGATGAGAATCCATACCCCAGACAGGCTTTTGAAGGCTGGCTCTCTCCTTTGCGACACCTTACATCGAGAGCAGATCAGCCAGATGTGTATGGTGGCAATGGATGGGTGAGGCTGTATGGGATGAACAGGGACAAGGGCTGAGGCATCTTCCCATTGCATTCGTTGGGTAAAGAAACCGAAATGCAGCATCCGCAATCCCAAATCACTGCATCGAGATGGCCTCTCTCAGTTTCCCACGTAAGCACAGGGTTTACCGTTGAACACTCTATTCACGTTCCCTGTGCACTCCATGCACCTGGTAACATTTTCTAACGTTTGGTCATTTCGCAATGTCGAGGTCTTTTGCGTTGTCAGGCACATCCAATCAAGTCACTTTGATGGATGAGTGGGGGTAACGCTGTGGATTTTGTAATTCACTTTAGCTTCTTTCTAAATTTTCACCTTCCCAACACCTTCTAGCCAAGGACTCATCCCTCTCGGGCCATGGGACTTCAATCGTTCTGTGGCTGTTTTGAGGCTGTATAGCTCGAAGGTTCCATCACTGTCCGTAGTCTATACTACATCACGGGACTCACCACCGGTCCTCACTCAGTGGTGAACATTGCTGCTGGAACATGAGTTTTGCGCCATGAACGTACCGCAACTGCTCAAATCATAAGGATGCTCTTTCGAGGAAGGCTACATCTCATGCGGATGTTTCTGGCCCGCTCTTAGCGACTATATGAAGCATCTTGACAACTGGATTGGCTCATAATCCTAGCATGATCCACAAAGCATCTCTGTTGTAAGTAGAAGCGGTTCTTTCTGTCGTTGCCTATGTGCTCAGGGCACTGACTTAGTGCCGCTACACAACAGCTCCCCGTACTGAGATACCACGCGGCCTTAAGGACCCCCGCCTATCTTCTACACCTTAGACTTGGATACTTCCGTTTCGAGCTACACCACGGTTCCTGTTGCCTGGACGTGAGATGTGCAGGTGCACAAACCTCACGAACTTGAAGGTACACCACAATGCCTTCCGGATCAGGTACTTAACTCCGGGGATCACAAGGTCTTTCAAGACTGCGAAAGTACGGTATTTCTGCCTGGCTTTCACCGTAGGGCTGATGATAGGCAATTATTCAAGTACTTACACGTTGGCACTTGCAAACACCCTTCAGAAGTTGCGAGACCTGTCTTGGAATAGTTGCCAACACAGTCAACAGACAGAAGCTCATATCGAATCATGTCTTCATCGAAGCCTTCCGCTCATCCTTACTCCTTGCCCGACCTCACTAAAACCAAGCTGTCCGTGGAGGATGATTGGACCAAGGTGAAGGACCGAAAAGAAAAGAAGCGCATTCAGAACCGTGTTGCACAGAGGACATACCGTACGTCTTGCGCCCATATTTGGTCAGTAGCAGTCACTAATCCGTGACCGAAAGGTTATCGTATGAAGGCACGTCTAGGGCAATTACAGCAAAAACTCGAATATCATGAGAGAAACAAGGGAACATCGACGTATCGTGATGCTCCTGGTGTTGGCGACAGTGAGAACACAAGCAGGAGCCCGTGTGTACAGCTTCCGACTCCAACATATACCACAGACGACAGCCCATCTCCGAGGGCTAACGAACTGATGGTGTTTGATGACGTTCATTTACCCAACTATCACAGCCCGCACGTCTTCCATACCGATGCCAGTCAACTATTTGACCTATCGCCCATTACAACACCATTAACTTCACAACCACCGCGAGTGTTTACTGTAGAGCAGTCGAACATCACGGATAGTGGGTACAGTTCGGCTGTTGTACATGAATATTTGCGCCTCCACATGCAACCTTTCGACACACAGCATCGTACAGCTGATGGCCAAGTGAACAACTTTGCTCTTGGTGCCTCTGTACATGGCCACGATTCACTCTGTAAGTTCATTGCAAAACATATAAAACGTTTCTTTATCATGCAGTCCACTAATGGGTGGTTCCAGTAGTTCACGATAGCCCTGATATTGACCCGTTGCTGTTTTCTACCGAGAGACACGGTACAATGACTGTAGGATTTACAGAAGAAAGTGAAAGCAAGGTCCTGAACTGGAAAGCTCAGCCACCACCATTAGCAACGTCCAACCCAGGCCAGGTGGTAGCTCTCACCTCTTCTGTTGCCCAGGACTTACCCGAAATGAAAAAGACGCGGACTTCCAACCGTACCACCTATAGTACTACACCGGCAGAAGTCAACCAAAAAGATCCCAGACAGCAACATCAACCAGCTTCATTACCCACCAAACGACCTACGTTGGATGAACGCATGGAAAGCGTTATGGAACGGGTTGAAACAGAAGGCTTCGACAACTTCGACTCCCTCGCCACTCTATACTACAAAGCCAAGTTCGGGGACTCCTCCTCACTTGCCGTCGAGCAGCGACTCAGCCGTAACCGGCGTCTGCCCAAGCTGTTTGCCGACGTTTTCTCAGCCGCTCAAGAGTGGGGTGCACGGGAACAACGACCGCTGTTCGATGAGATCCTCAGGATGTCGGAGGGAATGCTGATAGGCGAGGCGAGGGGTGTTCACAGTACGCTTCACGCGAGCATCGGTGGGCTGGCCAGGTCGGCCAAAGACCACGAGACTGGCAAGAGTGCTGTTCCGGGTTTGAAGAGACTGATGGAGGATAATGTGAGTTCAGTCATTTGTTCACTTCCTATTTTTGCATCATCATCATCATCATCAAAACTTTTCGGGTTTAAAACCATGAATCTATCTGCCAGCGCTAACAGAGTCTCGTCCAGTTATCGAATCTCTGGGCCTTGGTGACGGCATTAGCGACAGAGAACAGAGCAGTACGGCAGCGAGATCGCTCAAATACAGTGCTGGCGACAATTCTGGTCTTGCAGTGCTCTGGCCAGCTACCCAAACAGAGTCTCATGGCTTTATTGGATGCTTGTCTTTAAGAGAGCTTCCAAATTGGGAGTCTTTCGGGCTTGATGGTTGGAAAGTGGAACAAGTGACTCGATTGGATGGCATCTAGAGGATTGAAAGCATAAAGGACACCGGAGGGAAGTCAAAAGACGTGTGCATCACCACGGCATTCGAAATGAAAGAAATTTCTAGCATTACAGTCTCATCATTATCAAGATCAATGGTCTTCATATCATAATGGAAATATTCGAGCAATACATACCTACAATTACGGGGGAAGTTCATTTCAACATGTGTTCATGCTCTGTTTGGTCGAGATTGGTTCGAGGTCAGGGCAGCAAATCTAGGCACGCTATATTGGTCTGTGTAAGGCATCGTGCTAGCAGATCGCAAGCTACTGTTAGCGAGTCAGTACTTGGGCCGCCTGAAATGCATGACTCCGGGACGTAGTCTGGTAGGGCTATTAGCACTAACACTCGCTAGCACTAACAGAAACAGTGTCTTTTCTACCCTTCATCTTCACAACATTACTGTTTTCAGGTCACCAGTATCAATGAAATGGAAATGATTGTTGAGACAATGCACAGCTAGAATTATCCCTTAGAGTATACGGAAATGAAAGTAACCGAAACGCTTGGTGAACCATAACTACAACTATCACGTTGATTTCGAGCGTCGCTATCCATCCAGGCTTCGGTGCGAATGTCCGTCCCATAACCGACCCGGACTTGAGAAGCAAAACTCCTACTCTGAACCAGAAAAGATCACACTTGGTTTGTCTGTTCTCAACTGCTGGTTGACTGGTCGCGCATCTCTGGCTGGGGCTGTCTAGTAAACCGTGTGAAAATTCGGATGTGGTTTGCGTGTGTGGCTATCATGGGCTAGCCAGCTGGTTCCCATCCATTGATCTGCGTGGGAAACCTGGTCTAATCCGTGACATGTTAGTGTACGCTTTGAAATATCATATCAACCTCTCAAGATCTTGGAGTGGCTTACGTTGTTTTAGGACGTATCCTTGGAATCTCCCTTGTCACCAGTATCAGAATCTGTTTCTAATGTGAGAGATCCGAACATGTCGAGTAAATTGTCATTAGGCGTGGCGCTGTTGTTGGGGTCCAGAGACAAGCGATTGGGCGGCCGCTGGGTGACGCTTTTGTAAAATTTCAGAATTGTTTTAGAGTCAAGCCATTCCTGAATGTCGCTTCTGCTGTAGTGGCCAGTTTTGTCCTGTGCTAAACCTGGAAGTTTATACCTGTTAACGCTATGTTTCTCATAGATATGGTCTCTGACGAAATCATCTGCCCAGGGCCCTTTGACGAAGGCATTCCAGTAGACGTTGAATCCCTTTTTGGCATAAGCCTGCATCTCGTCGTCAAGGGCCAGCTGAAAGGTGCTCGGAGAAACTATCAGCCTGTCCAAAGTCAAATTTTGAGCGCTAAGGACACGATACAAGAGTAACTCGTGCGAATGGCTGAAGACCAAAGATAGTAGAGAGAAGTGGGAGCCATCGCTCGGCTTGTTGCTCGGTACGACTGTGTCGACAACAAACTTCATGGCCTTTTCGCGCTCCACCTTCTTCCATACTGTGGGTCTTATGATTTGATCCAAAGCTCTGATCCATTGATCTGGCCCACTACCTACAGTGCCCACTATTCCCAGCGCAATGGCGAGGATTTTGGCGACATGATTACTGAGCCCGCTGGCTTCAGCAAGCTTGTTCCATTTGTTCCTGGCTTCGCAGGCGCTCATGTTCATGAGTTCGTGGGTGAAAATCAAGGCCAGTTGGCTAGGTAGAAGGCTGCCTGTAGCAGATGACATCGTGAAATCTGCAAGAGACACTAGTTAGCATTTGGTGAAAGTAGTCCCACGGTGACCTGAGTTATAGGAATTTATACCGTTGATGATTGCTTGATCTTGTTCTGAGTAGTGAATCACGAGGCCGGTAAGATAGGCTGATGGGTTAACAGGATTCTCGTCACGTTGTTGGATTGATAGTGGAGGTTGGGAAGTCGAGATCCAAAGTAAAAAGTCGACCAAAGCACCGAATTTGAAGTCCGTAAGCTTGAAGGTTGGATTTAGATGTGTCGTCGAACAATGGTAAATTTTTTTTCTCTTCTTTCTTTTTTCTGGGAACAGGCCGTAGAAAGTTGGGGCCTTAAATGTTACGCATGGGGTATGAAGCGCTCTGAGAAGAGAGCTCTTACTTCACGGGCTGGAAGTCAAATGACTGAATAAAGGAAGGACACTCAGTAACAGAGTCCCAAAGCTGACCATATTCACCTTCCTCCTACAGCCAGCTCAGTGCACCTTCCCAGAGGCCATTTCGGTTTACGATCATGCCACAGACTGGTGACAAAATAGACATAATGGTCCGGTCCTGTCTATATGACTGGGTCACTCATTCCAAAGAAAAAGAGTTTGTTGGGTAACTGTGTGGACCAGGAGAGGTATAACGAGCGACATGGACTGGATCATGTCTTGAACCCACCATGTGCATCTACAGGTACCATGAGCAACCACAAACAATGATCAGGATCCCTATCTCCGTACCTGTTCAAAGCTTTGGACCCCACGTCAACCACACATACTTTCCTTTCTCAACATACGAAGTGAATTTCAAGTCCATCGGCTTCGCATCCACATCTGGCGGTCCCCCTTGCACGCTCGCCATCAAGCCATACAGTCCATAGCGCAGACACTCGACTCCGGGAACGCCGTTCGGGAATGGCCAGATCTACCAACCATCGTCAGCTGTCAACTCTACAACTCCCAACGTCGCATCAATCAGACATCGCAAGGCAGTAAGGCAAGTGACTAAGAGAAAAGAAAGAACGTAAACTCACCCCAAAACTATACCCGTCCCTCCCCTTCTCGCAAACAAACGTAGTTCCCGACATCTCGCACGGCCCGGCCTCTTTGCTGGTCAGTGTAAACTGCGTGGCTCCTATCGAGTCTCCATCCTTGCGCACGGCGACGAAGGTGCCGCAGAGGTTCTCGTCGGTTGTCCAGCGCCCGGAAGCCGTGAGGCAGCCGAGGTCGTCGTGGCTGCTTCCGTCCCAGAGGGTACGGATCTGGCCGGTGCCGGAGAAGCTCTTTTGGGTGAGGGTGCGAGAGTGGGAAAGGGCGGAAGTGGATGCGGCGGTGAGGCCAAGAGGGGCCGCGGTGGAGAGGGTGAGGACAAGGGCGAGGAAGGCGAAGGTTGTTTGTACGAGTTGGACCATTTTTCGTTGATGCTTGTTGCACTAGAGGTAGGTTACTGTGATTGAGTAGATGATTGGCAAGTGTCACCCTCAAGTATAGTTGTTTGTGGAACTGTCCCAAGAATATGGTTCGTGGTATTTGCGCACGGAAGACGGGGTAGAGGAGTTTTGGAGAAAGAGATTTGGCGGATCTAACGCAGGGAAAGGGAAGGTACAGGTGGTAGCAAGTTAATAAAATTCCCGTCGTAGCAGTGAGCTGGGCCGTCCCGATTTGGCTATCGCGGAGGGTAGTTGATGTCCCGTTTTGAAACACAAAGATGAAATTCGAGACCGTGGTCCCGGGGGGGCGGAGTTGCCAAGTATTTAAGTCTGGAAGAAGCAGCCATCATAGACACCGTCTCGGCTTTATTGGAAGGGTCGCCATCTTGTTGTTGTAATAGGGTAAAGTAGTGGGGAGAAGTCTCAGAAGCATGAAAGTCTCCTCCGTGGGAACTGCCTACGATGTACCTATCCATTCAGGGAGGGTTGATGTCGTTAGTTCCCCAAAGAGCCTCAGAAGTGGATCAGGCCATCAGATGCGAGATGTCAATGGCTCGTGTGATGGTGGAAGGAACACATGCCAATAAACTGAAGGTGTGACGGAGTGGTCCTGACAATTTCCATTGCCCTTGTGAACAATTGGTAAGAGTTGAATCATCATCCAACAGTGCACCGCGTAGAAAACTTGGCAAATATATCAACCTCCAGTCCTAGTATCTACGTAAATAAGCAGGTACACTTCTCCAGACGGCAAGTTCTGCCGGGATTGGAAGGTGCCAAGTTGAAAGATGAAACGCATGCGGTTGGCACAACTTCAAATGGAAAGTCTACCGTGGGGAAAGTTGGGAAGGGTGAGTGGTGTGCTGAAGTCCTGAAGAGGCACAGCCAATGGATGCGTCCAACCGTGTGGCGTTCCGTACCTACCTCTAGGCTTACACTCGCGGTACCTATGGCTCCGCATTCTTCATTACCGTTCGAGGCATTAGCGGAAGCTAGATGACGGACATGGCTGGTCAATGAAGGTGTGAGGTGAGACATAAGGAAACCGCCAAACAGGACGGGTTGCGTTGATTGAGAGGGGTCACGACCATCCTTCCAATATTTCTTGCCATGTTTCCAATAAAGAGGGGTTTTCAGCGTCGAGGAACAACAAGAGTGGCCTCTGGGCTTATCCCCGGAGATCTGGAAGTTTGTAAGCAGCACGTGTGACGAGCGGGCGTCGTAGAGTTGTTTAAAATGCTGACCTTGGGAGGATCCTTTGAGGGTGATGGTGGGATAAGCTCAACTACCGCTCGGTCTTGGCATCTGTGAGGCCGGTAGATCGTCAACCATGAACCAAAGAATGAAGCGGTTTGGATCTTACCTGTTGAGTAGGGGGGTCAGGTTGACAGAAGCGGGGATTTTACGTGAGGATAACAAAGAGATTAGTAATGGGTCATGGCCGGGAATGTGTTCAGCGACACGACGCAATGCTGTTCTTTGCTCTAACGGACACGCAACTCATGAACGGTATTCTAGAGAAGGAGTGATGATTGGAATGAGGAGTTACATCATGACTCCCTGTGTTTGGGGTAGTTCTTTCACGTTCTCAATGCAACCAGACGTATCGATATCACCTTCCTTGTCAGAGCGATTCACGCCCATTGCTCCAAATGTAGAGTGAGATGAACAACCCAGAAGGGAAGGTGTATCATAATCTTGTGATAAGGCTCACTCACTCACAGATAGGTATTCACCATCCAGCGGTATCAGGATGAGAAAAAAAAAAAAGGAAACAGAAAAAAAGGAGAAAAAAAAGGAAAAAAAGAAAATGAAAAAGGGGAGAGGTAAAGAGAAGAAAAAAAAAGAGAAAAAACAAAAAAAAAAAAAAAAAAGGCCCAGCGATATCATGCAATTACTCCAATGCCCCCCAACAACACCAATCTATGAGAAAACCAAAGGTTACAGCAAAACAAAAGCCAATCAGTAGACAAGATTGCTACCCATGCTGCAATGTAATCCATCCGTATTATTAGCAGTATTAGGCGATGAAGGAGGAAATAACATAAAAAGAAAGCCACATCCGCAAACTCACCCCCAGCTCATGACGGCAGGCAACTGAATGAGTCCCAAACCCATACATCCTGGCCCCCATAACATACCCCTAACCCATTCACAACATTTTCACCGAACGTCTCCCATCGCCGGCAACAACCCCCCTCCTCCTCCTCCAAACAAAAACTCAAATAACCCTCAAAACCTCCTCCCTCAACCCCACCACCACAAACTCATTAATCAACAAAGCCAACTGCTGCTCATACGTCTCGTGCGCCAGTCTAATTCTCTCCTCCACCAGCCCATCAATCCTTTGCTCCTTCTGCAGATCCAGCATTCCGTTTACGTTGATGTCCCCGTTGCTGATATTTCCATTATTCGCCGCGGCGGTGGTGGAGGTGGCCGATGACGGGTAGAAGAAAACGTTCTGTCTCCGGCGCCGGTTGTTCTTGGCTTCTTGCTTGAGCAAGCGGAGCCGGTCCTCGAGTTCGGTTTTCAGGTTCTTGCGCCGGCGGACGAAAGCCTCGAGGAATTTTTTGAGTTGGATGTGTCGGATGATGTCTGCGCGGGTGAGGATGTTGGTGGCGTTGGTTGAGGGGTTGGTGTTCAGGTTGATTGAGTCGTCGGGGGTGGTTGAGCTGGTTGTCGTGCTGGTTGGAGGGAGAAGGGTGGTCAGGCTGTTCAGGGGTTGACTTGTGTCGGTGTTGTTATTGTTGCTGTTGTTGTCTAAAGAAGGTTTGCTGTAGTCGGGATTGCTGTCAGGAGTCGGACTTTGTGGAAAACTGGTCGATCGCTTGGGCTGGAGTGACAGCGGTTTGATGGGGCCGATACGGAGCGCGCTTGGAGGTTTGATATCAGTAAAGTGCTTCCGGAAGCTGCGCAATCTTCTGTCTAGGGTATAATCGGAATCGTCCATTGGCGGACTGTGACTGATGTGCTGTTAGGCTGGCTGGCTTCTGGATCAGCAAACTCGGAAATTAGCTCTCACCTTCCGGATGTCTGTGAGTAGGTATCCATGGTAAGGGGTAGCTCAAACCAAGCGAACGGGATTTGGATAATTGAAGCTCAATCGGGGAACCGATGAGTTATATGAAGTTATGACACATGATGGTCCAAATTCTCCCCAAGAGGACGATTATGAGCGGGACTGCGCGATCTTCTGGGATACGAGTATATGCGATGAAGCAGCTGTATAACTCAGGAGATTGACGGGATGTCTGATGGCGCTGGACCAAGATATCAGAATGTCAACATAATTAGGTACTATACAAAAATGTCAGCAGAGAGTGAGTAAAGGTAGGATTGATGCATGAACTGTGTAGAAATCTGCTTCTCTTCATATGCATAACTCGTGATGGGTATGCTGCAAATGATCCCCAAGTCATCCCACACTAACAGTCCAGCGTACATCATCTCCATATGCTCAGGGAAGACTGACATCAATTAGGTCCGATAAACATATGCTGATGTACCTCTATTCGTGAACTGTTACCTTTTGCGTCCGTCCATTCCAAAAAACCTACCCTAGGTAGACTCAAGAATTCTCTGTGACTTTGCAATGATTTATGCTCTTGTTTACCCCTGGATAATCTGGTGTCGGGCTCTTTTGATTCTGAATGATCTTGTAAGCTCGAGTAATTCTTTGTGGCTATGCGTTACTTTGGTCCACGTTCAACGAGTAACGGCTGACCCTTGAACTCATCACCAGCTACCTCGGAAATGTACCTCCCCCACCATGGACTAACCTTCGCTGGTCTTTTGATTTTTGCGGCACCAATGACTGTCGCGTTGATCATCGCCGACCTGAGTAGAGTTTGGTCAGTCAAGAATTTGGTCACTTCTCGATAACCGCAGACATGATTCTTCATTCTACTTGTGGTTCATTGACCCCAAACTCTCAAGCTGGGAATAAACCAACATTTCCTTTACCGAAATCAGAGGGACAAAGATGAACGAGTACGAAAAGCGAGGAAGAAGAGGAAAAAAACTGACAGTGCCCTATACTCCGTGGCTTTCAAATAGTGCATATTGACCGGAGTTATAGCCTTCTGCCCTCCCAGAACCGCCATGATATTCCTCATGCTCAGTTCCTCAAACCCGATATGCGTCTCGACCGTACCACCGGCATTATGACAGGTCAACATGACTTTTCCAGGGTGGTCGAAGCTGGATTTTGCCTCCTTTTGACTGTTGCTTCTGACAATGTCATGTTCTCCAAATGCCATTTTTACCAGCCTCTGGCTCACACTGGGCTCCTTAGCATGCACATCTAAGGCCGCGGCGCTGATTCGCCCGTCCTCCAGCGCGTCTGCCAGTGCTTCTTCATCGACGAAACTTCCCCGTGCAACGTTCACGAATCTTGAGCCTTTCTTGATATGTTTCAGGACATCCGTGGTGATAATAGGCCTCCCATCGGCTGAAGCAGGTGTGCAGAGCACCGCGCAGTCGGACATAGCCAATAACTTCTCTAGACTGGAGTGATAAGTAGCCCCGAGAGATGACTCTAAGGGGGCAGGTTTGCGCACAACGTCATAATATGCAATCCTCATGCCGAAAGCTGAGCCGAGTTTGGCAGCAATCTGTTGGCCGATGTTACCAAGCCCTATGATACCGAGGACATGGTTGCGCGGGTTGTGTGAGACAGCTGTTGCGAGAGAGTGGCATGCCTGGAAGGTCTTGCTGGCTGTTGAGGCCACGGATGCGGTCGTGAAGTCGGGGGAAGAGGGCGTTGAGAGGAAGTATGGGAGTGTCGCAGCGCCCATGCACCAGGGGAGGTGCCGGAAGGTCGAGATGACCATTGCCACAGCAAAGTCGGCAACGGCTTCAGCGGCTGCGGGACCTGAATTGCAGCAGATTACGCCTGCAAGTTAAACTTTAGCTTACTACTCATCGCTTCGCCATGACAGGGACGTCATGATCTGTGCCTACACACCTCTTTCACCTAGAACTTTTGTGTCTGCCCAGTCGAAGCCCGCGCCCGCGCTGGCAAATACCTTGACCGAGATGGGCAGCAAGTTGATAAGGTCAGCGTCCCAACGACCCATCTCGCCGCCAGTACCCCAGAATGGCCGGAATATGGCGCTGAAGTGGCCCCATCGCCGTTCTTTCAGTGCTTTCTTGAACTCGCTTCGTTCTCTCTCCGCGGTACTGGGTCGGATAACCTCGAACGCTTGGCTAAACTCGGTATACGTGGCGAGGTTATATTTGATGGAATCGCCGATATGAAGGACGATGGGACGTCTTCCGTCGTCTGATTATTGTCGTGGCAATCGTCGTGGAATTATGCTTATGGAAGCGTTGGGCGCAAGGCTAGAGAGGGGCGGCACGGGGGAGGATGATCGTGGAGTAGATGCTAGTACTGGCGTGCTCGCGGGCATCGGCGTGTTGTGGGGCTCTGCCATTGTTTGAAGCGAAGATTGCCTAGACGGGTGATGGTTTTCGGTGGCTTGCTCGTTGAGGATGTGATGTTTTGCAACTCTTGTTGTGTCTGGTGCAGTGGTGTAAACAGAGAAGTTGAGGCATTCGTTGGCGTCCGCTTTGGTAGATCGTGGCCGGCAGCGAGTCAGCCTGGTTGGTGTAAGAACGGGACTTTTGTGAAAGACAAGTGTACCGGACAACCTGAGAGAACTTCGAAGTGCTTGATCTGGGAGGGAGTGGAAGCCATTGTATGTGTTTTCCTGGTTGGAAGATGTTTTGGACTTGGAATCGGGCAACGACGGGACGGAACATCGATGCCTTAGCCGTCTACATGTCATGGCAGGTGTAGGTCCCTGGGAAGCAGATGGGACGAGCTGTAGATCGGCGCCGTTACAGCGCTGGGGGCCCGAGCCCGAGCCCAGGAATGCATGACCCCTGAAGCAGCCCCAGTATCATAGCGCCTTCTCCCGCGATAAAGACTTCGGGAGGTTAGGTACCTGAAGGTACCTGTACCTCTAGAGGTAGTATCCCACCCTCTGAAATCTTCCTTGGAGCTGAGCATCCGTTTTCGAGGAGAAATGTACAGAAACAAACCGGCCAAAGCGTACGCGACCCCAGAAAAGGTACCTACTTGTAAGTCAAGAATTGCAATCCCCATGCCATGGAACAAGAGGACCACTTCGACACTCAGTATTCTAACAGAATACCTATTCAGTCGGATAAACACCACGGTGGTGTCGGATGTAGGACTCGAAAAGCAATACCAAGCGCTGTATTGTAACGAGCCCCCCCTCCCGATTGATACACCCTCCGGCAACCTAAATAATGTCACTTGTAACCGTTGTCCTCAACATAAACGTCAGGGTTTTCTCCGGGATCCATCAGACCGCGATGATATAGACGCGGAAGCGTGCGACACTCCAACCGTGTGGTGGAATATGGACTGTATCGACTTCGGTGACCGTCATCAACATCAATACTGATCAAAAGCTGTCTAGGACTCTCAACTGTCTATTCCTTTTTCTGACCACGGACTCTTCCACCTAGCATACCATCAAGCCAAAGCCCAGAAACTTGACACCAACACATCACTCGTCTCTCCCCCTCCCACCACCCGAAAACAGCTCATCAATCCAAGTCGTCAACCAACTCATCCACCACAAACTCTTGAACCACCACCACTCAAAAACCTCTACGTCCTCCTTCATCACGGCATTCAACTCCAATCTCTGCCAATTCCTCCTAACCTCATACTTACACCTTTGCAAGCTAACGAGCCATGCAGCACTAAACACCGCGCACCACCATGCTACGCCGAGGACAGCCATCAATACTGTCCAGCCCATTCTGTGCGAAAAGCTGTCTCCCTTTGGCGGCTCGAAAGTTGTGGTGATGATGGTTCTGCGAAGTGTCGTTAGTCGATGACCTTTGACTCATCTTTGCGAGGGTTGGGGGAGGGCTGAAAAGGACATCAATAGGGACCTGAAGGAGAGGGGAGAACAGACAAGACACCGACAAGCAACCACTCTACCACCACCCTAGCTACTCTCGAACCAGGAGACATCAAATGCAACATCGTCTCTGCTAGAGAGAGATGCAGAAGGGAGTAGGTGCGGTAAGTCCTGGCTGCCCAGAAGGTTGAGGGGACGGAATGCTGTTTATCTGGGGGTATGTCTTGGTCGGCTGTTGCGACAACGTTGATACGAGCTATCTTGTCAGTCTCTCAAGTTCTCAATTCTTCGCCGGCGTCATCCGGCTTGTTCTAACGGAACCAACGGGTGGGCAAGTAGATAGGAAAAGGGGAATACGTACGCGTATCCAGTAACTCCAAACCCTCTCTATACTTATCCAACTTCTTCGGTCTTTCATAGCCCACTCCCTCAGAGCTCGCCAGCTCTCCCTCGGTCTCCGAGTCAGAACACCCCATAATCTCCCCCATCAACCCTTCCCACTCCTGGAGATATGATCTCAAAGTCAACACCGCCATTTTGACATATGTGTGACAGGAGCAGGCGAGATCGTAATCGCTTTTCAGGGTCCGAATCTCCCGGTTGAGCGCGCGGAGGTAGTAGGTGGCTATGGGGTCTTCATCCCACCCCTGGCGGGGAGAGGGGAAGGGGAGGGCATTGGCGTCGTTGCCGTTTTGGGATGGGTCTCGGTTGGTCATGGTGGCTTCGATATCGGTTGTGCAGTAGGGAATTGAGGGACTAGAAAGTTGTAGGGAATTGAGGGACTAGAAAGTTGAGAGGTGGCTGGCTTATGTGGTTTTTGAAGTACGTTTTGCTCTGGCGATATTGGCTGGTGATGCTGCATTTCTGTTTCTTTTAATTCGTTCTAGACTAGACCGTTCTAGCCTCGGTTTGTCTCTTTTAACACTCGACCTTGAAACACATCGCATGCTCCATCGTTAATGAAACTTCACCCAGATATCTGACATCGCCCCATCATCTCACTCAATTCCCAATTATTTATGTTCGGTCCCCCTTCATTAATCCTCGACCCATGCCTCACCTCCACCCTCTCAGATCCTCCTGCCACATCCCACCACCTACCCAACCCAAATATTCCCCCCACCAACCTCCACCACCCAAACCTCCACCTGCCCCCCTTCCACCTTCCCACTCTGATCCCTTCCCCCATCCTTCTGCACATCATCATAAGCAAAGGCATACCCCTTCCCATCCGCATTCCACTCATGCACCACCCTCGCATAATGATTCGTCGGTCTCCCATCCACATGCCACCGGTAAAAAGTCTCCACATCCGACGGCTGGTCCTCGCAGTCAATGATGCTGGACCGCTGAAAGGCAGCTGCCAGGCGAGGGATAATGGCGTTTCGCACGGCGTTGGGGCCCGTGGTGAAGGGACCGGAGTTGCACCCAAAGATGTCGGCTGTTGTGGGGCGATGGAAGGGTTCCGACCCGACGAGGAGGGGATCGGAGGGCAAGTTGGGAATGTGCCCGGTTAGAATGCCGGGGGCAGCTTGGGTGTTGATGCGGAGGTGGTGGGTTTGGTGTTGGACTTGAGGAGGAGGAGGGGGAGGAGGGGGTGTGTAAGGTTGTTGCGCGGGATAGTAATAAGGTTGCTGCTGCCCTTGGTAGTAATAAGGTTGTTGCTGCCCGGGGTAATAATAAGGTTGCTGAGGAGCTGCAGCATGGCCGTTGTGGCTGTGATGATGGTGACCATGAAATTTTTGTAGAACGTGCCGTAACCCGAACCTGGGCGGGGCGCCGTTCGGGCCGTCTCCGGGACGGGGCCCGGGTGGGGGGCCAGGGGGTCGGTCACCCGGCGCATCACCTGGTCTTGGTCCGGGTGGAGGACCAGGAGGCTTATCGGCATTGAATACCGCGCCATGACCCCCGTTACACGGCTTCCCAAAATGACAGTATCTCTCCCAGACCCTGTCCACCAACGGCTCAAAATACCCATCAAACTTGGCCCCGACCGCGTCGCCATGTGTCGGCGCCAGCACCCTCAACGGTCTATCCATCCCCGGCCTGTGCACCACCAACTTGTCCCACGGCCACCCGTCCCTGGCCGCCTGATCTCTCAACCCCTGCGCGATCCTCTCCAGCCCATCCGGTCGCATCCCCGACACATGCTGCAGTCTCCTCGTTCCCTTCTCCACCAGCGTCAAGGCAATCGGCAACCTCGGCACAAAGTCCACGTACGAGATATTGGCGAAAAGCTGGTGATCGTTCAGCGTAAACTCGCAAAACGCAAAGTCCACATCGCGGTTGGGATCGCTTGGGTTCAAGACGGATGGCTCAACCAGCGCGGCGCCACCTCCCGGTCCGCCAGGATTGAGCATAAACTTGAGCTTTTTGTCTCCTTGGCAGAACCAGATACGCCCACCGGCGATGCGCGGAATGGTGACAACGGTTGGGTGAGGGCCTGGAGGGACGGGGATGGCGCAATCGACGGGGAAGGGCTGGAGAATTTTCCCAGGAGGAGGCGAGGGAGGAAAGTAGGTAGTTCGGCCGTCAGACTGGATGAAGACGCGGGCCATCGAGGGGATGGCAAGGCCCGTGATGTAGGCATGGATGGGGATGTGCGGGGTCGGGGAGGTGTTGACGAGGTGTATTGTTAGTGAGGTCGGCATGGTGGGCGTTGTATTGTTGGTGTAATCTTTGATTGCCGTGGAATTGTATGATTCAAGCCCGAGAGCACAGAATATCAAACAGTCGTCGTTGGGCCCTGGGATAAATAGTAGATGCGACGAATTGGGAGGACTCCAAGACGAATTTCTTGTGTGGCTATGTCAACAGAGTCACTGGTGAAACTGGAGCTGAAAGTGGGCCGCTGTGGGTTTTGGTGGTCGAATTAAGGTTGTGGAGATGATGATCACATTATGGAACTTCCAGGGACAGGTTCAGTCACAGGGGGCAGTGACGTTGTTAACAGCTGTTAGTGGCGACGCACCGCGGCCTAAGGCCCTGACCGTTAGTGGCTACACCGGAAAACCGGAAACCAGAAATAAGTAAGCACTTGCATAATCTGCTTGAGCAATCCATTTTAAAGAAACCTTTTCTTTTGAGTCTACAAAAGATATTGGCTGATTGGTATAACGGCTGCCAGTACCTGCGTCTAAAAACCAACACAGTTTCTCCGCGGGTATCGGGTATCTTCGACTTTAAGCAATGAAAGCAATTTGAAGCTTCTCGTCCATAACCATCCCTTCCTGTTCAATATAGAAGGAATAGACCAGCGCTGTAACCTCGGAACAACCATCGACAACTAATCGTCCGCCGCGCTGCCGTCATCATCACTCGACCCCTCGTCGTCATCGTCGCTTGAGTCGAAATCTGATTCGTCGTCCGATTGTCCAGGGCCTAAGATGTGTCGTTAGTAAGGGCAACAGACTTGATTGACCGACTTCCGCTTGAAAGTCCTATTGAGGCTGATGAGGTTGGCTAATGGAAAATGTGGTGCTGAGGGTGATGAAATTGATAAAAAGAAGGGTGCTGCTCACGCGGAACACCTGTGATGTGTTTGCCAGGTGTAGCTATGTCTGCGGCAGGGTTGCTGAGAAACGTCTCCAGTTTCAGGCCAGTATAGGTCCTGTCCCCAATGGCTTGAGCTAACCCCCAAAGGTTTTGATACCCTGTTGATGAAATGCCCTTCCGATTCTCGGCCTCGTCTGGATTAACAAACCCCAATACTGGGTAGTGGAGCGTAGCCCCGGAAGTAGTGGAGTTGACCTCCGCGCTCAGTAAACTCAGGCTCAATTTTCGAAGATGTGGGAACGACTCCTTCTTGAGGCTGCGCAAGAATTTGATCCATGGGTTCTGCTCGTCGTCGTCCTGGTCGAAGGTCTGTTGGTCAGAACTTTGCTGGATTTTGACCCTGCGCAGGCTAATCGCTTTCAAAGTAGAAGAGAACTTGTTAAATAGGCGATAAAGAGTGTTTGCCGAAACATCGAGTTGACCGATGTCGAGTTGTTCCAGGTGGTCGAACTCGACGGGCGGCGGCAAACGGGAAGGATCGGCGTTAATGAGGCCAGGCGATGACCAGATACCAGGACGAAGGGAGCTGGCCAGCCACTTAAGCAGAGCCTCTTTCCCTCCATAGTGTGAAATTGATCTCTCAAAGTTGACTCTCAGCCAGGTAAGATTGGGTGTGAGCGCAAGGAATTTCTTGAACAGGAGATATTGAATCTCGATGTCCCTGTGTGTGGCTAGGTCGGAATCCAGCACGAGATGCAGCTTCTTGAGGCCCGCCAATACCGGCAGAAAATCTGGCTCTAGGTAAGGAGGTACCAGGAAGCCATGGTCGCGCACCGCCCAGTTTTCTCTGATAACCACTTCGATGCCTTTTGGGCGTGCTTTGGCCGCGGCCAAGGCGTGGGTGATAAGTGTGAACAAGAGCGTCGGATAATCTTCTTCGCCTACCCGCGGCTGTCCGGTGAAATGTTTAACTCCGGTGGTTTCGGATAAGGTGTTAAAGCCATAGCTGGTCCAACCTGCGTCGCCGTCGCGGGTCCGCGAGGGAGAGTGGAAATCTCGAAGATCGACAGTCTCGAGGTTGGGCAAGTTCTTGAAGGCTTCGACCAGCATGTCCCGTGCACGGCCTGATGCCAACAGTGTTCGTTGATCAGCGTATGCGAGGTGCCAGTTCAGCAATTTTGCCTCGTCCTGCCGAGACTGAATTCTGTGGGGTTCGAGGATTTGGTCGGCGCCGATGATTACATGTTTCAAGTAGGGCGAAAAGCCCGGATGTTTGGATATGTCAACGAGGACTTGCAGACTGGGTCCGTAGACCATGAACTGCTTCTTGCGGAAGAACTCGTAGGCAAACGAGTGGAAGAGGGCGCTTTCCAGCCATCTGCACGTCAAGCGCGCATTGCCAAGGTCGGGTGTTCTGACGAAGTAAGTGATTCTCGTCAGGACTTCTAGTGGCATTCGCGCCAGATACGCCTCTGACGAGGGAGCACGAGTGTCCTCCTCTGGTATTGTGGTCGTAGTTGTCATCCTGCGTGGTGATTGGACTGAGGTCGATGTGAGTGATGTGCGAGGTGAGCGGTGTTTAGAGAGAAGGTGTGATAGATGAGCAGAAAGAAGGACGGTTTGCTAGTGGAAGGTTGGGTAAATAATCAACGACTCGGCTGGGGTTGCAGTGAAGGGCGAGTGAGGGAGAGAAAAAGGCGAGATGGATATCGAGAAAGAAGGAGCGACCTCTTGATGGCGGTTATCGAGGCACGTAGATGGGTCGAGTTTTGTAGTGGTTGGCAAAGTGAGTACCTAGCGCGTGCGAGCGTGTGAGAAACAGAAGAAGTCGTGATGAATGAACAGGAAGAAGAGGGAACCTGCTTGGGAAGATTGGGGGAGGAGAAATATATGAAGAGAACAGGATCTCCAGAGTCACCGCGTATATTTTCAGGTTCCAAACAATAAGATGGAAGGTACGCCGTTTGTCGTGAAGCGAGTCCCACAATCGCGACTGCTGCCTGGCGGTTGCCTGTCAATTGACTTTCTTATACTAGGTTGGCACACGCTGTCACGTGGAATAGAAGGTACAAGGTACCTACTATTGTCACTCCCCATGCAAACAAATGCTTCGACGGGGAGCGACTGCAAAGTAATTTCTCAATTAAATGGATTCTTACTTATCACTTCGATCTTTTGTCGTTTGTTTGGATGTTTCGAGAGTGTATCACAACATTGCGTCTCATCTGCGAGAGCTGAGACCAAGGGTGACCTTCAATTCTCCACCTTGATCTCCTTGCACTAACAGCCCAACCCTGAAGATCATGGCATATGTGTTAGCAGAATTTGGTCAGCATCAAGACATCAACCCGTACTCGTCAGGGCTAGAAACGCCCAGTCTGACCCCGGAGGCGTTTCTAGCCCAGACGAGTAGTGAGTTCAAGGTGATACGCACCATATTTGATTCTTATGGATGCTTTATGTAAGCCAATTAACAATCTCCGCTTCGATTACTTCCCGTCTTATTTCATTCCCTCGTCATGGCGGTCCTAAATAATATGTCGCGCAGAGGAATTGTCCTCTTCGCAACCTTTAAAAAACCATGCTTTCCAAGTTCCTTTTTCCCATCCTGGGCCTGACGCGCACCGGGCGCGCCGATCCATTCTCGCTAGCCTCTTCCCATCTCCCTCACTTGCGCTAACTCCCGTCCCGAAACGTTCCCGGCATGCTCCTCACTTGCGCGCCCATCCCACTGTTCTGTCGGGTTAACGGCGACACCGGTTCACTGTTTGCATCCCGGTAATCTGTGGTCGACGACATGGGCGAGACATTCCCTGGTCCTGGCGTCCCATAAACGGCAGTTGGTTGCTGAGGATACGCCCATTGTGTTGATGACTGACTTGGGTGATACTGGTATTGATGTTGGTAGTAAGGTGGCTGTTGGACGGGTACGTGCTGAACTTGCGGATGCGGGCCGTAATGAGATTGCGGAGGGTTGTAAGGTTGATATTGATGAGGATGCTGCGGGTATTGTAGGTAATAATGGCCTTGTTGCTGCTGCTGTTGCTGCTGTTGCGCTTCCGCATAAGACATGTTAGGAGCCTGTGGAGGAGGGGGGCACGGTACTTGTGGGCTGGCCATTGTCGATGGTCTTTGTGTCAGGGCCGGCTGTGGATTCCAAGGCTGAGGACTCTGCGCGAGATAGGGGGTGGGAGATAGTGGGACATTGGTGAAGGTCTCGGAAGAATTGGAGTAGTTGTGATTTGATGTTTGAGGGACAGGAGCCGTTGGCATTATGCGTTGTGGTTCAATGTTCTGGTAAGTCGCCAATGGCGGCTTTGGGAGGGTATGACCTGATCCGGATGCGCCATCAACACTATGACCGCCATGAAGCGTTGAGCCGCTCAGGATACTATCCGATTTCGCTGGCATCATCGGTCGCGGCCCCCCAGGTCTCGAAGGCGTCGGGCTAGATGGTGGAGATATGTGAGTGGGAGTCTTAGACCTGGTCCTTTCCGTAGGCGAGGACTCGCGGTCAACGATAGAAGCGTCGAAACCCCTAGCAAATTTGTCCATCGGTACTACCTTTATGGATCTCGAGTTCTCTTCAAAATCAAACCCACGAGGCCTGATCCTCGCATCCCACGGTGATAGCCACGGCAGCAGAAAGGGAGGATCTACCCTGAAGACGACGTAGCATTCGATACTGAGGGCGAGACTGGCCATAATGGAAGCAAATAGGTCCATATTAAGCAGAACAGTCTTGCTTCCTCCTCCGCCAAAGTATATCCCAACGGCGAGGAGTATGATTGTAAGCACCCAGACGGAGGTGGCAGATATTATCAGCATCCTTGTCCGGGCATGAACGGGGTGTAGGGTTTTGCGGCCCTGTGTATCCAGAACACCGTAGAGGGTGTTGCCAGCCCGGGTGGCTCGAATATGGTAACCGATGTAAGCCATAGAAAGAATTGACTGGAAACTTGTAAGCATAAAGACGAGGGTAGAATAGAGAGGGGGAAGGGAAACCAAGGGAAACCTACAGCAAACAGCATAAGACTTTGCGCGATGCCCAGCATTGCATTCTCGTTTGCCGCAATCTTCTTGGCCAAGTAGAGGATCGACACGACGATTCCAGATGTTGATACAAGAAATGCGATAACCAGTCCCGTAAGAGCGACTGTCGGCATCCATCCTCCAAATCGCGGCTCTGGCGGTGGTGGTGTTGGAAGTTGCTGCTTTTCGACGCTGCTCGCAGCGTCAGAAACCGGTTGTTGATCCATATCGTACGCGTTGCGAGCGATCACTGCTCAAGATCCAGAGGTGCAGTAGCTCAAGATAATCTCGTTGATATCGCCAGCGATACCTGTTGTCGTCGTCGTCGGCAACTTCCCGGATTGGCCGTTCTGACGTTATCCAGTTGGAGAGAGAGGTACGCAGGTCAAGAGAGAAATCAACTTGTTAAGGGAGAAATAAGTTATTTGCTGATGTGGTGGCCCCAACGCAGAGGTTGGCGTTGTGTAGTCAGGGACTCACATGCCTGCGCTAGACTTGTGGCGGGAAGGCCACCATGCCGCTACGTGATAGTGTGTTCCGTGATTCCCATACTGCTGGATGGCAGCTGATGAATGTTGCAGCGCCTGTGCCGGATTGAAGAAAAGACATTCTTCAATGGGGCGTAGATCAGGAATTGGAATGCGAATTCTGGGTGTAGGTCTCAGCCAAGGCCATCATGACAGTAACGCAGGCGGTCGAGTCATCTATGTCCATGCTACTCATCGGCAAGAACAAAACAAGCTATGAATGACGATAGGCAATGGAGGAGAATTGCAGTGATGAGATTGATGACAGATGGATGACCATGATCAATCCGGAAAAAAAGTAGAAGGGAAGCGACATCTTTACAGGGCACAGGGCCGCAGCAAATACAGAGCAGCAGGCAGAATCGTAGGTAAGGGTATCGCTGATGATAGTGAGGGAATGTATGCGGATATGACAAGAAATGGGAAATTTGATGGTATCAATTCAATTCATCCAGGCGCTTGGAACCACTTTAAAACTCCTCGCCCATTCTAGCTCCTCCACCTCCAACCCAGTCTTCGCGCTCGTAGTAGCGGAACACGAGGTCGTAATCCTCGAAATCGTGAACAATGCGGTCAACGCGACGATATCCGTTGATGCGCTCCATACGCTGCTTAGCAGCAGCGCCCCAGTTGCGACGGGAATCATCAGCATCCTCGCCAGGTGTGGTGGCCAATGCGCCCTTGGCCTCGAACAAAGTCACACTGAAACGTCCAGGGCGGAAGATGTTAACGACCTGCTCAATAACTTCAGCTGTCTGGCGTCCGTTCTGGCCTCCGGGAACGTTAGTTTCAAAGGAGGCAAAAGAGCACTGGGGCTCAGGGGTGACATGAACCGTGAAGTAGTGGCCGGCCTTGGGAATAGTGCCGTCGGCGCCCGCGACAGCTGGTACAACACCGTTGGCGGAAAAGCCACAAGGGGAGAACTGGTACGCATCGATGCGAGCATCAGGATAGGTGGAGGTGGGATACACGGCGGAAAGACCGCATGCTTCCGACACGACAGTACCCAAGGCGTGACCCTCGGTGGTAAGGGCTTCGGGAAGAACAGCCTGGCCATCAGCATCGCAGTCTCCGGAGCTGCTGAAGACGTCAAAAGAGGCATCTCCGTTCGCCTCAGATTTGGAAAAGAGCTTCTCCTTGGCGATCGCGGTCGCTTCTTCAAGGTAGAATTTCTTGGCGTTCTCGGGATCCAGGTCGGTCATCAGGATCTCCAAAGTCTCGTCCGCGTTGTTTTCGATCACACCTCCAAAGGGAGCCACAATACCGGTAGGAATCTTGGACCTACGACTAGGGCTGACACCGCGGCTGGAAGTGGGGGTGCGTGGAGGAGTCAGGGAGCTGGTGGGGGATGTAATGTAAAGGTACCAATGGTCACCGTTCATCTTGCCAACCATGTAGGCACTTCCGTTCTCGAACATGTTATCCAAGAAGGTAACCTCATCTCTCCAGCTCTTGTGGGGCCCACGCTGCTTCTGGGGAAACAAAAAGTTCTTACGGCTATAGAACACGCGCAGAGGAGTAGCGGCAACCTTGGGGTCCTCCAACGAAGCCACGTTATGGAAAGGAAATCCAGCCTCGACGGCGGCGATGCGCAACATCAAGTCCAGACCAAGCAGCAGAGTGGTGGTACCGCATGTCTTGAGGATGATCTTGTGGGGGAACACAAACATGCTGGATTCAGAGAGAAGGTATGAGTCCACGTTCTCGGAGTTGATGATGGACAGGACCTTGCAGTGGACCAAATCAAGCATCGGGGTCCAGCAGTCAGGATTGACGGCCTTCAGGCCACCCTCCTTGACACCGGCAGGGAGAGCCTTGGCGCTGGGCGCAAACCAGACCTCCAGGAGCTTCTCGGGGCCTTCAAAGGCATTGGTGGAGTCGAGATCGGCAGCGACATCGTGGTTGATGGTAAGGTAAGGAGTGCCCTCGGAAGGGGAGAAGGTGTAGTTGGCGGGAATGGCGGGAACTCCGAGGCCAGACATTTTGAGTCGGTTTGAGGGGGTTGTTGACAGTGTGTCTTCTAAAACGAAGCGTCCGCGGGACACTAGCTGCCGCTCAGATGAACTTTGATGGCGTTCTTCTGAGAGAGTAGGCCCACAGGATTGTGGTGTCCTTTAAGAGGCTGGCTTCGCCAGCAGCAGTGGGTGGATGAAGGTAGCTGAACGTCTCACGAAGTAGACGTTAGGGAGGTCGAGTGCGAAGCGGAAGGAGATAGAACCGTGAGAGCAGAATGGTGGGCTTTGTCGTCGAGTTCGCCGTGGTCGCGACACAACCGATACCTATAGGCGATATCGGGCGGAGTAGGAAGGCCGAGAGAACCGGTTCAAGGGACGCGGGCAGGCTCCGAGGTGTTGGTTATGGGGATGTTTGAGAAGGAGATTATCTAGGCCTAGCAGAGAGAGGGTTAGTTAAACGGAAGTAGTTCGGGAGAACAAGAACCGCACTTTGCAGGCTTGGACAGGAAGCGAAGAAGGTCGACCGAGCTCATGGGGCGGCGGCAGAGATGGGAGTGAGAGGCGACGGGAAGCCCAAGACAGTATTGAGGAACTGTACGGGCAAGGCAGGCCGAGATTCGGGTTACTGTTCGAGCATGTGTATCTTGAATGGGAATCAAGCCGTTTGACAAGAGTTGCTCTCCCGTAGAGACCGGTGGTGGAGCGGATTGGCCGCGGGCGCAAAGCAGAGGAGGGGGAGGGATGTTGCGACGACTCGAGTTGGGACGAAAGGCGTGTCGGGATCGAATTGCTCGAGAACAGACTCACAATGTAGCGGTTGATGCGCGGTCCGAGAAACGGGCAGCAAATGGAGGTCTCACGAGAGGGAAGATCGTCGTCAAAGGTCTGAGTGAAGATTGACCAAACAGTTTGAAAGGTTCAAGAGGAGGGGTTGCAACGCGCCTGATGAGAGATTTTGAAATTTTATGGACAGGAGGCCGGAAAAAAAAGTGGGATTGGGTTTTTGCTGGAGGTTTGGCCCCTGCCGGCCCTGTTTGGCGGGGGGCAAGTGGGAATTCCAGCAGGAGCAAAGCCCACTGCGACCCAAGATCGACCATGTCCCCGGCGCTGCAAGATTCAGCCCGAGTTTCTGCTGTTAGACTACAATATGCGAGAGACCAGTATAGCACTAACTTGCAAGCTGCATTGGGATTCAACGTTCTACTGGTACCTCACCTCCACCAACAGGAACACCTAACAGTTGATTCGGATTACCTAGGCCTGTGACTGGCCTCATCAGGCACAATTCAACCCAAAAGGCAATTTTGACAAATCATCATCGTGACTAATTCCATGAACGTCAAAATGTGAGACAATACTTACAGGGCACGTCTCAATGAAATCCTGTTCAGAAACTGAACCGTGTCCAAGCACCATGACATGTATGTCTAGTTCTTGAAATCATTGAACTAAATGTTAGTCTTTGAGGTATCTACGACCATGGAAAGGAACAAGTGGAAACCAAGTGTCGATATGAGGGCATTCAAGGTCACGCGGGGAGAAGCCCACAATCGCGGGATTAATCACTGAAATCCGCCAAATTCATAGCCGTCATCCTGCTCGATTCGCATGGATTTGTTGAGTTCCAGGACCACTATTGACCACGACGGTACAATGCATCATTTCATCTTTAAAATAGTCCATTTATGAAGATGTTGACGTCTTGTAACAGCTTGTGACCAGCTTATCCCAGCGAGCTGTTCATCATCAGGACTACTGTTTTGGGCTTCAAATCAACCAATTTAAAGCCATGATCCCTTATCCACAATCCATGTCTTCAAAAAGGCGCCGCAGAAGGTCCGTAGGCGGAAAAGGCGGAAAATAAGGGTGTAGTAAGGACCCTGATCCTCTGCGACGATTCAAGTCCTTTGTCTTTATCCCAGAGCCGAGACAGCAAGGATGTTGTTACGTTGGTTTTGATGAAGGAGGTCTCAGCTGCTGACGAGAAATATCCTTGTGGTCGTCTCGCTTCTGGAATGATTGTCGAAGAAAGTGCCAATTCGGGCAATGTGAGTTGGTTTTGGGCCATCTTTCCCACGGCACCCGCACTTTGTCCATCGGGTCGCGACAGTCGCTTGTAGTTGTACATATGAACCACTGGCGCATGCTTATGTTGCGCAAACCCAAGTTTGGACCCGCGTGCATACATCAGTGATGGAGCTCCTGCCGAAACCAAGTCGTTCGTCCGGCGAATCGGTACCGGGAGAGGATCCAGCCTGGATGGAGGGTGATGAGAGAAAGTCTTCGGAAGAGAATTCGGCTTTTGGTCGTTCTCCTTGGCTGAGAAGAGATCCCATTCATTGTTGTACAGCAGATATCACATCGGCCGTGATTTTGCTGAAGATAGGTGCAAGGGAGCAATCCTTGTACTTGTGCACCAGACGCGAGCCATCTTTGACTTCCTCCTCTTCACTTGTGCTAGCTCCAGCAGGAGTCGAGATATCTTTTCCGTCGACCGTGGTGCCTGCTGGGTACGTTGGTCTCTTGCCTGTCTCGATGAGAACGAGAAACTGAGGGTCGATCGGAACACGGCCAAGGAAACGAACGCCAAAGTCATTCGCCATAACCTCTCCACCACCACTCATGAAAATGTTTGTGCACTCGCTGCAGTTGGGGCAAACAAAGCCACACATGTTCTCCACAACACCGAGGACTCGGATGTTGGTTTTGGTGCAAAAGTTCAGCTCCTTCCTGACGTCTGCAGTTGCCACGGCCTGAGGCGTAGTGACCACAACGGCTCCAGCAAGTTGGCCTGGTCGTGCCTTTTGCAGCAGATTCTCTGCCAAGGAAATGTGCTCGTCGCTGGTACCGGGAGGCGTGTCGATGAGGAGATAGTCGGTCTCGTCCCAGAACACGTCGGACAAGAATTGACGAACCATGGCGGTCTTCTTTGGTCCACGCCAGACAACGGCGTCACCCCGCTTGGGAAGAAGGAAACCGAGGCTCATGACGCGAAGGGATCCGACGCCGGCAGATGGGTCAGCTTCGTGAACGGTGATAGGCAGCCAGCCACCAGGCGCTTGTGTTACTTTGGCATCTTCGATGCCGAACATGCGCGGAATCGAGGGGCCTGTGAGGTCTACGTCCAGCACTCCAACCGAATGGCCCGCAAGCGAAAGAGAAAGAGCAAGCTGAGTTGTAACAGATGATTTCCCAACACCTCCTTTACCTGAAAGGACCTGTGTGTTCGGATCAGCAATGACATGTTTTTGGTGATGATAGGGTACAGCCTGTAGAAAAACCACGGATGACCGGGGATGCATACCAGGACAATATGCTTGACTTTGGCAAGAGACATTTTGACTGTTTTTGTGTCCAAGACCCGTGATACGTCCTCTCAACCTTCAGTTAAGCTGCTGGAGTTTTGATTGATATGGAATTTGTGAATCGGTTTGGGGTTGAGCGATGTCATTGTCAAAAAATAGTAAAGCTGCTGATGAATCTTCGCCTTCTGAAAGTTGGAGAAGGGCGATGAATGCACCTGAATCGGCCTCGAATCGGCCTGTGCTTTATCAGCAGGTGGGGCCCCCACTGGTCTTCCCGTCTGCCCAGCCAAGCCAAGTTTTCAGCAGCAGGAACCTGGAGCAGGGATTTTGGTTCGATGGTATAAATTGTAGCAGTGGCCCTCTTAACGGCTACGGATACCCCGGCCCAAAAGCCACTACTCCCAAATAAACATGATGCAGACCAGACCGATGTCTGGGCCCCCTGACATGTGCATTTGGCATCCAGGCATTGATTGAACCCATGGAAGCTTTCAACATCCATTTCGCCAGTCCACAACCACTCCCGCCTTTTGAGTTCTCGATCACGGCCGGACTCAATTGGATCGCAGGGACACGCCAGACGACGCCTTTTGCCAATTACACATCGAAACACATTGGATACACGACATGCTTAGCTGCATCTAGTCCACACCCGATTCGCGCAACATGATCGTTGGGGCCATAGTAGAGGTCTTTGGGTCCTTATAGTCACAGCAGAATGGACGATCCATGGGGTTCGCCATGGGCTACCGCAGACGCATCAACAGACCTCGGACATAGTTTGACGAGAAGAAGATCCGACCTCGAGCCACCCAAACGAGCCTTGCTGTCCGCCAGCAACTCGCCGCGATTACCCGCCATCACGGCCCCTTCGCCGTGGGCAGACGCTGAAGATGGGTTCGGAGGCTGGGCCGCCCCAGATGGATTAACAACACAGACGACGACTGCTCAGTCAGGATGGATGGGTGGATGGCGGTCTCGGAGCCCAAGTCTCGCGGCACCGTCCCGAGACAATGGCTTCAGGTCTCGCAGTCCTAGCCTTGTCGCACCGTCGAGGGAGAATAGCTGGAGGTCTCGGAGTCCGAGCTTGATCGCACCTTCGCGGGACAACGGCTTTAGGTCGCGCAGCCCGAGTATTGCTGCATCTATCCGAGACGAAGAGTTCGCCAAATCGAATCCGATCGCCTGGCCAGACACTATCGCATCTTCGAACTCGCCTATCGCCCCCGTACTTCGACAGCCGTCCCCTGATCCATGGGCCGCTGAACACTCCCATACGCCGCACAACGACGACAACATCACTCCGCGCTTGGTGATCAACCTTCCCCAGTCTATTGCCGAAGAAGAAGACGATGTCGACAAAGGGAAACTATCTGAGCTAAACCCCGATTGGGCGGACGAAGAGAAGGATGCCTCCAAGGATGGGGCATGCGAAGAAAGACAGAGCGAGCCGACTGGGGCAAAGGCAGAGACAGAGGCGGAAATTGTCCAGAAAGTTTCATTACGAATCAGCGTGGGATCGACTGTCAATAGTCTACCGACCCGTTCAACCTCCCCTTCTGGTGACGATACCGATCATGGGGACGAACGGCAAGATTCGCCCATCACCTCCATCGACGACGACTCCCATGCGAGACCACGCCTCGCACGAAAATCCTTCAGTATTGTGCAGAAACCGGTGGAAGAGTTTGATGAAAGAGCACAAGTGATGAGCCAGGGGCCTCCGGTTCTACGACGCGCAGAAAGCAAAAGCTCACTGAGCCCTCATCATCACGACGTCTCGGGGGAGGCGTCAGATTTTGGTGATTTTGAAGATGCCCAGGTTAAAGAGCCACCAAATTCTCAAACACCAGAGCCACCCTCAACACCATCAGAGGTTCAAAAACCTTCTTCGCAGCACGGATCTTCCCCCACAACGTCCCCAACGCAGTCGATGAGCAGTCATCTAGGCCATATGAACGAGTTGGCAGCCAAGTTCGGCGCCCTGAATTTTGATATCGACTTGTCAAACGTAGACAAAATGTTTGAAACGTCCACCAACATGAAGCCCCTGTTCCCATACGCCGATGTCTCGGACCATATCATTACCGATAGCTTTAACAGCATCTCAGAACGCAAGGCCTGGTACCGCATATCTCGTTTCGGCTCATCACGAAAACACAACGCAGGAGACGACGAAAATTACAGAAGGGTGGCATGGCCGACGTCAACTGTATGCCAGGAGACGCTTCAGACTGTCCGCCGATGGATGGAGGAAGACTCCATCGCAGGCCGTGTTTCCCTGGGTGGAGGCATATCCAAGACGCAAAAGAACATGTTTGGATGGGATTCTTCTGCAGAGCCAGTTACACTTGATGCGATTTTTGGAAAGAGGACTGTGCCTACCAGGCCGTCCTCCGTTCAACCGCTCCAGCCGCCAAGTGCATTTGGCCTTGTGGATCATTCACCCTTGGGCAGCACTGCGGTCAACTCTCTCAAAATCCAGCCACATCGACCAGCGAGTCTTCAGCTACCGCCAGCTGCCACATTCAGCTGGAGTAGCGATTTCTCAGCTTCAGCTGGGAAACCTCCTCTGACCGCGTCTCTACCATTAACACCATCTCAACCAGCTCAGGGTCCTTTCAAAGTGACTCCAATAGACCTCGGGATGTCGTCAATCAGCGCAACGGCAGCCGCTGAGGATAATGATGACGACTGGGGAGAGATGGTCTCTTCGCCATCGGTGATGAAAGCAACCGTGGGCGGCTTCCCCGATTTCAACTCACCGGTGTCAACATTGACTCCAACTCGTGGCCCAACCCCAGGAACAACAACAGCCGAGTACATGTCCCAGTCGGACCACGTCCCAGTCTCACTCACGCTCACGTCTAACTCGGGAAATGATACCACCGTCCCAGTTACATCTTCGGCAGCGGATCCTTGGGCATCAGCAGACTTTTCCTTTTTCGAGTCCCCGTCCCAGCAACAAACCGGTCCCACGAAGTCCTCAGTAACGCCAAGCCGTCCATCCTCCATGATTGCCGCCTCTTTCACCCCAACGGCTCCTGGCTCTTCGACCCATTCCTTCGACTTATCACGAGTGACTACACCCATCTCCTCCGCCTCGTCAGTCATCGCGCCGCACTCTTCCATGACTCGAAACAGCAGTCCCATTGCCGCAAAAGGCACGATTTCACCGGCGGTATCGTCACCCATCGCCCGCCAAATGACACCAACACAGGCAACCGGCGATCTACAACAGGGCGAGCCAACAGAGGACGAAGTCACGGTCAGCTCAATTCTTGGCGGTCTACCAGACCTTTCTTATATGTTGCGTTGACGGTCCGCGATCGGGCCACTATCGTTGGGCGAGCCTTGGCGACAAAAGCCAACGATCCCCGATTCCACAGGATGCTGGGGGGCATGCTTAATACATACACTTAATTGTAATCGTCAGAGGCGATTTCTTGCTTTTCTCCCAGGCATGCATGGCGCTGGCGTTAAGGGGCGGGAGATGATGTTACCACGTAATCGAGAGCTGCGTACAACTGTAAAGAAGCAACGACATACTTTGGCTGGGTCAGGGTCAGTCAAGCCAACGATCCTGGACTTTTTGTATATCATTTCCGTGTGTCGCATTGGGATGAGCGTCGTCTTCCTCTTTGTCTTTGTGTGTAGCACTAAAGATGTTTCTTATGAGGCCAACCAAACCGGTTTTCTGTCTCGGAAGAAGCTGAGTTGCTGTTTCTGGTATCATTATACATTCTTTGTTGAACCCAACCCATTGGTAAGTTGAGGTTGCAATGCAATGGTGTACAGCGGCTGTTGATGCGGGGAGCACCCAGCTCGGGAAATATGAACGGCTGTTCCCTTGTGGAATAGGATATGTAATGTCTTTTGTGTCTCGTGTGACACATGCATCTCGGGCAATGATCATCCTACCGAGGAATTGCGCATCGAACAGGAGAGAAACTTTGAAGGTAGGCGCTGGATGTGACACCCCTCCAAAACTCTCGAGCATGCGGTGCGGTATCTCGCAGATCAGCATCAGCACCACCTGCCACCCAGTATTGCAACATCCGTCCAACACAACCGAGAGGCTGAAAATGGAGTTCCCACACTCAATCGCCTGTGCAGTCTTGGCAAGAGGTGTATGTGCGTACACACACACACACACCGCATTTGACAAATCTGGCCATTTAACATCGCTTTACACGACTCAACTCAATTATTTAACATCGAAATCTGGCCAAAACTAGTGCAAAAAGTCGATATTTTAATGCTCTACGTTATATAATAGTCTATTTTAATATTTACATTATCTTTTAAACTATTATCGATATAGTACGCTACCCTAATACCCGTTAGAAGGTATTAATAACGATAATATTAGTAAATAACGAATATCCTAATAACATTACTAAGACTATTAGTATAAGTATAAGGAGTATATAGAAATATAAGCGCACTCTATCGGATACTAGTAAGGTATTTTTACTATTACGAACTTCCTAAAATACTAGAAAACTTCTTATATAGGCGCTTAAAGTACAGCATATATTATATTACTCCCTATACTTTATTAATTATAATTAACATTATAAAGGAAATTATAAACCTCCTCGTTTTAAAACCCAATTTATACTTCGATAAGATTTGTACCTTTCTAACTAACGAACATAATATACACATTTCGACTAAAACCGTACAGCGGCACCTTCAATAAAATAAGTAAAAGAAGAAGCAACTCTATATAAAAATATTACAATAATCCCCTATACTAATAGCCGAATAAATATTAAAAATTTCTTTATTTATTATAGAAATATTCGTATTCTATAACGAGCCTAACACAAACCGAAGGGATAGCGCTCATCGTATTAACTAGGCACCCCGCAATGCTATTATAATAATATTAAATAAATTCGTATATAATATACAGTATTACCTCCTCCCAACTATTATAATAAATAGGCTATTTAATATATTAGTATTTAAAAGTATAATAGACTCAACCGGAGTCTAGAATTAAATAGTAAAATGCCTATTCCCTAAAATAAATCTATTTTCTAATTACAATAGTATTTTAATAATAAATAATACTAGTTAATACCCCCGTACTAAACTCTAGCACGTATATAATTAGAAGGGGGTTCTATTATAATATTTACCGCCGTACTCTCCCGAATTCAACCCCATCGAAATATACTTTAACAATTTCAAACAATAATTTAAAAGGGTGTATTATAATAAGAGCAGTAACAAAATATCAAACGACGATTTTATTATATTTTTTAAACAATTAGCGTAGGATATAGGGTATAGAATATAATAAATCCATAACTATTTCAAAAATGCAAAATTAGTAATAAATCGACTTAATAATATTAAGAAAGAATATAACGAATTATATACTAACGAACTAATTAAGTATAGAGAAACGGGTACTATATTTAAACAGCGGTAAAAAATATAGAAGGGAAAAATAGATTTATATATATTAAATTGAATTATATACTAAAAATATTAGAAATATTAGAAATACCAGAAATACCAAACGTACCAGAAGTACTAAAAGTACTAGAAATTATATTTATTTATATAATAATACTAAAATGCTAGAAACCCCCCTCTTTCATTATAAATCGACTTATAATATTATTATCGCTTACTAGGACCGCTAATAGTAGTACTACCCGCTATAGAAGCGAGAATTCTAATAACGCTATATTCGAATATAATATTAAATCGCGGGTTTAAAGTATATACTAATTAATTAAATTACAATAATAGGGGTTAAAGGGCATACTTACTATAATTTAACTATATTACTAATACTATATATTTAATTTTAAGGAAATCTTTAATACCGTCCTTAAATACTATATAGAAATTATAATTAAACCCCAGCTTCGTAAACTACTCTACCGGCTACTTTCTAAACGTAAATATATTAGACAGCGCTTCCTTATTCCAAAACTCATTCCTCAAAGCAATTAGAACTCTATATACTAATACTACTTTAATTAACAATCCAATATAATAACGCTTATAAAATATTTTAAAAAACTCGGTAATAATCTCTTTAGCCAGCCAATTAAATAAGGCGGGGGGTAATAATAATAAATAAAGACCGAGAGTCGAAAGTATAAACGGACGTAGTATAAATAATTCTCCAACTTCTATTAAAGAATTTCTAATCTCCTTACCCTCGTCCTCCTCGCCCACTACCAATAGTAATACAATTAATAATAATACTAGTAACTAAATAAATATTATAATTATTATAAAAATAAGAGGAAGGTTAATATTAGCGCACCTAATAATAAGAGTCTTACAGTCAGTTGGGTACCTATAAAATACAGTAGTAAAATACTTTAATAACATATATAAATTAATAATTACTACTTTACCTAGTAGGGGGAGAACGCCCGCTATATTATAATTATAGCTACTAGCAATTACCGAATTAGCAATAGAACCACTAGCAATATAAGGTAGCTAGACTTAGGGATATTAAAAGTAGGGAGGGAAGTACTAATATAATAGCAGGTATAGTAGATATAGGGGAGGAGGGTATAATTAATATAAACCTCTAAAATCGTCCCTCCTTAATATAATTTGCAATAGACTATTTATAATCTTTATATTAATATTACTATTACTACTATTAATATTATTAATAATATTAATATTAACTAGTAGACTATCACCTCCTCCCCTACGTTTATTACTATTATCGCTAGTATTAGAGGCGGCTACTACCTTATTACTTAACATATTTCGTACTAACTCAAATAGCGGGTTAGCTACCGTAGCCTTCCCCAGCAATATAACGCATACCTACTTACCTATATCTTTAATATTAAAATTATAATAAATTATACTCCTATTTATAACGTAGCATATTTAATATTCAATAGCCTTATTATAATTTTTATACTTATAACTAAAACCGTACGCCCATACCTATACCAACTCCTAATATATAGTACTATATAGTTTTACCCCTATATATTCCTCTCACTACCAATCCTCCTTTAAATTCTTCTCGACTTCTACTAATATAGTATTTATTATAACGCACTTAAACTTCTCAATACCAGCTAGAATCCGTAACCTTCGTAATAATAACGTATCGACCGCTTATAAAGTTAAAGTAATAAAAGGATTAATTAAACTACGAAAGGGGGTAGGAATAGAGGGTATATTACTACGAGAAAATAGGGTAGCAGGGATTTTACTAGCGGGCGGGTCGGTTAACTAAAATTTAAATAATATAGTAAAATAGTAGTACTAATTAGTATAGTAGAAATATAACTTTATAACAGTCTTGTACTCAATATTATTATACCTATTATAAAAATCCTTCCCAGGAATAATCTTATTATATATAATAACCCGGGCGCGGCGGTTATTATAAATAGTAATAATATATATAACATTATATAAAGAAACTAACTACTTTATTCCTACAATTATATTATCGCTAATAATATTTTTTATATAACCTTATTATATATATAGGATCTCGCTAAGTAATATCGTTCTAAACCGCTACTTATAAAGCTCGCTATTATCTTACTCAACCTCAACCTCTTTAAATAAACTACGTTCTTTAATAGTAAATAATTTAATACGGCTAGTAGTAATATATAAACTAACTATTGATTTGGGGTGGTACATGGGAATATATGCATTGGTTTTCAGTAGTGATTTTTTTCAAAAATTTTCAAAGTATATAGGATTAGGGAAGTACTTTCTAGATTGAGCAAACCTGGACAGTTAGTGTGGAAAAAGAATGGAAAAAGAAGGAGATCGAACATGAGGAAACAGGATAGGAGATAAACAGAACATCAACCTTTCGAAAAGCTGAATGATTAGTTTTTAATTCTTTAGTAATTCTTAGATATATAAGATTAATCTTTAATAGTCGCTAATTATTTATCTTTATTTATTTAATATATTAAATAATCCTTTATCCTTCTTAAGGAAATACTTATTTATATCCCTATTTATATTCGAAAAGAAAAATATAGAAAGATCCGATAATTACCCTCGTTTTTTAGCGAAAATTAAATATTAAACTATTTAATAAATATGTAATTCTAATAAATTGTATTTAATTTAATACCTCCTATTTCAATTATCCGAAAAGATTTAAAAATTATTTACTATTTTACTTAATTAGATAATTAAGAACTATAGTCCTTATATATTGTACTAGTCGTAGTAGTATTGGTATTATTATTATAGTTTTCTCGCTATTTCAAATTAGTAATAAGGATAAAATAGGTATTAAAATTCTATACTAAATTAATTAAAATAAATATAGGGAATTTATAACTTCCTATTCTCGTTGAAGTTTACCTAATATTTATTAATAATATTTAATTAATTGTTATAAAAAAGTTTGAATAACCTTATTTTAGAAAAGAATAAAGATTTTTAATATTAGATATTTATTACAGTCCGGGGCTTTTAATAGTAGCTAATATACAATTATATTAATAACTGTACTATAATCGGTAATAATATAATTAATTAGTAATTACCCGACTATTGTTCGGATATAATATTAAAATACGAATAATAATATAATTAATTAATAAAAAAAATATATAAATAAATATCCAAACGATAATAATTAAATATAAATAAATATAAATAATAAATAAATTGCTAAATAGTAGTAGTTCGACTATATAATCCGATAAATGAATAAATACTTAATTAATAGTATTTAAATAATAATAAGAATAAACGATTAATAGGCTATTTGAATAGTAGTTTAGTTGAAAGACTATTTGAGAATAATAAGTAATAAAAGAATCTATTAATAATTAAGGTAAGTATTAGCATTAGGCCTTTAAGGACTACTATTTTTAAATTAATAATATATAGCTCCTACCTAAGTGTAGAAAGATTAGACAGCCCTTAGACCCTTTTCCTCGAAAATTTGTAATTAATTCTTTGAAGGGAAGGGTACTAATTATTATTTCCGAATTCCTCCTTCGTAGAATATATCGACTATTATTATTAATAGACTTTCGGGATTATAATTATTACCATTATTATATTTTAGAAAATTGAAAGGAAATAATTAATTACTATAAGTCCTTATTAGAAAGGCTTTAATAATAATATTATTAATATAAATAGGAATTACCTTTTACTAATATTAATAATAAAAGTAGTAAGAAGGAAAAGAATAAAGAATAAAAACCAAAGAAGTTCCTTTTACCTAGGAAAAGAAAGAGAAAAGGGATATTAGAAGGATAAAAAGAGGAATACTAATAAAAAATTTCTAATTTGAAAAAGTATATAAGTACTTTATTAGAAGAAAAATAATTAAAAGAGGAATAAAGATCTTTAGTTAAGAAAAAGAAAAAAAAAAGGGGGTAGGATAAAAGATAAAACGAAGATAAGTATATAAATAATATAAACGATATTAATAGGATCTAGAATAATTAAAATATTTTTATAATTTTAATTTTAGATATCGATTAGGGAGTGTTAAATTAGCCTCCTATATCGGTACTAGAGTTATTTTTATTATTTCTCCCAAATCCTATTCTTCCTTCCTCTATTCTTACGTTAGAAATTATTTTTTTTCTTTTTTTAAAATTTAATTAGTTTCCGACGCCTTTACTTATCCTATTAAAAAACCTATTACTAATCCTTTTAGAGAATCCTTTATTTAATTTAAATAGAGAAGACCGCTATTAAATCTTTTACTATAAAGATAATAACGGATACGATTAGCCTATTATTTAAAACCTACTATTAAACCTACCCGGTTCTATTCGTATTCTATATTTATATACTTTATTTATTCCTCTATTTAATATTCGAACCCGGCCTCCACCTCCTTATATTATTTTTTTACGATTTATTTAATTGCTTTTAGGATTTTATTGTACCAAATCAAAAATTAATTATTCCTAAAACTTTAAGCTTGAACAATATCCTCCGAACCCCTAAGACTATTATCTTATTACCCCTACTTCTACCCCTTTTAATAATTATTAATATCCTTCTTTAGAATTATTAAAATTAAGTATTATAATATTTAAATAATCCGAATAACTATAAGAATCTAGATATAAATTATAATAAAATTTAAGTATAGACCTATTTAAAGGTCTATTTAATATGTATTTAATATAAATATTAATAGGTAAAATTCTTACAACTTCCTTCGTAAAGGACTATACGCTTAATATACGATTTAAAAGGAAGAATATATTTATATATTTAAAGGAATTTAATAATAGGGTTTAAAATTATTACTTTTCTAATAAAATTAAATTAAATATTTAATACTAATAATATATATTAAATACCCGAAAGATTTATAAAGAAATAGCGAAGGACGTTATTAATAAGGGTATTTAGATATAAAAAGAATTTTATTATTTTTTAAAGCGAGAATTCTTAGTATTAAACCTTAATTAAATAGATAGTAAAATTATTTTACTAAAAGTCTTTTATAGTAAATTAATTCCCTATAATAGAGAGAAGATTATTAAAGTAGTACTTCGGTATTTAATATTTTTAATAAAATAACCGGATAAAGAGAAGGATTTTACTTAGTCTATAGTAGTATGTAATTTTTGTAAAAAATTTGCGAAGAGGATTAGGTAAATAATTATAACGATTATAGATTTTAAAGAAAAGGTTTATTAAATAACCTAGTTATAATTCTATACCGAAGTAATTAAAGTTATTTACGAATATTTCAATTTTAAAAATAATATTTATACTAACGATAAAGTGGTTATTTTATTAGACGATAGCTTCGATATAGGTCGGACTAAGAAGAAGGTATTAGTAATTATTAAAAAGAGAAGTAGCCTAATTAAATTAGATAGCGATTTTAATTAGCCTTCTTATAAAAAAATTCCTTTAGTAAATTAAATTGCTATTTTAGCGCTTACTATTTCTTATTTAGCTGAAAAATCGGATATTAATAAAATAATTAAAGAATTCAATTAAATAAAGCTTATATAATCCTAGTTTAATAAAAAATTGGTAAAAAAATAAAAGGAGGAAATTTAAATTAATTATTTATTAATAATTAATTAGAGAGGCGCTACTAACGAAGGAAGAGGATATATAAATAGTTTTTTTATAAAAGGTAAATAAAGAGGTAGTAGAGGAGGGAATTAAGGCTATAGAAACTCTTATTAAATTTATTACTATTAGTACAGTAGTAATTATTATTAAAATTAGTATTAAAAAATAGTAAATAATATTTAGAAAGGTAAATTAATAGTTTTTCGACCTCGGAATCCTATATATACTTTCTAAATAACTATCGCTATTAGTAATAAAAAAGATTATAATAATTTTATTTCTAATAATTTATTAATTTTAACCGCTAAAAATAGGAAGTTAAAATTTCTAACGTAATCCTAAATAGTAATTTACAGGATATTTCCCGAATATAAGACTATCTTCGATTATTAGGAAAAAAATATTTAGATACTAAAGAAAAAATACCACTTTAAACTAGAATTCTCCTTACTATTTAGCAATACCTATAGCCGATAGTAGTAAAGGAATAGTAGTACAAATACCTCTATAAATATAATGGGTACTAATTTATTAAACTATTATTATATAGCCAATGGATTAAATATTACTTAAAAGGTATACCAGAAATCTCTAATTGAGTATAAAGTTGTTATAATCCGCTAAATACCTGTAAAATATCCCTAAAATTTCGGTAGCCACTTTATAGGCCAATTCTATATTATTAAAAATTATTTAGTTTAATTATTATTTAAAGGATAAGTATTTAAAGAAATAGGGAATATATTAAAAGAATTTAATTTTACTACTATAGGACTATTATTACTTTTAATTAATAGCCTACTAAATATATTCCCCGAAAATATATTGAAATTGGAAAGTAATATTATATTTATTAAATAAATACTTTCTTCCTTATATTATATAGAAGCCCCTATAAATTCCTCTATACAACCTGAATATTGAAATCCTTCTATAATTCTTATAGAAATATTATATAAATTTAGGGTAGATTAAATATAATTTCTTTAAAGAATATAATCTTTAAATTATAAAATTGAGGATACCCATTAAAGGATAATTAATATTATAATTAATCCGAGGTTATTTAACTAAAATATTAATATAAGAGGGTTTAGTAAGTAAATTATAAATTTTGTAGGAGAAGTATCCTTTCTTAATCGTTTAATTAAATAGCTATAGTAGTTGGATGTTATTAATAATAGTATTACTATATTTAAAAATAATTTACCCTAACCTCCTTCCCTAAAAATTAATTAGATACCTCCGGTAACCCGGCTAATAAAGATCTTTAAGCTAATAGTAGAAGATGAAGTAATTGATTTGCCAATTCCCGATTCCTATAAGGAAAATATAAAATTTAATACTTTATTTATAAAACCTACTAGAATAATTAATATTAATATTATTATAAAGGAAATTATCTAACGGGTAAAAGAGCAATACCCTCTCGTCTCTAAAACTATTAATTATAATATTCCCTATTAAATTGGGGAATTATATTATATAGATTAACAGTTTATAATTATACTTATTATTCTAATTTAGTATAAAGTTAGTTTAAATAAGGAGAATATTATAAGAGTCTCCTATAAAAGTAATACGATAGTTAATTAGTTTAAAAAAGCGAATTAGGTTATTC